AGCAATGACAGGGAAAGGATTACAGAAGCCAGAGATGAGCTTCATCGTATGCTGAGTGAGGTACTTTTTTTATTCTATTAATTCACTTCTATATAAGAAAATTCCACTAAACAAGCAAATTAAGTAAGAGTTTGTCTATCATTAAGATCGAAACAACAGTTTTGAAGTATCTTTAATATGATAATTGTTATTCTAATTAGCGTTAATTGTGGAGGAGAATTTTATAAATTTATACTCAATCATGCAGGATGAACTACGGGATTCAACCCTTCTTGTATTTGCAAACAAGCAAGATCTTCCAAATGCGATGACTGTTTCAGAAATTACTGATAAACTTGGTCTGCACTCTCTGCGCCAACGCCGTTGGTAAGCATCAATATTCATTCAAACAAAACAATTCTTCATCCTCCTTTATAACTGATAAAAATATTATCTAAGCTTTACTTGGTGATAATGGAAATTGTATGGTGTGTGTGTATATATATATATATATATATATATATATTATATATATAGTATAGGTATATATATATATATATATATAGGTACATTCAGGCTACTTGTGCTACTTCTGGCCAAGGACTCTATGAGGGTCTTGATTGGCTGTCCAGCAATATCTCTAGCAAGGCAAGTTAATCATACATATAAGTTCAGTATGTTTATGAAACTAATAATTACATAGCTCAAACAATTATCTTTTTGTTGGTTTACAGGCATAATTGAAGCAGCCATGGAAAGCTTTGAGTACTTGTGATGACTTCCATCACTTTAGAGAAAAGAAAAGAAGCAGAATAACTAGAATTTTACATATTAATTATTTAGGTATAATGTTTTTGAACAAACTAAAATATTAGTTCCATACATGTAATAAAGAAAGACCAAAGCTTTATGTTTTTCTTTAGCTTGTAAAACTGAATGGAAGGTTTCCCTCCATTGCAAACAACAGGAAAATATTTTCTTGCCGTCTGCAAGTAGACAGGAAACATTTTTTTCCTGTGGTTTCATATAAGAAGAAAACTTTTCCCTTGACTATATGAACACATTTTTTTTCCTGTGGTTTGCAATATTGATGGAAATGGGAAATTAGAAATAGAAAAGCCTCTGAAACCTTATTTACTGTATTTATCAGATATCAATTTAATACCAGAATCAAACAACAGCACTGGTAGGGTGAGCTATCACAGGTTGTTCCCTGGATACCTTAATTTTTCTGCTCTAAACTGTTGTTCGTTTAAATGCAAGGTATTTATTGTATGCAGCTACCAATGATGGTAAAAAAGAAAATGTGACAATTTAATAACTACAGAATAGTCAATGCAGGTCAAAGGACCTTCATTTCTAATATGACAAATTCTGGTCTGGTACAATTTGATCAGACTGATTACTTTTTTTTTTCTTTGCAGGATTTGTAGTCCAGGTAAAATTATGGATTGAATTCTAGTTAATGCAAAATTTGAATCTACCCAATAATATTCCATGTGCTTTTTTTATATCTGTCGTTTAAAGTTTTTGTAAACAAATTAAGAAAAATAATAAATAAACTAAATTTTAACGAAAATAGAGATCAAACTTTTTGGAAAGACAGTAACTCACGTGATTTAAGTAATTTAAGATAGAATTTAAGTTTAACATGACTATTAATATTACCGGTGATAGAAGGTAAATCCAGAAATAAAATATTTAATGAAGCATTGAATCATAAAACGTCACTTATTTAAAAATAAATAAATAAAAAAACTCGTAAATATGTATAATTTTTGGTAGGTAAGGTAAGATAATTGTTGTGGATGGAGATAATTATTGAGGCTGAGGCAACAATGAAGTACCTAAATGTTTAATGATCTACCTAAATATTGGTTGTATCAAAATATGAGCAATTCAATGCTTTTTGTTGCTACGTAGGCACACAAGACAAACAGTTTACCAAATGAGTTAGTTGATACTCAATGCTTTTCAATCACAATAAATAACAATTTAGAGAGTGTTTACTTATTATCTGCTGTCTAAGAAAATATATATATATATTTTTTTTTAAATGTGTTCACTTGCTACTAATAAGAAATCATATTTTAATTTAAGAACTCACAAATATTATTCTTAATTTTCATAATTAAAAGAAATAAAACATTATAAAAATAAGTTTAGAATTTTTTTAATTTTTTTTTGAATTTTTATTATTGATTATTTATAATAATAATAATATTTTTTATTATTGATATTTATTAATAATAATAATATCAAACTATCAATTTTTTAATTTTTAAAAAATAAAAGATGTAACATATTTTTAATATAAATTAATTATATATAAAAGCATGATATAATTTTTTATGTTATTTAAATATTTTTATTTATTCAATGAAAATATTTTATTGAAAATTTTATTTATAGATATTATAATTTTAATTATGAAAAATATCATTTTTAAAAAATAGAAAATAATTGGAGAACATGGCATTTCTTGCGTTTTCCAAATCTTAATTAAATTTTGAAAAACTGACTAATTTGAACACAAAATTTTATTTTTCAGTTTTCTTCAAAAAAATTTCAAGAAAACTATTCTAATTTTCTATAAATAAACACACCCTTATAATTCTAATTATTTATATAGAAATAAATTTATTTCTAATATTATTAAGAAGAAATTTTGTATCTAAGGAATTATAAATGTTTAGTAAGTTTTTCAATCAATAGCTGATATCTAGTAGAAATCTCAGTCAATTATTGATTCAATCAGCTACCAGCTAATTTGTATTTCTATTTTAGGACTTATAAAAATAATTATTAATAAAATTATTTATTTTTAAATTAATTTAAAATAATAGTTTTATATTAAATGTTACTTAAAAATTTTTTAATTAATATTTTTATTAAATAATACATTAAAATATAAAATAAATATATTTACCTTAAAAAATTTTTTAAATATATATTTTCTGCATCATTAATATATAAAAAAAAAAAATCTTAAATTGCTATCAAAATTTCACCGAACAACCACGTTCGTCGCGATAGCTAACTGCTTATCTGCTATGGCAAGTGTTCATTATGCATTGGTAAAAAATGTTGACATTATGCATTTCACACAAGTGTTCATTTTTTTTTAGTGGGTACACCCAAACTACACATGTGAAACCCTTTTTCTTTACTTTGTTTTTTCTTTAGGTCACTTTTTGATTTGTGATTTGTCTCTTAATTCTAGTAAGTGAAACTTAGAATCAGGTGGGGTCTTTCTAGTGATGTCCAATTCCATAACATGATGAGACCTCTCAAAACATTGACACCAAAAACACTGGACATAGCTAATGAAGGTAGGAGAGAAGTTTCTTCCCTAAAAAGGGACTAGAGCATCTTCATATATGGCTCATCACAGTAAGGTTTTGAATACCTTAGAATTTTTTCTTGCACCATAACAGATTTGTCTGCCCTTTTTCACCCCCTTTTTACATAATTATTTTACTTTGAATGGACTTTTAACTCATAAGGGCAGTTGCAGGGATGAACCCAATAGCAGAACAAATTTCTCAGTTGTTCTGCAAAATCTGCAAATTTTTCCTCTTTCTGATTCAGCATAATATAAGAAACAAGAAAGTACTAATCTTTTGACAATTTCTCCAAGAACATGTCAAATACAAGGCTTTCTCTAGCTGTTTTCAACAACTCCTGTTTTTTTTTTTTTTTTTTCCTTTTTTCCAGTTCACTTCTCCCTCATGTGTACTTTACTTAACCGTATTCTTTTATCCACATTCACCCTTTAACCTGTTATGCATTTTCTTGTTTTTACACATTAAGAAAGATTTTTTTTTCTTTTTCCCATGCATATCATATTAAAGCAAGTGAGGACAAGCGAGTGATATAAGAAAGATTTATTTCTTACAGTGATTTACTGATCCATATCTTTGCCTGTAGAATCTTTGAAAGAAAATTTTGCTCAGTTTATGTTAAAAGATTGCCAAAGGTTCATACATACCACATGAGAAACATGGCAGAATCATCAAATAAGTTAATAGGTTCTAAATGTTGAAGACTGCACACAGAGCATTCATTAAGTGTAGGCAGAGCATATCATGTTCAGGTAAATTTTGCAGAAACACATTATTTTTATTTCTGAGATTTGAAAACCAATTCACGAGGCTCATAAATATACATGTTCATTAGTAGAATTAAATGTGAATCTTCTTTTCGCTTTAATTTTTTGTTTTTTGAAATGATCATTTTGGAAATGCATCTGGCTCTGGCTGGAATGCTCCTTTCCTGAACATTGCAAGCAACTTGCAGGTCATAACTCATAATTGCCCACTCTAATGCTAGAGATGTACTATTTTCTACAATAGTAATTTCTTTTCCACTGAAAATATTTGAAAGGGAGGAAGCTATAAGGATTTGAATTCCTAACTTACTGCACTGTAGAAGAGACATTTGACCATTGGGCTATTAGCTTAATAATTGTCATCAGTCTTTATTCAGGGGCTAAAAAGGAAATTCCTAGAAAAAATTATTTCGAACTGCATCTATGAAGACCAGCAGCCAAACTCCAAAACAAAAAAGAGCTTTTTTTTTTTTTCTTCTCTCTGGTAGAACATCCTAATGATAAAGGCTTGACATTTAGAAAGTTTAAGGTTTAAATCCAGCTCGAATTGAGAAAAGGAGATTTTTATAAAAGCCATCAATGAATTTACACTTGAATTTCAAATTACTTGGAAACAAATAAATGCTCGAACTATTTAAAATCAGAGTTACTATCACATGATTCTAGAATTATTACTGGATGGGGCCAATTGTCTGACTGTTGCATTGATGACCTTTCCTCTCCCTTCTCTGTCTCTCTCTCACGAATTATGTTGCCAAGGCATTATTATGCCTGTTAATGGCCAAATTATTTACTACACCAAAGTTATAAAGCAAAAAAACAAGAATAGGACCACAGTAATGTCCTTCACATAGCCAAGGGGCGCACTCAAACTCAGTATCTACTTTCAATTTCTCCACTACTCTCCTCCATTTGTTCTTTTCAGGTTTTGGTAGTTTAAAAAACAGCATACACCAGAAAACCTATTTTTCCTCATTGTCCTTTCCGATACCTTTTTCTTCCATTACTATTTTCCAAGATTCACTTTTTTATGCAAATAATTCATGTAACCATTGCCTTGAAACCTGAAAAATCATCTAGCTACATAGAAAAAGGCTTATACATCTCATATTTGCGGGGTTTGTGGGCAGTTCAAGGAACAAAGATCCACCCAAAAACCAACACTTGCTCTTTCTCCTTCCCCCTGTAAGCAATGCAGTCCAGGAACTTTCACTTTCAACATACTATGACCATATAGACAAAGAATGCCAAAAGTAATGTCTACAAGTAATAAGCTGAACCACACACTAAGGTAGATCCTTATTCAATTACTGGATATATGGAAATTCAGACAAACAGTTCTGTGCATATTTGATAGGATATCCCTAAAGAAAAATCAGAGCAGAGTCCACCGGACCAGTTGACTAGTTCTGCTAATAAAAAATGGGGGCTTGTTCTGCTGATGAAAAACGGGGATCAAAGGAGCTCAAGTCAGCAAACCATTTTTTTGTGAACAACTTTCAACTAAACTCACCAGATATTTGGTATAGCATAGCATGCCTTGACAAGTGACATCATACATAATAATCTTCAATCCTATTATTTGAATAAATTAAAGGTTTATCTCTAACTGTTCATAGGGAAAATGAGACAGACTATTACCTAAACATTAGGATATAGATAAATGTTGTTGGCTAAACACAAACATTAAGGGAGGAAGGAAGCAAAAAGTCCCAAAGGCAGAAAGTTATGTCTACCTAAAGAACTTTGGTTGTTGGTTAGTTAAGACTTTTGCCTTGTGGTTTGACATTGTTGAAAGACATCACTGATACTATAATATTTTAGATATTATGGGTTTTGAATTCCCATCAACTCTATATCTTTGCTGTTCCTATAGAAAGAAGTCAACAACTCTTTTATAATTTGTAATTTTCCGTCCATTGTCCAAACTCTACTAAAGTCAAGGCCCTTTCTTTCAATTAAGGCAACTAAGGACTTCAGATGTCCGACTCTAGCTATGGCTGATGAGATGGGTAAATGACCAGCAACAACATCAGTAGACAACATCTCAAGCTTAGTTCAACAATGAACCATGTTATATAAGTAGAACAATCATCTGAATGTGCAGGAAGAAATGACATTATGGTGAATTTTAATTTTCTGTCTGAGAACAAGTAAATTTCAAATATTAGGCAAGAAATGTATTGGTAATGCAAGAAACACAAAAAGGTTGCGCCTCAAGAACAGCATTGAGTGACTAATATGCAAAATAGAGAAATGTATGACATGTTTTCTAATAGACAATAGAAGTAATAATTAATGAGGACTACTAAGCACGTCCACAAACATACGATTCAGTGAGGGCAACCGCATCTGCTGATCCTGGACCCTGTTCCTTTTGAACCGAGGCACTGATGATGGTGAGACTGTTGATGACACAGCCCATGAGTCATTTGAGCTATCACAGCTGAAATATGCATCAATAACACCACTCGGACTGCTGGGTATCCATGAATGTTTGCGCTTACTACTTGAATTCTGGCTGCCTGATAGCTCCAAAATGTGCTTGTAACACTCTTTGACTTTGTCCTGTTGCAATATAGTAGACAATAATTAACCCACTAACTATAAAGCCAGAAGTCGCATACAGCATGATATCCAAGACCCGATAGAAATGAAGGAAACAAGTTAACAAGGGACAGACCTCACTAATTTTGATCACAGCCATAAGCTGATTCTGGTATTCCACTTGATTACATGCCTCAACCTCCTTAATAACATGCAACATAATTGCAGTAGCAAATATAGAAGGAAGATAACTCGTGAATCTTGAATCTGAAACCAAAATCCAAATGTTGGAAACTAATTAAGGATACAAGTTGGATAGTTTAATAACGGTCCCTGTTCTTTGCATTCAATATTTGCTTCTACAAGTAAATTCAGATACTGGCAACTAAATAAATATCAAATAGCTATTCAATTGCTTACCAGCGATGACAGAGAGAAGTAAACGCTCACACCTCCTCAAAAATTCCCAATGTAAGTGGTTCTTTAGACCAAGCCTCCTTATAATGTGATCAAAGAAAGAAATTGGAGTCACAGGATTCATCCTCCATTGAAGAGTAGAGAGCACCAGAAGCTCCATTCTCTTCATAGTCTTAGCTTCAAAAACATATTTTGATTCCTCCACCTAAAACCCAAACACACACACATACACACACAGACAAGAAAAAAAGATGGCAAGTCAAATAAATAGTTCCATAAATATTCAAGCAAGGCATTTTAACAAACACTGCGATTGCGAATTTTTGCAAAACATACTTGCAAGTCCAGAAGAAGAGGCACTTGGGTTTCCTCCACTTTAGCAGCCAGAGACAAACAAGCGACTGCAGCAAGTTGGCCCATCCAAGGCTTATCTCTTGGAAACTTTAAAGTTGAAATAAACCTATCAAAGTAGTTCACAGCAAGAACACTAGTCAAAGCAGTGAATCCATAATGTGCTTTCACCCTCAAAACCCAATCAATAGCCTCTTTACGAGCAACCATTGAAGACCCATCAGAAAATATGTTATGAAAATCAAAATGGGTGTCTTTTTCTTTAGAGATTAGAGCCAATAACTCATTATCTTCCCAAAACAAGTCTTGTTCAAGCAAAAGAAAAGAAAAAGGCGACTCCTTTTTCACAATCTGACCACGAATTTCACTACAAACACAGTCTTCCTCTTCAATAATGCCTTCCTCTTCACAATATAATCCATCAAGAACCAATGCTGGGCTTGAAGGCTGACGATTCTCTTCTTCTTGCAAAGCCATCTTCTTCGAAGAAGAAGAGATTCAATCCTCTTCTCATTATACCATCTAAAAAAATAAAATCTCAAACTCCTTGCATATTACCATACACTCCTTTCTTTTCTTTTCTTTCTCTCTCTAGAGTCTACTGATAGAGAGAGCAGATACAGATAGAAAACGAGACAGATGGAGTATGCAAGTGAAGAGTTTTTATCTGAGAAGGTCTTCACGCCTGTCCTTTTTCCCTTTTCTTTTCTTTTCTTTTTCTTTTTCTCCTGAATTCCTTCTTTTCTTTTATACTACTTTGCTGCTATTTAAATTTTTTAAAACTATTTATTTATTATTTATTATTCTAAGCGACCGTTTGGCGCGATAGAAATTACACCGCACAGAAAAGGCACAGTCATCGAGAGCTTTTTCCCGAGAAAATGAAATCTCTCTGCGTATATATATATATATATATATGAGCTAAAAATTGAATTGGTCTATTTATTTAATTTATTTAATTAAAATAAATATTAAGTTTCTCTTTCTCAGCAATAGGTTGATACGTATCGGACAAACGCGTATATTTTTTAGACAAAAGCTACGAAAGCTTATTGTGACCATACGTATTTATAACATCAAACTCTGAGACGAGCGCGTGCCTTACAACTTTCTTTTGAGTAGTGAATTTGTTTTACACGCGCTCTATTTTAGTATATTTATATTTTCTTATACTACATGAAAATAAATATTTTTTTCATCCATATAATATGTAATTAAAATTAGGTTGATTTACTTATCTCATATTAGTAGCACGGACTTCACATGGATGATAGCACACATTAGCAGTATTTATCAATTTGGATCGACTGATTTTTCTCATTTTTCAGGTTATTTTTATAATTTATTCCCAGCTAATTTATCGCTAAAATATTTAAATTTTGTAAAAGATATTCTAGTGACACACTTGGTTCTAATTTTGAATTACTATTTATTTTCAATTTATAAAATTATATCTATTTAGATACTTTATACCATATTTATTGGCTCAGGATAATATTTCCGTAATTAAATTTTTCTTAAACATTGTAATTATAATAAATTTTATTTTTTGCAAAAAAGAAAAAAGTAACACGATGAAATAAAAATGTGAAATCATTGTTTAAGCACTTATATAAAAAGATGAATAATGTATCACAATTATTGAATACATACACAGTAATTAAAAAATATGTAAAATTATATTTAATATGTGTAACTTCATAAATTATTGAATGGTCTAATAGTTCAATTTATATTTCTTATAAATAATTTTTATAAAATCCATTTGCCAATTTATCTAAAGAGTTTTTTTATATTCCTTTTCGAAATTATTTATTTTTTTATATTAAAAAATGTACTAGAAGGTAAAATATGTACAATTTGTATATGTATTTTTTTAATACAAAATAAATACTTTTATTCTGTTTAGTGAATTGTAATGAAATATAATATTATATAATTAAATATATTTTTAGTGTTATATATTAAAAATAAATTTGGTTATAATATAATTGGTAATTGTTCCACCAAATGGGGCATAAGTATTGAACAAAACTAAATATAAAATTCCTGAATAGAGCTTTTATTTAGTCAAAAATTTTCATATTTGAATGTGAAGGGTAAAATTGTCTTCTAGCTTGAGAATATGGGATTGGGAGGGAAGGTAAAAAGCGTTGACCGTGTCAGCGGAATAAGAAAAGCACGCGCCAGCCAGTGTGGTGGTGTTGGGCATTTTTATCTTAGTAATACTGGAAAATATCAAAATATACTGACCAATGGGATCTTCTGGTTACTACCAATAAAAAGCGTCTAATTGTCAACAGGTTTTGAACACATGACGCTAACTCTGTTCCAATTCTGATTTTTCCGGTTTTTTTTCCCTTACAGCAAATACTCTAGTTTCAATAATTATTATTGTTTATTTTCCATCTAATTTTTTTTAATAATTATTTATAAAATATAATTATAAATCTTGTAAAACAACTAGATAATAGTATAAGAAAATATAAATATATTTAACATAAGAATATATGAAATGAGATAAGTAAATCAACCTAATTTTAAATACATATTATATGGATGAAAAAAATATTTATTTTCACGTAATATCAATAATAACATTAAACTATTCAGTATAAATTTTTATTTGTATTTAATATTAAATATATTTTGAAAATAATAAATCAATCAATGAAAATATATTGGATCATGCTGTAATCCATCCTGCTCTACTTCCACCACCTTGGCCATGCACATCCAACTAATGAAATATGTTGGTGTTCATCCTGTTGTATGAATTTCATGTGTATTAGGCTTTTTTTTTTTTTTTTTGCTAAATGGACAATTAAAATATGAGATAAAGGGAGTACTAAACACAAATAAGTAGTTTATATATATATATATATCGTAAATAAGAGTAATATAATCAATTTACTCAATAATTTATTATAAATTAGACAAATTAAATTATTTTTTTAAAGGAGAGAAAAGTGCAAATAAGACAATTATTTGTGGAGAGATAGAATAAATAACTAATATTAGCGAATACTTCAAATTTAAACCTAGAAGCTAAAAGCTAATAATCAGTAGAACAATTAACCGCTATTACCTAAAGAAAGTATAATTGCAATTTTAGTATATGAATTTTACAAAATTTTCTATTTTTGTGTATAAATGTAAAAAATTAACAGTTCGGTGAATCAATTCTTAATTTTTTTAACAATTGAATTTATTTTATATATGTGAACAGCCGAAGATTCATGTCAAACCACTAGGTCCCACTTGTTTGTACTTTTTTTTCTTATTAGGTGCCAAATATTTGGTAGGCATAAATACGGTTTTGGTTATATTATTATAATATTGAGTAAAAACTATTTAATATAATCTAACAATACATTATTTTAGTTGCATTTATGTAGAATTTATTTTTCATTTATATTATTTAATAAATAAAACAATTTTTGTTATAATTTTAACGAGTGATGTAAATGTATTGTATTAGAAGGAGTCAAAAATTAGTGGTGCGAGAAAAGAAAATGGGGGAAGGGAAAATGAATGAAGTTATACGCAACTCACGAGAAAAATGCAATAGATAAATAAGAAGAAAGAGTCCAAAAAGGGACAACTCATGAAGGAGAAAGTCGTTAACGCTCTGTTTGTTTTTTCTTTTTAACAAGACTAGAAATCTTACTATAAGAAAACAAAATATAAATATGACATAGTAAATTTCTATATTTTTGTATGAGAAATCTCGCTGTAAATCGCTTATGCGAAGAATAGAAAATTTTAACATATTTCGAGAGATTCAATCCATTTGACAAAATAATAGATTTGTTGAAACATGTTGGGTTAATGGCTCCATACTCCTAACTCTTGCCATTACTAAACATTTATTACTTTATATTATAATTTATAAACTCTAATTTTGTAAACAAAATTCATCTTAAAATACCGCTGGATTTTCACTAATTGACCGTCTGTTGGGTTTTGCGTTGGAAAAAGATGAGAAAGAGAAATTAAATTGAGATCCAACGCACAACGAACGAACCTCTTCTGTTTCTCTTTCTAATTTGCAATGCATTATTATTATTATCAACTTATCATAATTGTGGCATTTCTTGTCAGCTGTCACAAACATAGGCCGTACCCTTCTTTTGCTGTCTCTAATTTCTCTGTCTGTCTCCGCACCCTCTCTATCCTCTTCCTACTATTTTCATTTATTTATTTGTTTATTTTGATTTCCTGAAAGTTATACGTCTAATTCAATTTGAGATTTAATTATATTCAAATCTCTTTATTTCTATTTATAGATATATTTAATAAGAATTGAATTCAAAAATTCTTTTCACATACTTGATTTGTATCGCCTAATGAGCCAGACTGTGGATTATACACTACACTCTTTTGTATCGCCTAGTGAGCCAGACCGTAGATTATACAATACAGTCTTTTGTCCTTGATGCCTCTTAGTTACATTCACATCGAGTCTCTCATTTTCTATTTTTTTAATATTAAAGGGAAATGTTTTTATATTAATTAAATTTGAATTTTGACATTCAATTGTAAATAAATTAGTACTTCAATTTATAAACTTTTAATTCAGATATTTCAACAATTATAATTTTTGTTAATTTGACTTTGAATGAATTAATAATCACAATCTCATTTTCTTTAAGATCAATATTTAAATTAATTGGTGCATTTTCTTGAAAACATCTTATTTTCTCATAGATATTTATACTTAATCAAATCTAATTAGTGTGTTTAATTTGATGAGATAAGCTAACTTTACATATGAGGTAATTTTAACTTTTAATTGGTACCGTCCATAATTTTTTCTTTATAAGGGTGCGACAAAAGAAAGAGAAAATGAAGAGATCAATTTTATGACTATACAACTCGATTTGAATTTGAACAATTTATGATATATGCTTTAAACAACTACGAACCACAAACTAAATATATAAACAACAACTATATAGAAATGTAGATAATTTATTAAAACTCTAATATTTCGCAATGCAATAATGAATTCTAATAGGGTCAAATTATGGAATTTCATCATTGTCCTTGTGGTTACATATTTTAACATCATTAATGCCATCATCATATGACATTTTTTCCACTAATATTATCATCAATTTCACATGGACATGTACATATGTAGATCACTTATTTGTGGTCAATGATTAATTTGACAATGACAACTTAATTTTATCATTAGAGATCTAGTTTAATTTCCCTTAATCATAGCCAAAGCTTATGAAATGCATGAGCTTTTGCACATGAATTACACTATCTAATTGCTTCACCAAATCGGTTCACTTGAAATGTACAATATATAATTGCTATTCTATATCGACAGAATAATAAATGATTATGCCTCTTGCAAGAGATAATTATTCCAAATAATAAAAATTAGAATCACAATATTTGTTGTAGAAATCCAAATGTTGGGATTAATTTATCAAAAAAAAAAAAAAAAAAAAAAGAAGCAGAAAAAAAAAAAAATGTTGGGATTAATAAAAAAAAAAAAAAAAAAAAGATTTACATATATTAAAAGGGAGGAACTAGACTTCAAGCCTCCGTTGGGAGGCCACAAATTAATAAATAAAAAAAGGAAAGCAAAATTAAGGGCCAATGTGTAAATAACATTGAAAAAAAATATAATATTTACGGGAAAAGATTGAATTTTAAAAAATTTTGAATCCATAATATTAAATAACTAACAATAAATAGAAAATTATGGGAAAAAAAAAAAAAACATTAATGATATTATCCTCCCAAACTTTTCTCCCTAACAACCAAACCTAATTAGTTATAGTATATTATATAGTACCACCAACCATCAGGAGAAGCAATAATTATGATACAACATAACAACTGTACCATTTCACCTCTTATTTATTTATTAAAAAAAAAAAAAAAACACTTATTTGTGTATACGGTGAAAATTGATTACCAAAACACACTGATGAATGGTCATGATTTTCCAGAACACCACTCAATTGAGTTGCTTCGTCTGTTGGCTGTTTTTTTTTTTTTTCAAAGCCCACGTTGCATCTAAATGTAATCAATCAAGGACAAGAATTATTAAAAAAAAAAAAAAGAAAAAAAGAAGAAGAAGAGAAAAAAAAGAAGAAGAAGAAAGACAGAAGTATGAGGTTGTTGGGTTGAATCTTTGGCATCACACCGGAGCAATCAAATGAATGGGAGCCATGGGTTTGACTAAGTGTGGAAAGAGGGAGAAAGAGACACATCACCAATCAAGTTGCATCAACAACCTGAATCCTCGGTGGCTCAGTTTGACTAATCCACACTCTCTTTCCAATGATTGAAAATGGCTCATTATCATGTAATGTTCTTTGGGTCTAAAATTCTATACATTTTTCGCATTGGGTCTGCTCGCCCGTTTTATGTATTACTCATTAATATACATAATATTTTTTCTTCAGTTTCAACACTTTCCACTTGTGTATAAAGCTGGTTTACTCGTATAAATTTCCGCGTTGGCTTGAATCTGGGAAAATCCGAGCTTCATCATTTGCCTTAAAGATTATTATTTTTTTTATTTATGGTCATATTATTAGCCCGGGACTCCACGGTTTTTTGGTATCTTCGCATTTGGGCCTTGAAGCCCATTATCTATTAGGTTCTCTTTATCACTAAGAATTATTAAAAAAAAAAAAAAGAAAAAAAGAAGAAGAAGAAGAAGAAGAGGAGGGTTGGTTGAACTTGGCATCCACCGGAGCAACAATGATGGGAGCCATGGGTTTGACTAATGTGAAAAGAGAAGAGACACACACCATCAAGGCATCAACAACCTGAATCAATCGGTGGCTCAGTTTGACTAATCCACACCCATCCAATGATTTGAAAAGGCTCAAATCATTAATGTTCTGGGTCTATTCACTTTTCGCATTTCTGCTCCCCGTTTTATGTATTACTCATATATACATATATTTCTTCAGTTTCACACTTTCCACTGTGTATAAAGCTGGTTACCTATAAACCCGGTTGGCTTGAATTGGAAAATCCAGCTTCATCATTGCTTAAAATTATTATTTTTTATTTGGTCATATATAGCCCGGAACTCCACGTCTTTTGGTATCTTCCATTTGGGCCTTGAGCCCATATCTATTAGGCTCTTTATCCACTTCCCATAAACATGATCTACTTATTGGAGCTGGTCTATCTTAAGTTTTGGGCCTGTCTGCTCCTTGTTTCGAATTTAATCATCTGCAGCCTACTTTTGGTACGACCGACTACAATAAAATGGAATGAAAATGAGAATCGATGTTTTTATTCTTATATTTGGTATGAGAAATGAACTATAAACTTCGATTCAATTCCTTTAATTGGTCCTAGTCTTAATTTCCTCTCTAAACAAATGAATAGAAAATTGAAAATTGAAAAGACTAATCCACATATGATAGCGTTCTCATTCGTATCGTAGACCAAAAGTAGATTTTCTTCATACAGTGTGTTTTTTATCAATTATCATTCAAAAGTGTGTTTTTTATCAATTATCATTCAAAGGAGCATTCAACGTTTCAAAACTTATTCATAAATTTATTTTTATATATAAAAAAAGAGAATAACATTTCAATTTCAAAGCTTGGAAACTTCTAGTGGGGTGGAGCCAATTGATTTTGCAGTATGTGTATATCTATTTTAATTTATTTCACCGTCGATTTTCAATTTTCGATATTTTTCTAAAATTTACTAATCCCTCTATTATTCTAAAATTAATAATTCTAAAATTAATAATTTTTGTCATAGTATTTGTTTTAAAAAACATTACTTTATCCCTAATGTTTGACTTTGCCAACTGTTTACTCATGGCTGTCAAATGCTTCGTAAAAAGATGAAAATATCTGTGTCTTTTCATAAGGCTTAACCGAAAATTACTAAAAAGTCAATGTGAAGTAGTAGTATATATTAAAAAAAAGGGGATGAAGTGGTTAATTTTAACACAATATAGGAATATAATAGTAATTTTAATAAAAGAAATTATAATGTAATAAAATGAGCGCCGTTGCCTAGTGAAATACCAAACAAATCCTTGAACTGATATACAATCTCACCTTACTTTTAAACAAAACCCTTGTTATTCCCGGCTTAACGGCTTCTTCATTTGCTACTGGCCGCCGCACTCTCCGCTGCTCTCAGTTTCTCTCTCCATCGCCACAATCAGACATGAACCATAAACACGCCAATGCAATAGCCACCGCGCCGGAAAAGGTGATTTCCCCTCTATCGATTTCTTAATTGTTTATAGAACCTGAACTCTCACACTAAGATTAGGAACTACATAAATGGCGAGCAGGTGCTTGTCGAAATTGTGAAGTTGATTCAAAGGCAAGAAAGAAAAGGTACTAAGGGAGGCTGGAAGGAGTTCCTAAAGGATCATGATTCGAAGTTCGGGTCTAGTATAAGTGACCCAGCGAAGAGGTCCCGTAAGACTTTGATTTCGTTTCTACACACCTTTACTGAGAAGGATGACTTGAAGGTGATAAATTAGGTTTTGGTTACAGACTTACAGTCTATGTGTCAATAGTTAGTTAGCCTGTTAATATAACTTACTACTTCCTACAACGGTTGTATTCTTTTTTCTTAAATTTGTTCATTTGTGATTCTAGTTTGTGGATTCTGTTCTTCGGTTGCATGCGAATCGTGAGGTATTAGAGCAAATAAGAAAAGAAACTCCAGATAATGAATCACCTGAACAGGTATATAGTTTGGAAAATTGTGGTATATTATGAAATCGATATGCTTGTTTTATAGTAATATGTATGATTGTATTCACTTTGAAGTTTTAGCATCTGGTTAGTGAATTCACATGCAGTAAATGCCTCCCTTCTTTATTTTATTTTTCCCAAAAAAATCTCACTTACTGATAGGAATGCATTTTTAGGTCCATTTGGTGATAGGCCTTATGTGACTATAATTTTGCTGCGGTTTTGAGATTTATTGTTTTAATTGTTCTTTTGAGACAGTGTATGGGCACCCTTTTTTCCTTTTTGATTCTTAACTATGTTATTCCCATTATAATCATGGTTAATTTGCGATTGTGGCAGAGCAGAGGCTAGTCAGTTTAACTGTTGAACACCCATTTTATCTTTCAAAGTATGCGTTTCCATCATATGATAAGGTTTGCAGCTGACTTCTCAGGACTTCATGCATTATATTTTTAATTATTGAAATTGTTTCTTTTTTTATCTAGTTTAAGCAAGATGCTTCATTTAAGTGATGATTATTTTCTGCTATAATTTGAACTTATGCTTTACCTAAGTAAGGAAACTGCTTTTTTACTTACTCAAGGAGTAGTAGGCAAATCCTGTCCTTTTGATTTGCTTTCACTTTCTCTGCACTCTTCCATTCAATTCATAAGCTTGAATAGGTTCTAGTTATTATTCTCTTCTGACCTTCTATTGTCGGGTCCTCTCTTTTTGAGGTTAGATACAATATAATCTTTGAAGTTATGTGGATGCCCGTGATATAATATTTATTGCCTTCACTAAGGATCATATTGATATCTAGAAGTAGAATGTTAATTGGCTTTGGAACAATAACACTGGCCATATTAATTCAGTTTGCTTTTGCTGGTTGTGATGCATATTACATTAATCCTTCACTGTTTCTTGAAATGACATTGTATCTTGTGTCTTGCAGAATTGTTTATAATTTTGTGATGCTAAGTTATCTGTAGTTATTATGCATTCATCAGTCTGATTTAATATAAAATGAGGTTGTCTCCTTTTACTTTTTTTGTATATTTTGTCAAGGTGTTGGTAATTTACTTGTTAAATATCATCTGGCTTTAACACTTCTAGTCAATTTGGCTTGTCTTGCTTTTGACCTGTAAAAATTGGCAGCAGGACTGGATAATAACAAAGCTCCCTGAAAAATCCAAGTTGATGAGCTCGAATGCAATCATTGCTATTGACTGTGAGATGGTTCTTTGTGAAGATGGTACTGATGCTTTAGTGAGAGTGTGTGTTGTGGATCACCATTTACAGGTATAAATCGTTCTTTATGTTAATAGAAATGGTTAATTTAGAAAATATTGATTTCCATTTGGCACAAAAGAATTAACTTTATGCTGGCTTCTCAGGTCAAACTTGATGAAAAAGTAAACCCTTGCAAACCAGTTGCAGATTATAGAACTGAGATTACTGGAGTTACTGCTAGAGATTTGGATGGAGTGTCTTGTTCATTAGCAGACATACAAGTATTACTCATAATTTACAGATTTTCTTTTATTATCATTTATTTTCTTCATCTGAAGGTATTTACTGCATTTTGGTAGAAATCCATGAAGAAACTCCTACAGAAAGGAACTATTTTAGTGGGCCACGGTTTATATAATGACCTGCAGGGTATGTCAACCATTGTTTACTGATGAGCTTGTTTTAAAGTGGTAAAATAAACTTGCTATTTGAGCTTAGTTGCACTTCTGTGTCATACTTTAATCTTTTCCTTCTGTTGGAATTTATTTATGCTTTATAGCACTGATGGTAGACCATCAGAGAGTGATTGACACGTCATTTATCTTCAGACGTTCAGATGGACGTCTTCCTTCTTTAGACACCTTGTGCAAGGTCAGTTCCTATCCTATTAATAATTGTTATGGTTATGCTGCAGTAAATTTGTCTTCTTTTGTGGCTGGAACATTTGACCAAGCAAGATGTGATTGTTCTAATTTGTTTTTGCCTGTCAATTAGTTTTATGCTGAGCTATTTATAGCAGTTGCCTGACATAGTTTGCCAATAATCCGGGTCTTTCTTGATTTCGACGACTGCTCTTCTGTCGTCAATTTAAGACATTGTTGATATGATTTCTTTGTCTGAATGAAAAGTGTGTTTCCATGTTTAATTCTTTCATGTATTTTTCTGACAGTCTGTGCTAGGTTATGAACTTCGCAAAGAAGGTGCTCCACACAATTGTGTAGATGATGCCTGTGCAGCAATGAAACTCATTCTTGCCAAGGTCGAACTCGGAGTTAATACTGACATTCCATTGAATCATGAGGATGTAAGTTATGAGATATTTGTTCTCTCTAATTTTTGACTGGTGCAAATCTAATAAGCAATTTCTTTTCAAAATAACAGGTGTTGGAAGGTGAAATGGCAAAGCTACTTCTCCATAATATACCAATTAATGTCCCCATCAAAGAATTACATGGAGTTTTTCCTCAGAAGTTTATAATTGAGTCCAAGGTTGAGTATATCCTGTTTATTTCTTACTCTTTCTATAGAAGACTCTTTCTTAGTGTGACTACATGAAATGCAGAAATACCTCTCTAGAGGATACTTGGCCTCGTAGAGCCATGTCTTCTGACGAAGTTATTATTCAAATGAACTTGACCCCACACATAGCCTTAATTGTATAGTTCAAAACTTGAAAAATTTCTTTTAGCTGCGGAAAGCTGCTAAAATATTTTAGACAGCATTATGGATACTTGGCCTCGTAAAGCCATGTCTTCTGATGAAGTTATGTTCAAATGAACTTGAACCAAGGGTACCTGTAATTATATAGTTCAAAACTTGAGAATTTTCTTTTAGTTGAACAAAGCTGCTAAAATATTTTAGTTAGCACCATGGCTGGTAGGCTATTTGTGTTGTGTCTGCCAAAGTGTTTTAGACAGCACTGTGGCTGGTAGGCTAATTGTGTTGTGTCTGCTAAAATACTTTGGGCAGCAATATGGCTGGCAGGCTATTTGTGTTGTGTCTGCTATTCGTGCATTCTGAACCCATCTGATTTTTCTGAATATGATTTCTTAACTAGTAGCGGTAAGGTGTGGTTTTAAAAGCAAAGGATGGGAAAAGTTATTGACGTTATGATATTTTATCAATTCGATACAAGAGAAAATGAGGAAATGTACATCTGGCTAAGACCAGCTTTTATATCTCAGCATTTAGGATATTTGTTAGTCTCATATGCTGTGTGCATTGGTTTATCAAAGGATAAATTTTGTTATTTCTTGATGAAAGCCTCATAGTAACATGCATCGAGCAATCAACCAAAGGTTTTATTTTGAAAATTTTGCCCTGTTTAAAGAGAAAATCAGTTAATCAAAGGTTTAATGATACCTGTGAAAATAATTTCTGAATTCGTGGACAACCTACAAGTTCAGTTTTGAGTGAATTTGACCAAGGCTTCACGCACAAACTTGTTGGTTTGTGGGTTGGGAGAAAATTGCTGCCATTTAGTTGAATTTCCATTATTTCTGGTTCAATCCATATGACTTGCTTCGCCACTGTTCCTGTGTACTGACTTCATTCAATGTCTGAATAAGCCATTTCAAGTTTTCTAACGTGGTGAATGGTTTTAATAGCAGCCGCCTAAGAAAGCTCATGGAGTGAAATATTCTGCACTTGCAATATTTAAAAATTCACAAAAGGCATGCCAGGCATTTGAAAACTTGAATGGGAGACTAGAAAAGGTACTTGCTAATATTGATTATGCTGTACTGTGTGAATGAATGAGAAGTTTTCTGCTCTTTACAGTTGTTGAATGCAAAATAAATACCTGTTTTTGTTATATCAGGACAAAAATGGACTGCAACAGAAAATGATTACATTTAAACTCAACACAGGAGCAACTGCTAGTATATTTGTTCGTAAAATGACTCATGATAATTCTCCTCATCAAGGTTCGCTCAAAAAGAGAGTTTTTCAAGGTGAGGAATTAATTGAATCCAAGAAACTGAAGACTGATGATTGTGATGATCATGTGAAAGAGATTGAAAGATTAAAGGGAGAACTTAGAGAAAAGGATTTAAATAAGTGCGATAACCACTTGAAAGAGATTGAAAGACTAAAGCAGGATCTGAGCGCAAAGGATTTTCAAATCTCTGCACAGGATAAGATCATAAGTAAGCTCAAGAAAGAGCTGAAAGAAATGAAAAAGAAGAGAAAAGGACACTAATTTTGGTCTTGTATTTTTATTTTTGATACATTTGGAGTAATGTATTCTCATTTTAATGAGATTTATGTAGCGATTTGAGGCAGCTTAATACAGTGGTTTCATCCAGTATTCTTTAATATGCTATGCATCTATGCTTTGATGATGCGCGTATGAGAGAAAGACGTTAAAGCTGTATTAGGCGGTAGAATTATTTTTCCCAATTAAAATGAATGAATAGAATCAACCAGCACTTATCCAAATCCTGTCATCTTATAGTAAAATTCCAATTCAAATGCAATGAATGAAAAATTTGTGCTATTGCACTTTAGTTGTAACAAAATACAAATTTAGTTCAATAATTTCTCTTTCATCCTTTGTATTATTTTTTTTTTCAAAAAAAGGCATTCAATTTTTCATTTATGCGGATTATTATTATTGGATTTGTTGTGTATAAGACAGAGCTGAAAGTGTTTTGGTAATTATTTCTCAAAAATGTACTTAGGTCCCCATCCCTAAATAATGACAAATTGGCGTATCACATTAAAGGGACGAATCACAAATTTACAATTTTTTTTTTTTTTTTTTTGGAAAAGGAATAAATTTGCAATCTAAAATGTCCTTGATTTCCCACCAAGTCTCCGGTCAATGGTGACCAAAATTGCTTTTGCTTTCTGAAACTTTTACCAGACCTTCTAGTGCTTTTCTTACATGGCCAGACGATACAACGCATGGGTCCACCCTCTTAAGTGCATCTGCTCCACACTTATATCGTATACTGACCCCACAAGTCATCACTTTAAACGGCCACGATTCATTTCCTTGACTTCGTACCACGCAATCCACGCTTCCCAACTATGCGCGTCTATGACGGCAGTAAGTGCATGGTCGGCCCTGGCGATTGCGACGAGGACACGCACACCCTTTTGACGGGGCAACCGAATCAGAGCGACGCACCTAATTCACAACTTCCCATTTATAATTCTCTCTACTACTGAATCCCCCAAGTCCAGAAACAATAAATCGAAAACTCGGTCAAAATTTCTCTTTTCAAGTGGCGCGTGTCTATCACTTTGCTAATGGGCCAGTCCGCCTCAACCACAAACTCTTCCGCCAATCGAGTTTTAACTCCGGCGTTTCTTTCTAGCGAATCGCCTCAGCTCGTTGAGGAAATGACTACTGATGTTGATTACACAGAGTATATTCCTGATGAGTGTTTGGCGTACATTTTCCATTTCCTGTCTGCAGGGGACCGGAAACGGTGTTCCTCAGTTTGCCGGCGGTGGTTATTCGTTGACGGTCGTAGCCGCCACAGACTATCCCTTAATGCGAAAGCGGAGATTGTGTCGTACGTTCCTAATCTGTTCATGCGGTTCGACTCTGTCACTAAACTAGCTTTACGTTGTGACCGCAAATCTATGAGCTTAAACGACGATGCATTGGTTATGATCTCGATCCGTTGCCAGAATCTAGAGCGCGTTAAGCTCCGCGGCTGCCGCCAAATCACCGATGAAGGTATGGCTGCATTTGCTAAAAATTGCAAGAAGTTGAAAAAGCTCTCTTGCGGCTCGTGCGCTTTCGGTGCCAAAGGCTTAAACGCGGTGCTCGATCACTGCGCGGCTTTGGAGGAGCTGTCCATTAAGCGGCTTCGAGGCATCCATGACGGAGCCGAGATGATTAGGCCAGGTGCCGCAGCTTCGTCTCTGAAATCAATTTGCTTGAAGGAACTGGTCAACGGTCAGTCTTTTGAACAACTTGTAGTCGGAGCTAAAAAGCTTAAGACCTTGAAAATTATTCGGTGCTTGGGTGATTGGGATAAAATACTTGAAAGTATTGGAAATGGAAATACTTTCTTGATTGATGTTCATCTAGAGAGGATTCAAGTGAGCGATCTTGGACTTGTAGCGATTTCAAAACGGGTAAATATGGAAATTTTGCATATTGTAAAAACTCCTGAATGTTCGAATTTTGGTCTTGTTACAGTGGCAGAGAATTGTAGACAATTGAGGAAGCTCCACATAGATGGTTGGAGAACTAATAGGATTGGAGATGAGGGTTTGATTGCTGTAGCCAAACACTGTCCTAATTTACAAGAACTTGTTTTGATTGGTGTAAATGCAACACATTGGAGTTTCGCAGCTATTGCTGCTAATTGCCAAAAACTGGAGAAGTTAGCTCTTTGTGGGAGTGGAACAATTGGTGATCATGAAATTGCTTGTATTGCATCAAAATGCGTGGCATTGAAGAAGCTGTGTATAAAGGGGTGTGCTATTTCAGACATTGCAGTCCAAGCACTTGTTTGGGGATGTCCTAATTTGGTTAAAGTCAAGGTGAAGAAGTGCAGAGGAGTGAGTAATGAGGTTGTGGAATGGTTGCAGGAGCGAAAAGGGTCATTAGTTGTTAATTTTGATGCCAGTGATACTGAAGGTTTGGATACTGGTCTTAGTGACGTTGTTGGAGCTTTAGAAAGTGGAATGGAGTTTCCTGTAATGGTTGGTCAAGTAGTTGTTGCAGATAATTCATCAAGTACAAATGGGAGATTGGCTTTGTTAAGAGCAAAGCTTGGGCTTTTTGCAAGTAGGAACCCATTAGCTTGTGCCTTTACTAGATGGTCAGGTAATGAACATGCTAATCCAAATAACAATTTGTGAATGATCTTTGTAATAGTTATATTTTGGGGCTTTGTATACAAGTTTTCTTTGATTTTTGTTCACACACTGAGATTAAATGAAAACAACAAGAAATATTTTGTCTTTATTATTGCTGGTATATGTGAAGTTCATCTTATATTTGTAGCATTTCATTGACCCTCTTGTTTGTTGGCTTTTTAGTTGTCTTTGTATGAGCAATGAATCCTTTTATTATGACCTCTTTTCTTTTTCAAATTTATTGTTATATCAAACAATTGAGAGTATTTGCATCATTGCATTAGAAAGGACAGTTGCTGCTGTTGATGAACCATCTGACCCTAAAATACCGAGAATGATGATGAAGTATGAGTCATTTGCTCTTGCCCTTCCAAAAAATTTTGGTATTTGATTTGAAAATTTGAATCCATTTATTGTATTGTGCTTGGGAGGGAAATGAACAATAAACAAGCCACTGCAATAGCCACCGGGCCGAAAAAGGTATTCCCCCCCTCTGTTAATTTCTTAATTGTTTGTGGAAACCTAGCTCTCACACTTAGATCAGGAACTTCAAAAATGGCGAGCAGGTGATTGTCGAAATCGCGAAGTTGATCCAAAGGCAAGAAAGAAAAGTACTAAAGGTGGCTGGAAGGAGTTTCTAAATGCGTATAATCTGAAGTTTGGGTCTAGTATAAGTGACCAGCGAAAAGGTCCCGTGAGACTTTGATTTCGTTTCTACACACCTTTAATGAGAAGGGAGATTTGAAGGTGATAAATTAGGTTTTGGTTACAGTCTATGTATGAATAGTTAGTTAGCCTGTTAATATGACTTATTACATCCTACAAAGGTTGTATTCTTTTTCCATAAATTTGTTCATTTGAGATTCTAGTTTGTTGATTCTGTTCCTCTGTTGCTCGAATCGTAAGGTATTAGAGCAAATAAGAAAAGAAACTCCAGATAAAGACGTTTCATATCTTTAATATGCTTGATGTAATTGTATTTATCAAAATCCCTCTTGATCTTTATCATTTTTTTTTTCTCAAAGAGCTCGTTTGAGCAAGTTCCTTGTACACTTTCAGGCTGCAATGTAACCAATGCTTCACTCACTTTCATAATCTTCTTCGTCCCCAAAGGTAAAAACTGAAGCATCAGCAGCAATTGCCTTAATGTCACTTGCTTCCACTGAGCCCAGGTTAGGAATCTCAAGGCCTGAGACAGGTTTCTTAATCCCACCACTGGATGTTCCCTCGGATGCATTAACATGCGAGGGTTCTCGACTCCCAGTAGATAATTGCTCAGTTCCCTGTGTTAAGCTCTTAATTTGCTCTTCTGTGATGTTTGATGTTTGACCAGATTGAGGGGATCCAACTCCAGAAGCATCAGCTTTGCTGCTCTTTGGAGCACCATTTTCTTCTCCGTCACTATCTGAGAATACATCATCTTCATTTTCGGAGAATTTTCTTTGGTTAGAATTAGCTGCAACTCCATCATTTGACTTGGAAATAGAGCCTAAGCTAGTACTGGCAGAATCAGCTTTAGGCCTTGGTGGAGTACCATCGTAGTCAATCATCACAACTTCAACCTGGAAACCTGGTGAAGGCAGTTTTCTCTGAAGAAACACAGTCAAGACGCATCAAAAAAATGCACCGAAAAGTATAGAAATCTAGCCTACCTACTGTCTTGAATCTCGAGTATTTGCTGAACCAGATAAATGGGGAAAAACGAGGTAGTTATTTACCTTGTCAAAACAATCAAGTTCAGATGCGTCTAGTGTTTTTCTGTTTTCTGTCATTGTCGTATTTAACCAACTGATGACCCAAAAAAATAAAAAAATGATATCTTCAGTTTTAACAAATACGGACAAACAAAGAAGTGACTACAGGTCTTTTGTAAAAGATGACGACTGTTTTTGCACATTAAACAGAAAGATAAATTGGATAAATGGCTAATTCTTTCAGTATAACCTATTGAGGGAAAAAGTTATCAGTATTAGAATTTCAAATAGGGTACCAGTAGAAATCTCCTTGGCGATCATGAAATTGAATTTTGAAGTCCCCCATCAACTCTGTCAGGCCTGGCTCACCTGGTAGAGCAAATACCAAAATCCCCTTCTTAGGTGCACTAATCCAGAAATCTTCCGGCTGCAAAAGTTGATTCAGCATGCTTGGATCAGAAATTTAAAGTAGGATTAGCACAGAGGTGACATTAATAACCAGAACAAGCAATTAGACCATAATCAAACAGCTTGAGTAAAGATCTACCATTAAATCCTTAGTTTTGGGATGCTTTTTTGTTGAGAATAGAACCCCTGTGGATAAAAGAAAACTTCTTGGTTTACACATTTATATGCCACAAAATTTAATGACAAACTAAATGAAAAACAAATGAAAATATATAGCCTTCCAACATTTAAAACAAATGATTTTCTACCAAGAATTTCTGATGATAAAAGAACTCAATAACAATGCTGGTAATAACAATGACAACATGCATGCCAGTTGGAGCAAAACCTAACTCAGATGCTACTCAATAATAGAAGCCAATGTATGGACACAACACTGAAATGAAAAGGAAAATCATTTATCTAATTTGTTAACTTAGCTTTATAATCGAACTCAATGCTTGTAATGCTTTATTTATTTAAATTCTATAGATTTAGGGCAATTTTGGGTCTTTTAAATTTGCTTGAAACATTCTATTATCAAATAGAATTAAGGAATATCGACAATTTTCAAGTATAAAAAAAGTTTCTGATTGCAGTGAAATTACAGAAATTTGGCACTATAAATATACAATGAGCTCTACTGACTTGAATACTACGTGGTCAATTTAGAAGATAATTCAGGTAATTGTGGGACAATAAAATGCTGAGAAAGTAGGTTTACGCTATACATTTTTTTTTTTCTGCAAATTATTAATGACAATGTTAACACAGTTAATGAATATGAATTTGCTGAAGGAAAGTCATTGTACCGCTATGATTAGAGATTGTAATAGAGGGCCTTATCCAATAAGGACACTTGTGAAGCCGAAATCCCCTAAGCATGCACCTGTGTGACTAAAATTTCAGTAACTCGGTGAAGAAAACTTTATGAAGTTTGAAAGATAACAAATTATACCTTCGTCCAGGCTGATTTTCTCCATTGAAGTATGTTAAGATGCGTTCAAAGTATTTGACATATCTCTGGGAAAAGCAGGAAACAGTTACTCCTTTAGTAATGCAAACGTCAATCTCTTAAGATACATATAAAAAAAATGTCCATGAATGGATTGACTAACAATCTGACTTGGGAGAGTTATAGCCTTTCCATCTATGCATCTTTTCTGGTTGAAGTAATCAATGGCTTCATTGGCAGTTGGGAAGAACTGCACAAAGAAGGCAAAGAAAATAACTGTACAATAATGCATTGGTCATACAACTCTAACTCCAGATGAGATAGTGTTAGGTCTCACCTTAAGGAAAAGAAGAAGGCTACATATCATTACACCTGTTCTGCCCATACCAGCTTTACAATGTACTACCACCACATTTTCAATGTCCTCTTTCAACCATGAATATGCACTTTTACAAAATGATATTATGAGGTGAATGGGAGGACAATTATGGTCATCAAATGGGAAACATGCCACCTGGAAAAAACGCATGAGGAAAACCATGCTTAGAATCTCAAAATCATTCACCATGGAGTTTAATGCTAAAATTTGCATACTATGCTCACTAGCCATGGTATCTAATTCAAAAGCTGAACAACAATGCATCAGTCAAACATTTGCCATTCCTTGTATTACACTAATTTTCGACACAATAGATCTCCATAATTCAGTAAGATATTGACACTAGCAGATGACAATTATACTCGCCAAGTCATTTCACAATGCGTTCACGTCATCACAGGAGTTTTTGTTGTCAAGACAATATATAGGAGCTTTTGTTTTTGCAAGATGCTAGTCATTGATTGTTCAGTCAAATGCATCACAGGAAGTTCAATGATTATCAGGAATAGTGAAATCCCAAATTCAAATGTGAACCTTATTCTTAAGACTTGAAAATTCAATTTATAAAAATATGAAGAACTCCTAACTGCGTTCACTATGAAGCAAGGGCCAAAATCTTACCAATAGTCTTGAATATCCTTTTTTCTGTGTGTATACAGAGAGAAAGAAAACCTTAAACAATTTATAAAACATACAAATTTATGACCTAAAATCAGTATTGCAATCAACTCATATACTGCAGCAATGACTTCTATTAACCATATATGTTGCACAGAACGACAAGAAACTGATATTTATTAGACCTAGTATGGAGATTTCTAAATTTTTTCCGATTCACTATGATAAAATAAATGAAGCTCCAAATGTCGTCCTAATTTGATCTTGAGATAAAATGTAATCAGAATAAGGCAAATGAAGATGAAGAAAACACCTTTCCCCCAAACTTGGCTGCATCATACAATCTCTCAGAACAAAGATTATACACTTTGTATTTTCCCTGCATAAAGAACAAGTAGATATCATCAAATTAAGACTTTCAATAACCAAAGCCTAGGTCAGAGACATGCCCAGCTAAACACAAATTTGATCATTTGATGAATAAAATAATGACAAAAGGCACAAACAAGAAAAATCCATAATGATATCATACCACATTCCTTTGTTCTGCTAACTATTTTGCACTTCTAGCCAGTAAATTCAATATATATATATATATCCATTAATGCATGAAACACACATATACAAATTTTACCTTATGATGAGTCTCTAAGAAACTTATCACTTCTTCCATGTGATTTCGATAGAACCCCTGCATTAGTTTTCCAGTTTATGCATTATTTAGATGATAAATCAAATTTCCATCACGTGAACTAGATAATATTGTTTACCTCAATGAATCCAAAAAGCCCAGAGCTTAAATCACCAGCAGGGAATCCCATAGCAATTATATTTTCAGTGATATAAGCCATATCCAAGTCAAATCCTCCCTCCTGTAAATTTACTAAGATGTAATCAGTCACATTTTTTGCCAAAAAACCTATTATGTAAAAGCAAAACCTATGGTAAAGAAAAAGAGGTGGAATGACACTCTCAGCGTTTAACTGAAAACTAATATACAATTTATGAACTTGCCAATAAACTAATACTAAAATAAAAGCAAAATCGCAAAAACAGCAACCTGAGTAAGCTACCTGATATCTGCGTTTATTTTGAGATACAGCATGGCGTGCCTTGACCTGCATAGCCTTCACAGCACTTCGAGATGAATCAACCAAACCTTTAGTTAAAGATTCAAAAACACCAGCTTGTTCAGATGCTGCATTGCCTTTAGAACTCTCATTTGGTCCTGGGGCTGCTGAAGCAAAATGCAATCCAAACCCACTAGTGAGACGAGAAAATGCAGAAATCCCAGAACTTGCACTCTGATCTGTTGGAGGTCGTGTTGGCTGTGGTAGGTTTGAACTTCTCTGAGATGATACACTAGAAGCAGGTGATTCACCCACCGTATCATCATGCCTAGTGGCATTTTGGGCAGCAGGCTCAGTATTGGCAGCTTTGGCAGGAGACCCACTATTAGAAACTTTCACTGGAGGCTCAATGGAAGAAGCTTGAGCAGGAGGTTGAGCAGATGAGTCAGCAGATTCAGAATCCATTAATCAACTATCAAGTCTAAACGCTGGCTGGAGTTAGAAGCCGAGTTACAGAATCTGTAAAATGGCAATTACAAGAAACTAGGAACTAAGAAACTTCGAGACACAAATGTAACAATAAAGTTAAACAAAATTTCAAATAAACACTAGAACCAATAATGAGCTCAATTAGATGGAAGCTCAATTATGAGATTCCAACAGAAAATTATCAGCAACAATAAGCAAAAGTGGCAGATCAAATAGTAAATTCTACATTATAGCAAGAGCAAACTATTGGAAAAAGCAGATTATCTGACAAAGTAGAAGCATTAGCAAGAGCTATCAAACCACCCTCGTACTGAAGTTGATGTACCCACAAAATTTGACTGAGGCATTTAGTATTCCAGGAACTGGGTTTTTAATAGATCAGTAAAACATGCTAAATTGGAGAAATACGCGAAAAGGAATTGAAATTTGGAAATAGAAATAAAACAAATATAAATAGTATAGCATTTCGAAAAATGTGAGAATAAGCAATAGCCTGTTAATGGCTTTTGGACCGGCGGATTCAGTGAACAAAGAAGAAACACACGCAGAACAGCTGAGATCTGATATCGAATCTTCAACAAGAGAAAGTTATGTATATATGTTTTCGTGCTCGAATTTGCAAAAAATATATAATGAGACTTGAGAAAAATTGCAGCATTGGATCAGTTAGTTACCGGATTTGAATTCAGCTTTTCTCTTTCTCTGTTTGCCGGGAAAATTAAACGGGAAAAAAGAAGAAGAAGCTAGAGCTGGTCGTTGTGAGAGAAGTGAAGGCATTCCGTTGATTTGCGCTAATCTACCAATACCATACCACGCTCATATCTCCCCGCTCTCTTCGGTCAAAGCTCAAAATTGAAAATTAATAAATAAATGAGTAACTGTCTTAGTTTTTCTGTAATATTTATGGGCCAAAAGCCTGCTTTAATGGGCCGCTGTTGTTGTACTTTAGTGGGCTTAGGCAATTGTGGAGAATATTGGAAATATTTGTAGCCGACCTGTCGTCCGACGACCACGATAAAACGTTTTCAAAAGAACGCACGAAACGGTGTTCAATGAAAACAAGAGATGAAGAGGAATTTGTCGATAAGGGTAGTTTAGTTTTTCACTCGATATTTAATGAAAAAAAATCATTTTTTGAAGGTATAATGATTTAAAAATTATTAAAATTGAATGGAAAGACTGTTTAATGCTTTATCTTAAAAATTAAAAAAATTTAATATATAAAAAAAAATGAACGAATTAATTAACTTTGTAAAACTCGAGAATGAAATAATTATTTTTCATATAAAAAAAGGCAAAATAAAAATGGTATAAACTTATGAAATTTTAGTGACCCGACCCAGGTCTCAGAAAACAACACATCCACGGGACTGTTGAGAGACTTTGACGCAACACAAACACTCTCTCACAGAAGAGCCCAAAATCAGGAAACCACAGCCATAGACGGAGATACCATTAGATATATATTTAGTTATTGACAAACATACAAAAGAAGAAAGAAATTCTCAATTTCTGGGCCCACAATGGAGACCGGCCAGTCCAGTGGAGCCCTATCCGGCGACAATCTCTCTTCCTTATCATCTACCCCGGCCACCATCATTTCCCGGTGGAGCTTCGCCGTGTGGCGGCGTTACCAGCACCTGCTTGATAAGACGGTTCCTCATATCCTTTACCGATGGATCTCTTGTCTCTTCATTGCGCTTATCTATGCCATACGCGTGTACATACTCCAGGGCTTCTACATAATCACATACGGTCTTGGCATCTACATGCTTAACAACTTGATAGGGTTTCTCTCTCCTCAGATTGATCCTGAGATCCACGATGGGCCCACACTCCCTACCCGTGGATCCGATGAGTTTCGCCCCTTCGTTCGCCGACTTCCCGAATTCAAGTTTTGGTACGATTTATCATTCTTGATTTTCTCTTTGTTTGAATTTGTTTTTAGTTCTTCTACTGCAGTTGTTCGTCCGTCATCATATTTGTTGGTTAGTTACTATGGATTTTCTGATATTTGATAATGGGTGTGCAATTAGAGTTGAAACAAATGTTTTTGCGACGGAATTTGAATTTGATTTGGGGTTTTTTTTAGGGATAGATCAGAGAGATCATTTAAGTTCTTAATTTATTTCTTATGAATAATGTGCTGCTGAAACTTGTGGTGTGACGATTCTTAGAGCTTGGTAAATTGTTTGTGTGAATAATATCAACGACAAAAAAGGCAACCATGAAAATTTACTAGACAGATAAAATAAAATAAGTTTTGATTCTGAAAATATTTGATGTTTTACAAAATGGCGGAGGAAAAAGAAAAGCAACCAGGAGAATATCAATCTATGAGTGAGGGTAGAGATTCTATAATATCTATAGACTGAACTAAGAGATGGTTTGCCTTCTGAATGAGTGGCACTGGCAGCAGCAATGAGATTTCACCTGATAAAACAAAGCTGAGTGACTCTTCACTGCCTCATAACAAACATATCCCTTTGCTTGACCGTTTGTATGATCTTGTGTTCTTTGTTTAGATAATGCCCTCTTGGGTGGCAGTTGTTAAGATTTTGTGGTTTATCTATCATTTTTATATTTCTTCCCATTTTGATGTTGCTGTGAGACCTATAAACATGATGCTTTTGGTCCAATTATTGAAGTTCCTCTTTTTTGGTCATGATTTAAGGTACTCTATCATCAAGGCTTTCATCGTTGCTTTTATCATGACGTTCTTTGTCGTCTTTGATGTACCTGTCTTTTGGCCAATACTTCTTTTCTACTGGGTGTTACTTTTTATTCTCACTATGAGGAGACAGATAATGCACATGATCAAGTACAAATACGTTCCATTCTCTTTCGGTAAACAGGTAATACAAAACACTGCATTCTTCAAATCTATTTTACAAAATTCTAAGCTTCAAATGAGCCAAGCTAAAATTTGCAGAGCTCAAGCTTAACTTTAGCTTGGGTTGCATTTACCTCATTCAACAAAGCAAATGAGTTGATTTTGAGCTCAGCTTCTTTATTCAAAATGAACCAAGCTTGAGCTCAACTAATTACTGAAACTGAGCCCACCTCAAGCTTGACTTGTTTAAGTATCGAACTTTTTTATTATTGATGACATCGCAAGCCAACCTTCAGAGTTTACACCTTCAAAGCACATTTGTTCAGTATTGGATTTCAACTTTTAACTAATATTGAAATTATAAATTGCATCTTGGAGTTATATAATACGTTTCTATTGTTAGCCTAGAGATATGTTAACGAGTCTTTTTAAGCTTAACTGTATCATATTACCACCAATTGATAGTAAGTTACCAAGTTTTCAGTATATTACAAGTAATTATAAGTTTTTATGTGATTTGGACATAATTGCAATTTGCAAATAATCATTACAGTATCATATGATATAGAACCTGTTATTTTTTATGAATTGGATGCATTACTTTTTGGAGAATATTAACATTTTGGTGGTATCAGCATAATTTTCATCTTAATCTAATATATCATCAAAAATGATTGTATAGTACTGATGATATACATAAGATGTGCATAAAAGAACTTATTTATTTAGTTGAGATTACTCGGAAATTATTTAGTTTATGAGGCTGTAAGTGAGCCAATTTGGAAGCTTCTAAATGTACTATCTCATGAGCCTTTAATAACTAATTGTCTCACAAACTTAAACAAGCAAACTATCAATTTAAACTTGACTTGATTATTAAAGAGGCTTCAAAATAAGATCTATCTTTGGCTCTTTAACCTTAAAGAATGAATTTCATGCAAACTTTTATTGGCCAAAGTTCAGGTAGCTAGCTCAAGAGTAACTTGACGAATAACCAACCTATTAATTCTATACCATTAGTAATTAAATTTACAACCATGGTTTTCTGATTTTAACTGTTATCATTCTTCACTTCTCTACAGCGATATGATGGGAAGAAGCCACCTTCAAGTGACAACATGCCCCTTCCTAGGGACTGAATTTTTCAGGTAGCTTAAACAATATATGATTATCTTTGCTCTTTAAAAGGCATTCTTGTGCCACTTGTTTGACTTGTTTATGTTGCAGGTGGATTGTGTGAGGGCTTTGGATGTTGTAGAAGTTATTTTGACAAATGACAGCTAATCTTGGTGCAACGAGTGATTATCTTTGTTCCTCTGATTCCCAGATTTTTACTTGGCAAGCTTGCCCATGTCATAGAGGATTTTACAAAGTGGTCCCTAATGTTATTTTCCATGAAGAGCACGGTGTATAGAGGGCAGCATACTACATTTCTTGAGCCAAATTGTTAATCTAACGACTTGTAGTTCAAAGAAGGATATGCCAGCCAAGGAATGCAAAAGGATTATTGCTAAAAATTGAGTTATAAATTGTTATTTATTTCGTTGAGAAAGCCTTGTTCTTATTTAGAGATGAGCATTTTTTTAATGTGATATTTCTCTATCTTTTGGATTGATGTCTCTTGTCACAAATTCATGCATGCCTTCTCAGCATTAGAAAAAAAAATTGTTATCGTGAATTATTTGATTGGTTCATGGTAAAAGTTTATAGATATTTCTTTTATGCATACGCAGTGGAGCTTCAAATAATGTCTTGGCCTTGCAGTAATTGAGCAGTGGTCTTTGCAAATATGAAATAACCTAATAAAGGTTATTTTTCATGCCAAGCAGATATAGGGTACTGTAGAATACTGGAAAATATAACGAAACTCTAATAACATTTATCAAATAGGTACAATAAAAAATTGCATGTTTGATAAAATTGAAGGAATTTTGTTGAAGGTTTGCCAAATAAGTGGTAAGAAACAAGCAAGCAAACAAACCAAACCTGTCGTATAGTTCCATTATTTTCTTGTGAAACAATCAAGTTAGACTATTTTGTTATGAAATGGCATTCAGCAAATTTTTCTTGTAGGCTAAATATTCTTATTTCAGCAACTACAAGTCCAAAGAAAAGAGACAGAAGGCTCAAGAAGCTGGCTTGTAATAGCCATAAACTCCATAGAAAGTCTGCGCAAAGGTAAGCAACAGCAACACAACAGCAGCAACTAATGAAATGATCGCCCAAGGATTACCGAAATAGTTATGTTTGAGACTAGCTCGCCAAGTATTCCATCGGTGATTATAATACTGGTTAACATCCTGAGACAAGCGAGAAAGGTAACTGTTGTTTATGTCAAAAACCACCTCTTGACACAGTCGGTTAAAGAGATCTGCAACTTCTGCGTCGCTGCCAAGCCAATGTTCGATTATTCCACAGTAATGAAGGTAAGCAACATCTTGTGGTGAGTTTATTAAATTATCCATGAACACTATATATGATGTAATGTCATTGCTGCAATCTAAATGGCATTGCTCAAATGCTATCAGATTAAGGAAAAGTGACCTAGTACCATCATGGATTAGAAGACGAGGCATTCGAAGAACACCATTCTTGAATTTTATATCCCAAAATCTATCAGTCTTCCTTTTCTTAAACTTGATACCTGCTTCTTTAAGCTCTGTAACACAGTGAATCAATTGTGTTCGACGTTTATCAGCAACTCGATTTGAATTTGACCATCTTTTGATCCAAATTCTTGGAACAGGCGTAGGCCCTCTGCGAAGAAGACTTGTTCGGAAAACATCAAGACAGTGCAATCCTTCTTGATCTGCTAAAGGATCAAATGTTGCATTTGAATATCCACGAGAAGATTCTAACTTACTCTTTTCGCTTTTGGTCAATGGCTCATCTGTTGGCATTAATGGATCAAAAAATCTTAATGCAAGCTTAGCTACTATTCCTTTCATGTCAGGACGATCAAATTGAAGACCAAGTAAGCGATCAAGAACAAAGAGTGGAAGCTGATTCTCCAACATTATCATGTCTCTTTGAATAGAATGCATAGATCCACGCATAGCAAAAATAGGATCATTTCTTGCATAACCCAATTGTTTAAATCCTTCTGCAGCACCTCGAAAAAGTTCAAGAACAAAACAACCATCAAGAACCATCATTTCTACAAATTCATTACTACTAAGACTAATTTTGCTTTCGTAACAAGAACGAGCTTTCTCTTCGAGTTCCCTCATAGAATCAAGAAAAAGCTCTATATCTTTATTGGTACGCTTTAGCATATGGTGAAGGGAACGCCATTTATGGCAATCCAGTTGGCGTAGACGTCTCTTTCCATGGTGGTAAGGCCCTAAAGAGACAACCTGAGGAACATAAGCCTTATCATCTCCTTCTCTTAAGTAATGAGGAACTCTGTATATGCATAATTTCGCCCATGAATTTGCTTCTTCATCGTGGCTAGCTTCTTCCAGTTTTTCTTTGATGGATATAACCCATTCAGAATCCGGTGAGGCAGTTTCATCTTTAATAGTGTCAGGTTCTGATGGTGTTTGTTTTTGTAGCTCTGATGGCGTCTGTTGAGGCTGCTCTGGAAATTGAACCAATTGGGTACCTGAAGATGGTGTTGGGATCGCAGATTCTACTGTTTCTCTAAGTTTTAGAGTGATAAGGTACCAACTGAGAAGTTCTTTGTTGTAGACTGCGACCATTTTTTTTTCTTGTTTCAGGAAAAGCAAATGGTAGATTTGGTTTTGATTGAAAGCTGCAAAGAATGCTACTCAATAAATAAAATTACAGGAGGAATTGTTTTCATCTTTTAGAGACTAAAACCTTGATTGCGTAAAGTAACGAGTTATCCAAACATCATGATTAAAAAAGTTATTAGGATTAATTTGTTAACTTCACTATTGCCAGATCAAAAAATTATTATTGCCAGATAAATATTGTTTGTTAATTTCAATATTGATAAAATAGCATTTATTGGCCAAAAAAGTATTAATGGAAATGCACAGAAAAAAAATTAAGTTAACTATTTAATTTATAAATGTAATTTTATTATTTTTTATGTTAACAAAATATTTTAATCTAATAAATAGAATTTTATCAAATATTAAATGAAAAAAACATTTTATAATTCATTACGCTAAAATATTAGGAACAATCTTTTTGGCCGCTTGAAAAGCACATCCCTTTCTTTAGAATAATAATTTTGAGATACTTTTTTTCTTTTTTTTTTTTTAGAAATAGATGATATGTTTCTTTTTTATTACTTTTAAGGTGTTTTCAATTGTGTTCCACAACTTTGATAAATCTAATAATTCTTGCAAAAATAATTGGAGATTAGTCTAACATTAGTAATAATCTCTTATTTAAATTATTTTTTCCTTGATACTCCAAAAAGAAATCTATAGTAGAAATTAATAATAATTAATTAGTTTTTTTAAAGAGCAATAATAATTAATTAGTAGTTTAATAGTCTAGTAATGTATTAAAATATTATTCTTGCAAAAATAATCATAATTATCTAGAATTTTTTTGTGAAAAAAAAAAAAAAAAAAAAAAATGCATAATTATCTAGAATTTTTTTGTGAAAAAAAAAACAAAGACAAAAAACTCCTTCAATTATTCTCAGATTGAGCATTATAAATATCTTGCCTAAACCTTATTAATTGAACCAAAAATGTTATTTCTCGAATTATCTTTTTCTATTCTCGTCTCTTTCCTTTTTTTTGTGTTTTTTTTTTTTTTTAAATTTTTCATCTGTGCTGCTTAATAAGACTCTATGGGTGGATAGTCTCCAATGCATTAATGAAAGCTGGGGTCGGAGGTAGGAAATAATAGATTGAGTTTTTTTTTTTTTTTTTTTTTTTTTTTTTTTAATTTTTCACGTGCTGCTTAATAGATCTAGGGTTATCTCCAACAATGCAATTATGAAAGTGGGGGACGGAGGTGGGAACATAAATAGATTGAGAGTATGCAAGTAGGCAAAGTCTGAATTAAATAATTAAAATATAGTTTTTAAAAAAAAAAAAACTCTTGTTTAACAAATTAGCATTTAAATATTTTAGTTTTTTTGGGGTCTTACATTGACCTTATAATTACAGAAATAGGGAAACCCTTTAATCATATTTTTATAGCACAAATACAATTAATTATACAAAGTCAAGACAACAAACAAAAAAATTGTCAAAATAGAGCTATTTTTAACAATTTTTCAATTAATTTTTAACCATGGCAATACAAGCAAAGTCTTGTTGAATGTACAAAAATGAAAAAAAAAAAAAATTGGGAGTAGAAGAATGCAATTTCTAGATAACTTGCAGGTGGAACGTTTACATTCTCAATTTTAGCATTACTCTACCTTTTTTTTTCGAAAAAAAAAAAAAAGGAAAATCAAAATAATCGTATAAATGAATTGGTCTTTCCTAATACGAAAACAATCTAATGCTGACCCACCTAAACGTCATTAAATTATTCGGACTAGAAGCAGAGACCAAACAATACCCATTCCAGAAATTTTGTTACTGCTAATGTTTTTTTTTTTTTACGCATAACTCTCAAGTTGTAAGAATTCAAATTTTGCTTGTCATTTTTCAGGATTAACGGTGTTATATTGTGTAGGTGAGTCTTATCCTTATATATAATATCAATCGTGTAAAATATTTTAAATTTTTAATTGAAAATTTTTTAAATATATATTTCCTGAATGAAATGTGAAATAAACCTAATAGCTTTCATTTTCAACATCAAATAAGATGATGTGTATGATAAAGATCAAAGAGGACATTGATAGGGATTTTTATAAAAAAAAAAAAAAAATTGCCTTGGCTTAACTATTACAGGAAGACATGATTGCTTAACCATATAATATTCTTCCCTTTAAGCTACTTCGAAATACAAGGGAGCTCGCAATTTTCTATTTTATATTTTTTATTTTTATTTGTACTTTTTTTTCCTTTGTATAATTAATGTATGTGTATTATCTTAATTTAAATTTTATAAAATAATTAAGAATTCTAATTCTTTATCATAAAACAATAAATTATGACTAGAGAATTGATTGGTCATAATTAAAATCAATTATCATACACTTAAATTTTATAGATGATCTCTATAGATTAAGAGTTTGATTCATAGAAAAAAGCAGTCATGAAAATCAAAATAAAATTAATTTTATATAAAAAAGATACGAGAATACTCGTGAAAATAAAAATAGGCACATTTTTTATTCATTATTTTATGTTGATAATTTGAGGATGCCACTGAATTTTGTAGGATTGGAGCCAACTGCTCCAAATCATAAAAAAGCCCCACCTTGGTGACAGACTCAACCATCAAATTCAAGAAGCAGCCTCTTGCAGATCCAACCCCACAACAAATAATGCAGCTACACACCAATTTTCTCTTTACAAAACTCATAGAAAATGGTTCTAAATCGCATATTCCTTCACAGAAAATTCAAATTATAATCTTTTCTAACCGTAATTCAACTATTGGAAGAGGTCTATTATATCTCCTATTATCAATTTTTATGTCCAACTTTTTATAATATTTGATTTTTTTTTTTTTTTTTTTTTTATTTGATGTCCAACTTTATTTATAATAATTCTGATATTATTATTTTTTTTTTTTTTTTGGCAATTGCTTCTTCGATACATATAGTTTAACATTATTTTTTTTTTTTTTTTTTTTTTGGTTGCTTCTTCCATACATATAGTTAACATTATTTATTTATTTGGATAAATAACTTTCTTCATTGTATATATAAATCCTTTTCTTCTCCTAATAAAATTCAAAGCTTAAACCTAAAATGTTGTAAGTTTTTTTTTTTTTTTTTTCCAATTCAAGTGATGTTTTAAGAAATTAAGGTAACTTTTTTTTTCCTACTTTTAATCTTATATTAAAATTATTAGTTTGAAATGTTTAATAAATTCTTTAAGGATATTATAAGAGTATTTGAGTCGATTATTAATATTTTTTAAAATGAAATTGTTTAATCTTCATAATGGAATATTAAAACGAAGCTAAAGCGCAAGGACAGAAGTGGTTTCTTGCTCCTTTTCATAATGGAATTATTTTATCTTCTTCTATTTCTTTTTCCTTTTTGTTTCTTTGTTTAGTTTAAGAATTGTGCCTCATCTTGATTAATTCTCCTCTAGTTAAGTGTTTGCTATTACACATAAAATATGAATTATTTTATAAACTTGAAATTTATTTCATTAATGCTTTAATGATTAAGGCTATGTTTTATAATATTGGTTGTTTTAATAAACCTCACGGTTAAAGAAATTTCGTTATGTGGGTGCAAAAACACAGGTATATGTAATGAAAAGAAATTTAGTTCTAGTCTAGTGGGCTCATGATACATGTGGTTAAGACGAAAAAAAAAAAAAGAAAAATTATATTTTATTATTTGATCGGATATAATTTTTAAAAATTATTTTTCAAATAAATAAATATATAAATAAAATAGAAAAAGTACATTCTTTTTTTATAGTTGTAGGAAAAATTGTGGGTTTATTTGGAGAGAATATAACGTTTTTATGTAATATTTTTTTATTACTTAATTAAAGTATTTATTTATTTATTTTAAATTTGCAAGTTAGAACAATGGAGAAATAAAATATTTGAATAAATTCATTAACTAACCAATATTAGATCCTAGCATGATTTGCTTTGTAATTTTCATTTATTGACTTGGTTTTTTTTTTTTTTTTTTTTATTTCTATTAATTAAATTTTGGCAAGTTCAGAACAATGGAGAAATAAGACAATACATGTTGTAAAATAAATTCATTAACTAACCAATATGTAAGATCCTACACGCAGTATTTGCTTTGTAAATTTTCAAATTTATTGAGCGTGGTGGTTGTTTTTTTTTTTTTTTGTATTTATCAAAAATTTACATTAAATTATAGCATTCTCTTCAAAAGGATATTTTTTGAAATAATCACATTGCTTTTTTTTTTTTTTTTTGTATTATCAAAAATTTAATTAAATTATAGCATTTTCAGGATTATTTTTGAAATTCAAATTGGTAATTTTTTTAATATTATTTATTTCTTGTTGTATGTTAAGATCTTAAAAGAGTTTTATTCTTAATAAAAATTTGTTATTTTTTATTTTCTTTTTTGGTATTGAATTTATTTGTAATCACTGTCACTTTAATTTAGTAAGATATTTATATTTCCCTTGCAATAAATATATGACCTCTTGATTAAGCATTTTTAATTTTCTTAATATTTTTTTTTTCTATCCTAAATATGTTTGACTTGAAAGAAAATAGTGTTTATGAAATTGAAAAAAAAATAGAACTATATATTTCTGTTTTGGATTTTGAGTTTTAAAAGTTTGTGTACACATTGATATATTCTTTTCTCTAATGCGCTGAGGAAGTAATACTATCACAATAACCAAAATTTTTACCATTATTAATTCAAATCATCTTTTTATTTTTTTCTTTTACCTACCAATAAAAAAATTTTATTATTATTTAAAAAATTTTTATTATTATCATTTCATTATAATATATATATAATATTATATATGTATATATATATACTATGTATATATATAATATATTGATTCACAATGTGAGGAGCAAGGGATTGGAGATTGAGTTGATAACAAATTGATTTTTTATTTTTTTTTTTGAGCACACTAATCCCCAGGCGTGCTAACGAGAGTCTCGTAATTTATAAATTAAGGACTCCGAACGATTAGGTATAAGAATTGATTGAACTTTGATTTTTGAAGACCAATTATTTATATGAAAAATAGAAATCAAAGTCTATAAGAAATAACATTGCAAATAGCTTTAATATGAACAAACATTCTAATGACAAATGTTAACCCAATGGCTGTATTTTATTTAATCTAAACAAAAATTATGATAAACAAAAATTTATGATTTAATATTATATAGATAAAAAATTAAAAAAGTATAAAAAATAAAATAAAACGAGTATTGTCATCGTGCAATGCAAGTCATAAAAAGGAATAATATAAATAAAAGAGGTAATGTTTTAACCTTTGTCCAAATACTAAAACCACCTTAAACGTTATTGTGTAACATGTTCTTAAGTGTTTTCCTTGCAATATATTAGGTTTAGCTTCAATTTAAAAGTATTTCCTTTAAAAAACAAGAAAACACCTGCTTTATTATGTGCTTGAAGAATTTTATTTAGCCCTTCACTTCAAGAGAAATGAAATTCAGAAACCAGAATTTCAGTTTTTTTCTGGTGCTGTTTAACGATTTAAAGCTATGTACAACAACATTAATCATTAATTGAAACAGCCTGCCTTATGAATTAGACCAACAAGGATACATAAGAGGCTGTAAACGACATAACAAACTAATCAAGAAGCAATTTCTTGCCATCTTATATATAAGAAGCAATTTCCTTGCCCATCCTTATATATATAATAGAGTATATATACTATAATTATATCTCTGTACAAGCATTTTGATGAATTTTGCCTCACCAGCAGGGAAGAAGCACCATTCCTTGTGAATAGTAAAAGATTGCATTGCAATTCCAACATTTGGCCTCTATACATGTATTAAGCTACATTACGTTCCATCCTTATATAGTCCAATTTTCACGGCGGCCATCCGGGACCCCATGAAATTTCTACAAATCCATATATATTCTTCAAGCATTGATAATTTTGTCAGCAGCGGAAGAAGCAGCATTCTTGATTGGATAAGAAGATTGCATTGCAATTCCACATTTGCCTCTATATGTATTAACTACATTACGTTCCATCCTTATATATCCATTTTCACCCCATCCGGGACCCCATGAATTTCTAACAATCCAATAATCAGTTCCATTTTCAGTTCCATATCCAACTATTACTACTCCATGATCTAATGCCGAACCACATTCGCCAGTAAACACACCCTGCACAATATTAATTACAAATCATTTAACTAATTAGAAAAGAACAAAAAGCTAATTAAGAAAAGAAAGAAACTAAAGAAAGAACTTACAGATTGATAGAACTGTAAAGCCATGCCACTGGCTTCAATGGCAACACTGACAGGTTGATTTGCTACAGCTTTCTGCAACGATTTCTCGTCAAAAGGGGTAACGTTCTCAAACCCATCAATTTTAACCACCTTTTTATTCATCTGAAACAACCCAAAAACAAAATATCTAAGTTAACCTCAAAAATTAGTTGGGACCAAATCTAACGAATTAAATCAAGGGTTTTAGTGAGCAGCTTCTAATTTGTATATTAGAACCTTGGTTTTGTCGCATGTGCCATCAACGGCTAGATAAGGATAGTCTTGTTCAGTGTCAATGCCACCATTTTGTATGATAAACTGAAAGGCGTTTTCCATGAGGCCTCCATTGCAACCTGCATCATATGTCCTGTCACAGTCTACAAGTTCTTGTACTGATAGAGATAGTAGTTCCCCCGTTACAATCTTGTTTATTCCTTCTATTGCTGCTATTGTTGAAAATGCCCAGCAGCTGCCTGAAAGCCATTTCGAAATTGTCAATTACGGAGTTGAAGGATTAGATATTGAAGAACGTTATAAAGTTGGATTGCATTGCTTTTTCATCATGATGGAAAGAGTTGAAAGAAATACTTTCAGTTTTTTTTTTTTTTTTCTCTTTCTTTGAAAGGAAAGTAAATTCCATGATTTGGGCCCAATTTGAGTTTCGCTTCCTGTCTATTGCCTATTAGACTAGCCCATGTTTAAATATAATTGGGGAATGAAAAACGCTAGTAGATGACTTTAACCAGTGTCTGAGCCCAAAGTCAAGTCAACCTTTATATGAGGCTTGGATTTGGTTTGATTCCTCATTAGGACCATTTCAACGCACGTGCAATGCTAGAAATCTTAAAAGGAATCCACGTGTTAACCAGAGGGTACAAAAGTGTAACAAAACTACCATTCTTAACCACCTTTCAAAACAGTGTTCAAACAAAAAAAAAAAAGAAGGAAAAGAGTTAGAAAATGCCCCAAAACTTGGAGCAGATATTCAATTTGACCATTTTTTAACTTTTAGGCCAAATGAATCCATTACTTATTAGAAAAAGATTAAAAAGCCCATGTGTTAAGTTGAAATTTATGCGTGGAGCACACGCAGTCAAAAGTAAAAAAAGATAAATAATTACATTAAATGCCGAAATCCTCAATTTTCTATCCTAATCACTATCCCTGCAAAAACGAGATTGTTAATCAATTATGCTATAATATTCCAAACAATGTTTTAGTTTTCCTTTTTTTTTCCTCAAAATATCTCCTTTCTCTGGTTCATCCTCTCCATTTTCACTTTCTTCGATCACATAAATCATGGTTTATACACTATTTTGGCATCAATCATGAATCATGAATCATGGAAAATAATAATTCCCACTTTTTAAAATTTAATAAAATTAAAATAAAATTAAAGATGAGTTTAATTTCGATCTAGCAAAATCAAATATTAAGAGAGAAAGAATTACTCTCCTATTGATATATATAATCTTCAGAATTAACTAATCATGGTGGAAGCGGAGCATGATGAAATCAAGAGAAAAAGATGGATTGATTATGGAGAGAGAGAGAGAGAGAGAGGAGGTAAGTTGATGGATTAGAGATAAACAGGAGGTGGGTGGGAAAGGAGAGAGGAGAAGAAGTCTCTTCTCCAACATCAGTCTTTTTTTTTCTTTTTTTTTTAAACAAACCATGTAACACGCGCGGCCCTATTTTTGTAGTTTCAGGGGCGTTGGCTAACTTACTATGTGGGCTTTTTTATCCTTCTTTATTAAGTAATGGGGTCATTTGGCCCAAAAGTTAAAAAACGGGCAAATTGAATATCCGCTCCAAGTTCAGGGGCATTTTGAACCTTTTTCCAAAAAAAAAATTACCTTTCAAAACAGAGTTCAAACAAATTTAAAAAAAAAAAAAAAAAAAAATCCAAGTTCAGGGGCATTTTGAAACCTTTTTCCCAAAAAAAAAATTAACCTTTCAAAACAGAGTTCAAACAAATTTAAGGCAAAGAAAAAAAAAATACTTTCAACAAAAAAAAAAAAAAAAAAAAAAATACCTTTCAACATGACCAGGAAAATACCTGCCATTCTACCCCATCCAATCCCAACAAGTAGAAAATTTAGGAAAATTTCTGACCTACCCCAAGAATATGAATGATTTTGTACACCAAATCAATTTAAAAAAAAAAATTAAAAATATATTACTCTTTTGTTTTTTTTTTTTTTCGGAGTATGATTAGAAATACTATTAAACAGTGTTTGTTTGTCTTTTTCTTTTTTCTTCAATCTCAACCCTAGGCAAGTATTTCCTAAAGATATTGAATATCATATAAGAACTTGAATCAAAGCAACAGAAAAAATGACAAGAAAGAAATTTGCTTACCACAATTTCCTTGATCTTTGATCGGATTAACAGCTCCTTCCTCTCTCCAATCAACAGATTCCGGAAGCTCATCACCGACCTTGAAAGCGTATCTCCGGCTAGGTTTTTTGGTCATTAGTCTACGTTTAACGTCAACTCTAGTGCCCAAGAACATTGCACGGTACTCCTCATTGGTAAGATCAGCAAACTTAGTCAATCCAAGCTTGTAGGAGTGGTTTTCAGAGTTATGTTCATCAATAAATCTCAAATTATTCTTAAATATTTCAAACCTCCTCTCTCTCTCCCCTAGCTTGTTGTAAGCTTTCTGGTGCTTCGCAAGCCACCAGTTGTACATGTCCATCACCTCATCATCGCTTCTCCAGCCTGATTGATGATTATGATGATCATCATAGCTGATAATTGACATGTCTAGGGCAGATGATAAAGTGAAAAAAAGAAAAAGAAGGGTTAACAATGATATAGCTAGTGCCATTGTTGTTTTGATTTGAAAAACAGAATTGGAATGAAAATAAAGAGAGAAATGTACGTGAATTTATAAAGAGAAAGTAGCAATTTAACTCGCAGAAACGGAAGTAAACGCCAATTTCCTTTACGTGTCGTATGGTAATTAGCCATAATTGAGACAAAAAGGCTCTCTATCTTATTATTACCAACTAGTCAAAACTCAACTATAACTGTGTGCCACCTATGAAAACGTCCAGTCGTCAACCTCTTGCTTGTGAATTTTGACAGTTAGGTATCAGATGTATGCAGCGAACAGTCAACAGAGCTAATCTACATACATTTGTAATTTGTTCAGGCAAAATTTAGCTTGGCTGCAATATTCAGATTTCTATTGCTTAATCCTCATCAGATCAACAATTACAATCACCAAACGTGGCAACATTGTCTGCTATGATTATGACTGAACAATTTATTACAATGGGTTTCACTTCCACCGAGTCCAACAACTGACACAGACTCTATAAATTGGCCATTTAAAGAAAGATTTATGTATAAAATTTGGAGCATATTTCAGATACAAGATCCCTGCATTGAAGAAGGAGGCCTATTTCAATCATACACCTTCCAACAAAACCATAATATCAATCACCCTCAACATGTAAAATTGGGATACAAAAAAAAAAAAAAAAAAAAAAAAAAAAAAAATGTATATATTTTGAAGCATATTTCAGATCAAGATCCTGTCATTGAAGAGGAAGCCTATTTCAATCAGGTACACCTTCCAACCAAAAACCATAATCCATCTAATCACGCCTCATACATGTAAAATTAGGGTATACCAAAAAAAAAAAAAAAAAAAAAAAAGAAAAAAGGGGGTGGGCCGGGGGGTAGGAGGCAAATGAATAAAATGCGTGTGATACGGTTGGATTCACAGGGCGGTGGGGGGGGGAGGAGGAAATGAAAAAATGGTGTGATAGGTGGAATTCAAGGGCGGACGTACACATTAGATGCCCTAACTGTGATATGTGCCTTCTCAAATGTAGCTGCCAACCAGTAAGATCGTGTGATTTGGTGCTTTTGATTTGTCAATCAAATTCATGTTGAAGGCTTCAAGTCTCAAATTCTCATAGAAACTATATATTGTGTTCTAGTTTAAATGTTTTCAGTTTTGCTCGGAGTGTCTTACAGAAACCTGTGTGTCAACAACTTTTGCTTCGTGCTTTCTCTTACTCCGAGAACTGCGTCTCGATCTTGACGATCGGGTCTTTGTGTGCTTAACAGTCTGCTCTGAGACTGAGGTGCTAATCACTGGCTTTTCATTAGCAGGAAGCTCAGGAGGAGCATCTGGCCATGGTGTTCGTTTTGATGGGACCGTAATTTCCAATGGAGGATCGATTATCCATCTGAAAATGGCACAAAGTAGAAATAAGAATGCCTGGAAAAGCAATCCATTTCGTAAAAGGGGCTCAAAGAAGATAAATGCTCTCTCTTAGTAGTATATAAAGAAATGTAACCCATTCTATACAGCTCAAGAAATTGAAAGCAACATATACTTTAAAGTAAAAATTATGATTTCAACCATTCATGCTCTGGAAGCATATTTGGATTAGAGAACATCCAAACATCCGCATTTATGATGAGATGATCATCTAGGAACTATATGATCATTTAGGAACTATATGATTAACACACATAACAAACTAACAAAGTTAAGACATCCAGATATCACAATTCAGGCAGCAGCCAAAACTGCAGCTGATCATTTAGGAAGAGCTAAAATTTAGACAAAGCTACATAGCTGAGAACTCCTAAAGGTATTTGCTTCTAGCAACTAATCCTTGTACATTGGATAGCTCATGCAAAACACTTGGACTTCAAGTGAATATTGATAAGCTTATTTATACAAAACTTTTAATACAATTAAAGCCACATCAATGGCTATGGTATGATCAGTCATCAAGAGACTTCTCTATTAAGTATTAACAGGACAAGCTAGTACTGATTATCACATGAATGTAACCCTATACACTTTATGCTGCATTAATGTGAAATGAGTAGCAAGACATCGGCATTTTTCTTGCCTGCCAATTTACTAAAAAAAACAAAGCCAACAACCAGCAAAAATACTTGGCAAACTCCTTTTCCAACAAACTAGTAAGTTATGGTACAAACTGACCTTATTCAAGCCTAAGTCTACTTAATAAATGCACTCCAGCTCACATTCAAACTTTAAGCCTAATCCTTGAGGAACCAAGCTTGAGGATCAAGCTTGATTAACCTCAAATAATTTGTTTTAAAATTTAAAATAAAAAATGATGATAAAAAGAAAAATAAATAATTACAAATATTACACAGATAACCCAAAATCAGTTTCAAAATTTGACCTACAGGGACATCCTAAACTGCGAACTAGCACATCTACTAAATTGTAGTTACAGATTTTTCGATGCCCCAAACATGTGCATCATATTTTGGGCCTAAGGATCCATTAAGCAAGCAAGGTTAAAAAACATTGTGGTAAATAAAGTCTTAATTTCTGATATATATGTCAATGACGTTTTTTTTTTTTTTTTTTTTTTTTTTTTTTTTTTTTGGTTGGTGAGGGGTGGGGAGGGGGAATTTTTGCGTTTAGCATAGGGAAATTTAAAAGCGAAGGGTTGCTTTTTTTTTACTTTTTTTTTTTTTTTTTTTTTGGTTGGGTGAGGGGTGGGGAGGGGGAATTTTTGGTTAGCATAGGGAAATTTTTAAAAGCGAAGGGTTGCTTTTTTTACAGTATATTATTTATATTTTCTTTTCTTTTTTTTTTTTTTTTTAACAATTGCATTTTGCTTTCCTCATGTAAAGCAAATTCATATGCTTACCAAATATGATTTCTTATTACTTCATAACAAAGCAAAATGTGTCCAAATTCGTACTTTTTAGAAACCAAAAAATTGAACCAAGCAGTACATAAGCTTGGCATGGATTTCAGTACACTGATAAGTTAATTTGGCTCAATTTGAAAATGAAGCAAAATCTAATACCTAGTCATATCAGCACCATCCCAGTCCAATAAACAGGCTTCTTGCATATCACCTAGATGAACACATTCTACATAGAAGGGTCATCAATAGGATCACATACTTTTATGCAAGGCCAGCACATCATGGCCTAGCTTATCATCTCTGGGATCACACCAAAAAGAATCCAAACCCAGATCTAGAGGACTAAAATATTTTATGTCTATTCCCTAAAAACCCATATGCCTCACCAATTGGAAATCCACCTAAAACATAACTTTATGCCAGTCATTCAGCTCCTGAACATTTCTAATAAAACAAACGTTGCCAAGGAAACATGATCAGAAATTCCATCTCCCCAATGCCTTGGATGAAAGGGAAAATGGACTATAAGATTTCTTGAAATATAATCAAATAGAACTTTGGAAAGGCTTAATCTCCAAGTGTGTCTCAACCTCAGGTCCACAGCAATGAATATTAGACCTAAGTGATACTAGCAGTCAACAAAAAGGATATCCTGCTCTCGACATATTAAGACCTTTCTGTGCTAAAAAGTGGCGGAACAATTTATGATCCTGTAATGCAGAAAATCATTTGACCAGCTAGGAATTGTAATTCATTCACAAGCTGACGTATAGTTCAATCTATTATAACTATGGATTCATGAGCTACACACCATCAACAATTAATAACACATCAAAACCAGGCCTACCTCACAACAATTCACATTTTTTCACTCATCAATCATGTCACTGTTATCACCTATTAGGCTGCAGAAACTATATTTTCCCATCTAAAGTGTAGGTACTAGAAGATAGCCTATGCTGTGGACAGGATTTATTCAAGTGAATTTGGAAATAACATATATCCACCTATAAACATGGAGAACTTCAAGATCATCAAATTAGGCGAATTTCCGTCTCTTCTCTGGTTCACAGTGCACCATATGGTACATGTCCAACAGTGGATTACTTGCCTATCAAAGATGTCTATGTTCAAGAAATGCCAACAGCCCAAAGTATGGCTACCTGTGTTACTAGAAGATAGCCTATGCTGTGGACAGGATTTATTCAAGTGAATTTGGAAATAACATATATCCACCTATAAACATGGAGAACTTCAAGATCATCAAATTAGGCGAATTTCCGTCTCTTCTCTGGTTCACAGTGCACCATATGGTACATGTCCAACGGTGGATTACTTGCCTATCAAAGATGTCTATGTTCAAGAAATGCCAACAGCCCAAAGTATGGCTACCTGTGTTACAAATTATCAATGTAATCGATATTCCTTTTACAATAGTAGATTAAGGAGAAGTTCAGCCTATCAAACTTTATAATGTACATAATGAAATAAGTCAGCAGATAAGCTGCTATACTGAATTTTTTTATTCTTATTTTTCTCCATCTTTTCTTACAACTATGTTATGACAAAATTTGTCAGCATGGAGATTGGAACCTCTTGACACTCCACAGATTAAGAACTTAAAAAACAGAGGACCACCATCAAAGACCTGCCTGATCTCACCAGTCCTATGGTTCAACATTCTAGAACCTAAAGTCTTCAATTCTTGAAATCAAAAATAGTAAACAATTGATAAAAGATAGTAGATAATTAATAAACAAGCTAAAAGAAATGAAAGCTAACTATCAGTGTAGATGAGAACAGACAATATAATGGAAGAAAACATACCCTGGAGGAAATTTGCTATCACTACGAGCTTCAACACGAAGCCACCACAGCAAAACTTGTCTCCCACAGCTTCCTAGTGGCTCCACCATAGAAGGGTCTTTCAACAGAGGTAGAGGACTCTCTATATCCTCATCAACAGAATCTAAATCATTTATCCAGTCTGGCTTATCTTCAGTTTCCTTCCAAAGCAATCTAGAATTCAACACAAACCCAGCCCATTCTAGCCTCTGGGGCAGCACAGTTGCCCTGTCATCAATATAAATTGCATTTTTTCCCTCATATGGCAGTGAATTAAAGGTGTGCCAACCAGCCAGCTTGTTAGATGCATTACAAGCAGGGCCCTGCACAGGCATTGACTGGCTCTTCTCTATCTCCTTCTCAACCGTAGCCAATGATGGCTCATCAGCACCACCTGAATGAGCCAGAATCCCAATGGAAACAGCACCAAACCACTTCACGTTTTGGATTTCATCAAAGAGTTCCATACTATGCATATTACTATCATCAGCAAACATCACTATCCCATCCAGCTTCTGCTCTCTCACAACTCTGTTCCACCATATATAGAAATAAATCTAAAAGCATGACTGAATGGAGCCACTAATAATAATAATAATAATAATAATCTAATCCTCCATTGAATTTGCAAATCAATTACAAATTTGCTGATTTAAATTGTTGTAAGCTTACTTTGAAATCTAAAATAGTGAAAGACTGTTATACAGGAGCGAAATCTAAGGCTAAAAATAAAGCAACCAAAGAAGAAAGTCTTACCTCAAAGCGTGAAGTCGCATTTTAGCCTCCAACTTATGCCGTCCCTCCCACGAATTCGGCATTTTCTGCTTGAACCCGATATGAACAGTCTTAACTCCCGACTTTGCAATAATCGAAGCGGTTTCGTTACTGACTCCACCGGCCTCTACAACGATCCACACGACGTCGTAAGGGACAACCATCAATGAGTGCATAACGCCAGTCAAATGCAGCGTCTGGAAAGTCCGTACATAAGTCGGCGTAACCGCGATAACAGTCTTAGGGCTCTTCACTCCAAACTGAATCCTCTGCTCTCTCTGCACTCTCTCAATTATCTGATGCGCTCTCATCACCTCACTCGGGTTCGGGTGAGGCCAAGGCCGGATCCGGATCCCATGGCGCCCAACTACCACTCTAGAGCTCACCGTTTTATTAATTACAGGCGGTTCAGTGTTAGAAATCGGATTCGAAGGAACACTAAGAGGATTAGCAAGGTCAGCGGTGGTGGTGAGCTGACGGAACGGCGTTCCATAGAGATTAGTAGAAGTAGAGAAAAGAAACAGAAAAACAAGACGAGAGAAACGGAAACCGAGCACAAGACTAATAAGGCAGCAAACACCGTGTAGAACAAGCCAAAAGATAGCTGCAGGAGATTTAATCGCGCTGTCAGAAGACGAATCTAACGGAGCTGATCCTCTAAAGCTAGTGCTCCGGCGGTTCATGTAGCTCTGCTGCAACGCCGAGAGCTTCATTTCTTCTTCTGCTGCTGCTCTTTCTCTCCAAGCTACTGCTAGAGAGAGAGAGAGAGAGAGAGAGAGAGTTAGAGAGAGAAAATATAAAATTGAAGGAGAAGAAGTAGGGAAGGAAAGGGTATTTGTTGAGTTAGAATGAAGTTTTGGTGGGGTTGGTTTGTTAAGGCGTAAGATTAATCAAAAGGATTTCTTTGAATGCACGAATCAATCGCTTTGCTCTTACTGTCTCTGTTGCTGCTTTCTCTCAATTTCTCTACTGTCATTTACACGCAGCGGAGGATGAGAAATATACAAGGAAAGGGAAAAAGATAGAAAGAGAGAGACAATGGTCCATGATTCGGGCCAGGTGGCTCGGTTAATTGCTTTATTTAGGATAAAAAAAATGATTAAAAGCTTTAAATACTTACTTAGCTTCCTCATTTGAAATTTTTTAACTGTCGTGCCATAATATGATTTACCAGTTATTACAATGCTTACCATTTGCGGTAAGATTTTTTAAAAGAAGAAAAGATAATACGCGGTAACATATTGAAAACTAAAATTATTATTTTATCTTTATATTTTGTCTACATACATACATGAATTTATCTTTTGACTTCATTTATTATATCATTCTATAAATTTTTTATATTTTTTATGCTAAACACATGGATAAATTAATTAATTTTGGTTCTTTAGTCTTCTCACTACCTTGACGAGTGGGAGAAGTAAAAATCTCGAGTTCGAATCCTCTTGATTATAAGAGTTTTCACTAATTTGATGACAAACTCTACTGTGTAGCTTATTATATTATTTTAACCCATTATGCCTTCTAATGATAAAAAATAGTTAATTTTTAGCGAAATATAAAAATAATACGTCAATAAATACATAAACAGATAAAAGATAAATTACACATTTTTTAAAATGCAGATGCAATATTGTATATTATGGCTAAATTTAGAGATAAAATTGTAAATTTATTTTCATTTAAAAGGTATAAATCTATTGAACTAAATTATAAATAGTGATTTTTATACACACTAGGAAAGTAATTAGAAAGTTGGCAACCACTATTTAAAGATCCAAGTATAAGACTTAAAAATGGTAAGCTTTTAATAGTTGGATTTTAGTGTTAAAACCTATTAGACCACAAATTAAATTGAGAATCAAATTATTTCAATTTGATTTTATTTTTTTAAAACACTTTTTGTGTTTAAGGATTTTCCTTATAAGTATTAAAATTTAATTTCATAATTTACAAATTTGTTTTTTATCGGTTTTATTGAGGTGGTAATATCATAAATTAATAAAAAAATCAATCCACTAAGGGATGTAATTTTAAAAACAATTTTACATACTTGAGATATTATCTGATATTGGTAAGAATTAAAATGATAGGTCCTAACTATTAGTTAATAGAAATCCCATATTTTCCTTTATTTTGTTTTTTATTATTTTATTATAAATTAAAATTTAGAGACATAATCACGTAGTTAGAGACCGATAAAATTCTCCTAGTAATGGTAAATTCATATTCAAAATCTTTAAGTTTACAAATAAAATTTATATAAATATTTACTATTTCCATTAAGCAATCTTGCATTTGCCGAACCATATTTACTCGGATCTAATAGTATTGGATTTAATAGTATTGCAAGATATTTATTTGTGCCCATTGTCTAATGTAATCTTGTAAATCCTAATTATTTTTTGATTTGAAGAAAAAATTTATTTAATTTAATTCGATTCTTCTGCACTAAAAAAATTATTATGAATTTGGTAAAATATTATTCAAAAAAAATGATTTTTCAGCTGTATAACTCATAATGTTACTCATAATTAGACATATTAAAATATCTACAAAAATGGTTATCTCACGAGAAGCATTCACACGTACACCTAAATAGGAGAAATTAAAATCAAGTTTAGTCAGAGGTGCAATTAATTAAACGAAAACTAACTCAACTACGGCGATTTGAGTTAAAGTCAATGTCAACGGTCGGAGAAGAAGGTGGGCAGTCGATTGAAATTGAGAAGCACGTGCAAAAGCAACGGACCTAGAGAAGTTTCTACCCTCTCGTTGTGACTATGATGCAACATGCACAAAAATAAGTGGTATGAGCTCCATTTTACGAGGCAAATATTCATTTTAATCCACTATTGTTTTGTTTTGCAATTAAAAAAACATATATTACCTTCTATTTTATTAGTTATATAATATTTATCATATTTATGGTTTCAATAAATAATACAGTTATTTTTCACATTTACTTTCTATATATGATCAATAATTATTGCTTCAAAAATTTAATTTGGTGTTTGAATATATTAAATTAAGGACAATAAAATCAATTTACTCAATGATTTATTATAATTTACATAAATTTCATATTTAATGATTTTTTAAAAGGGATGTAAAATTTCAAATGTGATAAATATTATGAAAATAATACGCAAATGTTTCAATATTATCAATTATCTGTTAATTTCATCTTAATTTAACTTGTACACAAATTAAGAAAATTTAAGTAATATAAATAAATTGTTCTTGAAATTAATTAAATATTTGACTAAATAATTTTTTTTCTTTGAAAGATTAAATGTTGATATTTTAATTTTATTTATATCTAGATTTAATTAATGATAATAGTTTGACTCCAAATAAATAAATATTAGTATATTTATTCATAAAGAAACATATGAAATAAAAATAAAACAACAAATTTTAAATATTATTCACTTCTAAAAAAAGAAATAGAACAATAATTTGAATCAGATGAAAAAAAAAACAAGTAGAATAAAATTTTAAGACAGATGAAGTAAAAATTTTTTAATTACACATTGAAATTAAGTTATTTTTCTAATAATTTTGATGGTATATTCTTCACATCAATCCGATATATTTAGAAATAATATTTTGAGAACACTTTCGTCTGAAATTGAACATAAAGAGAAAAAAAAAATCGGTTAAACTATTAATCTAAGTAATAAAAAATTAATTAATGAATAAAAAAATGTAATTTTTTAACTAAAATTTCACGTTTATTGGATGATTATGTCTTTTCCCCTTGGATAAATGCATATGGGCACATAGAGAAAACCAAATCAATGGTAATGTTTGTCGTGTGACCAATTTTTACGCTAAATTTGTAATAATAATATTAATTGTTGTTGGTCAATTAAAACCATTTATAAGTCTATCTCTGCGTGCGACCCAAATATTAAGTCAAAAAATATAATAATAAAAAAAATTTTCTTAAAAAAAATCAATGTGAAAATAAAATTAAAACATAATCAATTAGATTTCATGGTTTATTTTCGTTATCAATTTTATTGAAAAATGAAAAAAAAAAAACGGTAATGAATTTTGAGTAGAGGTGAGCTTAGTTGAACATGCTAGCTTAATAAAATTGTAGCTCAGTCTGAAACTCGATGAGCCTAAAAATTTTAGGCTAGAGTTTAATTTTGAAAAAATTTAAATTTGAGGCTCAAATAAGCCTATATATATTAATATATGAAAGCTCGTTAAGGATTGATGAAATTTCGAGCGGAATATCATTAGGCTCAAATGCAAATTTGAGCTAAACTTTTTTAAACTTTTTTTGAAGCGGAACTCAAACAGCTCGCAAGCTGGCTGGACTACTTATTTACATACCCTAATTTTGACAATCATAAATAGGTAATTGCATACTTGATATATTCATAAATAGTTAATTGCATACTTAATACAAATGAAAGCATCAACATCACACAACGTAAGCAAAAAGATAATTAATTGATGGATAATTATTAACTAAAATAAAAATTCCACATGGATCTCATGTTAGCTTAAATTATCTTAAGACCAAATAAAAAAAGTAAATATGTCCAATCAGGAATATCATTGGGGTGAAGTATATAAATCTAAAACCAAGAAATTAATTAAGACCAAATGGTTAATATCAAGCCATGTAGAGTGTGAAAGAGATAAAGGGTTTGGTGGGTTGGTATGAACTAATTAGCTTAATATCACCTAAATTGGTTAGTTTTCTTGAGAATGTCGCAATCTATGCAGCCTAAGTATGGATTTGCTAGTTCTATATCCTTATATTCTCATTTTGCAGTCTCTTTAAGTAGTATGTTTGAGTATTTAATTCTTACTTATTAGCCTCTAATTAGCATTAATTAATTAATGTCTTTAGCAATCAACTACTGCTAGAAGCATTCATCTGGGAGTCGATTAAGAGTAGATAGAAATACAGTTTTCTTTAATAAGAAGTTGAGTGTTTGATTATTGTGGACGTAAAAGATTTGATGAGAGAATTTTCCTATTAAATACCAAAAAAAAAAAAAAGCATTTAGCGGACATTCTCTATTCATCTATTATAAGGTTAATAGAAAAAGAAGCAGTTGTTACTTTGTTCATATCCATGAATTAAATATTTAGAATTCGAAATGTTATAAGGTTTACTGGCAACTTGAACAAAAAGAAAGGAAACTACCACCGACTCTTATTTGTTAAGATGTTTCCATCTTTCTTTTTTTTTTTTTTTAATCCCATTTATTTATACCTCTTACAGTACTGTGCAACAATTAATAACTCTTATTTTCTTATTGTTTACAACAAGAGGGAAAGTTTTCCCCTCAAGAAGCGAAATACAGGGATACGTGGGTGTTGGGTTCCTCTTAAAACGAGAAAAGAAAAGAGTTTAGACTGGGTCAACTTACACTTGAGAAGTTCAGATCACATGATGGGTGACACAAAAGGGCCCAAACAGACTAAACTAAGCTGCCCCTCTAGGTTAAAAGCAGGCCAGCCCAATTAACTATGGGCCCAAGTCATGCAGAAGTTTCCATTTTAATACTATGTACTCTTTGGGGATAATTTAGGTAAAATGGTAAATTTATTGATAAGCTGCAAAAAATTTAAAATGAAATTTGTAAAATTGTAGTTAAGATGCATTTAAAATATATAAAAAATTATATTTGTCTCTCTAAAAATTCAACAAATTTCATATTCCATATTTGATTTAATCTATATATATTACATGTAACAATAGGATGCTCTATGTTAAAATTATATTTGGTTTTAAATTTTAATCAAAAAAATTATATGTTGATTGTGTTATAATAAGATGCTCTATGTTAAAATTATAAATTCCTAGAGATTTTTTTTTTTGGTCATTTGATATCATTTACAATAAATTTTTTATTTGAAAACTCATTGTAAGAGACAGTACAATCTATTATAAACTCATCAGGGATAATGCAACCTATTGAGAAGTGAAATACAAATTGAAATTTTGTTAAATCAATTAATACAACCTATTAATTTATATATATTCTCCATACCTTTTTTCTAAAATTAATTTTTTGTTTCATTTTTTTAAAATTATTTATAATCAACGGTCGGTGAGTATAATACTCACTTCTAATCCCAATTGGTAAACGTACCAAAAAAGAAAAATTAAATAAAAGAGAAATTATCTAGTATAATATTGGAAGTGGCTGTAATAATAATTAACATGCTTTTCGGTGCAGAGTCAATGTTTTAGGCAGCCGAACATTGACTAATTTGTTTTGGGTCTTAATAGTGAATTGATGCTCACTGAGTTTCTTCTTTTTCCACACGTGCTTAAGTAATAATAATATATACGAGAAAAGGGAAAATAATTAGCATATTAAAAACAAACCATTTAATCTAATCTTTTTATGATTAGAGTTAGGGGTGTGCACGGGACCGTGCAATCCCGACCCATTTGCGAAAATTATCCTGAATTTCTTATTTCTAGAAAATTTAGTATTAATTTAATAGTTTGGTCTTTAATTTCGTCCCGAAAGTATTTATAGGACGAAACTGATTCTTTGAATAAAATCGATCCGTACCGATCAAAGGTTTATCTCATTCCGTCCGATCTCAATAATCTGAAATTATTATTTTATTTTTTCTTTAAAATTCTATTGTCTTTTTTTTTATGAATTTCAAATTATACCCCTAAAAATCATTTTATCCTTTTTATTTTAGTTTTTTTATACCAATTTACTACTAAAATAATAATAATACGAAAAAATAACACATATTTTTTTAAATATAAAATAAAACGAGTAATTAAACATCACTTTCAACATAAGTTTTTTCTCTGTTACTCCACAGTACATATTAAGTAAATTTTTTTAATAAATTTTTGTCTATTAAACGAAAAAATGAAAAGATCAATTAATATAAGAGAAATATTAACTTCAATTAATTTGATTACTAGATTATTTGTTATGCTTAATGCTATCACTATTTATTTCTCAAATGATATTCAAGATTAATTACATGAATATCGAATTTAATCAACTTAAAAGACAACAACGGCAAAAACAATGACACTTTAAAATTCATAAAACACATACAAAATTAAATTTTATATAGTTTTGGCATTATTTTATTTTATTATATTTAATGGTTTTATTAACTAGAAAATAACTACTTAAAATTCTTCTATTATAACTTTAGTAGTAAATCATTAATAATTGAATTAATTATTTGATTTTTTTTTTTTAAACTCAAACTTTTATAAATGTATTTGGTTTCTTTGTAATTGATAAATATAGTAATTTTTTTTATCTTTTTTTTATGAAAAATAGTTTAGTAAGAATACGGATTCTAATTGATTTTCGATCTGACTCCTTATATGTTGTCCCATAATAATAATAATAATAATGTCGTTATTAATTAATAGTATTATTTACTGCATAAAGCTTTAGGTTTCCGCAATTAGTGCACTGTGATATAGATATAAAAATTAGATTTTTTTTAGATTGACTAGGGTCATATACACATGCAAGGTTTTTGTTTTATTGTTGGACACATATGTCCTTACCATCATGTGGTGTCACTTCCATATAATTAGTTTTTTTTTTTTTTTTTTTTTTTTTTGTGATATAGATAATATAAAAATAGATTTTTTTTTAGATTGACTAGGGTATATACACATGCAAGGTTTTTGTTTATTGTTGGAGCATCATATGTCCCTTACCATCATGTGGTGTCCACTTCCATATAATAGTTTTTTTTTTTTTTTTTTCTTTTTCCTTCGGATGAAAAACAAAATTTCTACTTATCCCTATCCGAAAGAACACTACATGCATTTTTTTTTTTTTTTTTTTTCTTTTTCCTTCGGATGAAAAAACAAATTTCTACTTATCCCTATCCGAAGAACACTACAGCAGCAATTCATGTCTGAAAATTTCGTAGATATGTATTAGAGATCAAATATATTTTATATTTTTGCATATGATAAACTACTTATACAATCTATAATTAAAGATTATTGGATAATATTAATTATGAACTAAACGAAATTTCTCAAAGCATACACTTTGATAACCTTAAATGAAATTTTTTTCTGAGTTTAAAAAGCAAATTAGCATTGAAAACCATGTACAGATTGAGATGGAAAGGCTTTGGTTTGTAAAATAGTTAGAAGAAAATCGTAAAATTTCTGAACCGCACAATCCCATCATGGAATCGAAACAAAACCAATAATTGCTATACCTTTAAGAAAAGGTTGAGGAAACTTCTCATCATCGTTAAACAAGAGTTGAGGAAACTTCTTTCATCTTAGCTTTAATCAGTACACATATTTGGCACTATTCATGGGATTTAAACAGAACAAGGTTCTTCTTTTTCTTTTTCTTTTTTTTTTTAAATATAATATTAATGAGAATAAAGAATAAATTAATCCATTTCACATGAAATGAAAAGTGGTTAAGGAAGATGGAAGGTTTCGTTTTTACGGAGTAATAATCTATTACCAGAATACAATAAACTATGTATATGTGTGTTGACTATAGACTCAAGGGATAAGAACATAATACTAGGGTTTGCATTCTAGAATTATTGCATGTATCATAAGTCATGTGATAGTAATTTGAATGATTCAAACAACACAATGACTAAGATACATACATATATATATTCAGACAAACTTAAATGAGGGTTTAACATTCCTCAAATGGTATGATTTGTTTCAAAGTTCAAAATTATACAAATTAGAGTCAAGATTAGATTTGACTAGATCCGATCTATGAATTAAATTAACAACAAAATACTCCCTCTGTTTTATTTTGTTCGCTTGTTATTCATTTTTTAAATGTCCCAAAATGTTTTTGTAAGATTCCTAAACTTGTATATTTAAATAATTATTTTTTTCATAATAACCTTTATGACTGTTCATTAAATGAAAGACTTTTGTTAATATCTTATTGAGTTAAGGATAACAGAAGGCAAAATAATTTTTCTTGACTAATTTTTTAATGTGTATTTTGTCAAACCACGCAAATAAAATGGTATGGAGGGAATAGTTTTTTAATAATTATTTATACTTTATATTTTTTTCAATAAATAGTCAAAAATGTCATAATTTTAATTAAAATAATTGTTTATTGATTTAAAGTTATACATCGGTCTAAATAAGTCAATTCCTTAAAATCAAATCAATAAAAAATTTATGCGTATTTGATTATATATGAAAAATATTTTACAGAAAGAATATTATTTAAGATTTAAACTTTTAATATTTCAAATTATCAAAAATCAGCGGCATTTGAGACATTTGCATTGGAAACTTAATTGATTATTTAAATGTGAACAAAATTAACCAAATATAAGTAAGACATAGTCAAACAGAGAGAAGAATGGTGCAAATAAGACAAATAGGAGGAAAATAGGGCTCTATCCATGAAAATATGGTTTTGAGTGACAAAATTGCAAAACCACAAAATTGGAAGCTATCTATGTGAAATTTCTTGAAGAAAAAAGTCAACTATATCAGGCTGGAAACGACCCACCTCTTTAAAATAATCAGACGGGTAAAGACGAAGCTTTGACTTGATCTCCTTACATCATAATCTCCATACGATCTTCAACGGTCCCTTTAGACCAAATTAACCTGCGTGGACCCCACATATATCAGAAGACATCAATTTCAATTTCCATTTTGTATGTATGACTTTCACATTTAAAACTTCTGATGGGAAAGTGTTGTGAATTTGAATGTGATTATTCTTTCGTTTTTCTACTCTTGCACCTCGTGCTATAAACAAATATTCTTTGATCGAGAAAAATGGACTGCAATTTATAAAATTAATAAGTCTTAGTATATGATTTTAAATTTATTATTTTGGTAATCAATCATTTAACCTATTAAATTAATAAAATAATTATAATCGATAGAATTTAAATACGAAATTTTTTACTTCCTATCAATCAGCTATTTATTTTAATTTAATTAACTTAATTTTATTTAAAAATAGCACTCCAATCCATAAATTTTAATTTATTTTTCAAGTCAATAAATCCAAATAAATAATGAATTTCATAATTTGTTGATTTTACATTCTATAATTTTATGCAATCCATAGATTTTATATTCCAGATTCATAGGCATATTTTTTTATTTTTGCTATAAGATGAGTTAAAAATTCATTTGTATTTCTATTTATAATTGTAATTGTGAAAGTTGAATCAAATTTATTTTTAGAAAATTATTTTCTATTTTTAAACCATCTGGTGTTCAAAATTTGTGGGCTATTTAATGATTTTCATAGATATAAATATAATGTATTGCTATTTTGAATAATTTTTTTAAATTTTTTAATTAATTTAATCAGAGATCCAAGTTCTAGATCCCTTAACCCTAAAGAGTAAAGAGGAATTAAGTATGAAATAAATTAGGATTATTACTTTAAATTAAATTCCCAACTTCAGTGCTAAAGAAATTCTAAAAAGAAATATTTTGCATATTTATCATTAGTATATACAATAAATTTATAGCGAGCCAAACTGCCAGAGACCACAATTATTTAAAAAAAAAAATACAAATAAAGAATTGTGATTGTGGTTGGATCTTATTCGTACCTACATGTTTGACGGCAAATGCTAGAGTGACGAGTCAGTGACCTACTTTATTTTTTATGAACAGGGTTCTGTAACCGATGCCATCATTTTGACCAGACTGCAAGAATACAGAAGAGACGACTCTTGCCCCCTCCCTCCCTCTGCCTTTATCAACACCCAACCTCTCCTCATTTTCTTTTCACCTCCTCTTTTCTTCTCTTTTTTCTCTTTCCTTCTGAGTTTCTTTGTTTCAGCAGCCAAGACATGGCTGTGGAGCTCATGATGTCTTATAGAAACGAAAATTTTATATCTAAGATGGAAGAAAGCGTAGTTCAAGAAGCCGCTTCAGGTCTGGAGAGTGTCAACAAACTAATCAGATTGCTTTCGCAGAAAAATCAAGAAAAAGATCAGCCATCTTCTTCTTCTCCTCCTTCATCAAGATCGTCCATGGATAATATGGACATGGATTGCAAAGCAGTAGCAGACGTCGCCGTTTCCAAATTTAAAAAAGTGATTTCTCTTCTTGGTCGAACAAGAACTGGCCATGCTCGTTTTAGACGAGCTCCTGTTTCAAATCCTTTAAATAATAGTAATACTAATAATTATAACAATCAAGTTACCCAAGAAAATAATCAAATCCTTGAAAGTAAGGTTTATTATGCTACGCCGATCCAGCAGATTCCTCCTCTTCCGCCGCCTCCGCCTCCTCAATATTTTTCTTCGGTGGTGATTCCAAATGATAATAGTAATAATAATGGAGTGATCAGTGAGAGGAAAGAATCGTCTACCACCATTAATTTTTCTTATTCTTCGGCTGCTAACTCTTTCCTGTCGTCCTTAACCGGCGACACCACTGACAGTAAGCAGCTATCTTCTTCATCGGCGTTCCAGATCGCCGGTGGGAAGCCTCCTATCTCTTCTTCTTTGAAGAGGAAGTGCAGCTCTGAAACTTTGGGTTCCGGCAAGTGCGGTTCCTCTTCCGGTCGGTGCCATTGCTCCAAGAAGAGGTATAATATAATATACTATTATAATATCTTAATTAATTAATTCATTAATTACCTCTTGCTTTTTTTTTCAAAAAAAAAAAAGAGTTATGGTTATTAACCTGGATCTTAATTTTGGATTATTTAGCAGAAAATTGAGATTAAAGAGAGTGGTGAGGGTTCCTGCTATTAGCTTGAAATTGGCTGATATTCCACCAGATGATTATTCTTGGAGAAAATATGGACAAAAACCCATTAAAGGATCTCCACATCCAAGGTATTTATTTTTATATTTTTTTTTACCATTTATAATTATTTTTGAAATTTAAATAAAATTTAATTAATAATATATTTTTAGTCTAATATTTACTTTGTAAATGAATTTAATTACATTACGTCATTGTTCACTAAACAAACTTTAGTGTATTATAATTTTGAAAATGATTATTCAATATTTTTGAACTAATCAAGATTTAAACTTTTGTGTTTATGGAATAATTAATTAATAAGGCAAATGATTAATGAGTTTGTAATTGTGGCTTGAACAGAGGGTATTACAAGTGCAGTAGTGTGAGGGGTTGTCCAGCACGCAAGCATGTAGAGAGAGCATTGGATGATCCAACAATGCTTGTAGTCACATACGAAGGACAGCACAATCACAGTCTTTCAATTGCAGAGACAACCAATCTCATCTTAGAATCTTCATAACAAGTACAAAACTCTAGAAAAAAAAAAAAAGTTGTGGGTTCTTTTAGTTGTATTTGAAGGTGGAAAGTAGGTAGGGAAAATAGTTGTAGTAATTAAGCTAATTAATTAGTAGTTGAAACTTGAAACTTGGAACTCTAAACTTTATGTTAATCTCAAAGGAGATTAATTAATTAATGAGTGAAGTTTGGTTCAATTTCCTTTAATTAATTTTCTCTTGTTTGATTTCCTGATGCTCTTTCATTTTTGTTAAAAGGGGAAAAGCAAAGTAGGAATTTTATTATTATTATTATTATTATTATTTTTAATGTTTGCTTTGATCTTAAGGACTTGGGTTCTTGAATTTGGATGCCTACTTGTAATTTATTTACTTTTTTCTTCCATCATGATCATTTGATTGAAATAAAAAGAAAATGGTAGTAATAAAGTAAAGCAGAGCACTGCGGTGGGTCAAACAATGGCAAAGAAAGGTAGACCGACGTGTCGTATTTGGGACGGTTGACTATAAAAAATAGGTTGGCAGTTTCCAGTTGGACGGCCAGTTCACGAAAATTACAAGTAGATCATTGCCAAGAGAGAGAATAATTGCTAGTATTTTTTTTTTTTCTTTTAAACGTCAACCAAAATGAAAATATATATGCATCAATAGCTAATGGGAATACTGTTCTTGGTAGAAGAAGTAAAGTCTGTATTTGATAATTTTCAAGTAATTTATAGTGTTTTGATTAAATGTTATTTTTTATAATATTTGATAATTTTTTATAATATTTGGTAATGTACTGAATTAGCTTTTAAAAATTAAAATGATGTTTTATAATAATTTATGTAACGTTTAACTTTTAGCATTTTATGAAAAATTATTAAAACAGTTGGTGTTTAAACGCTATTAAAACAGTTAAAAGTTAATTTTTCTGAATATATCTTGAGAGTCGGATCGATAGGGGAGAGGAGGTTGTCATGTTCTATTGTCTAGAAATTAATTAGTCAAACAAAAGAGGCTTCATCTTCAAATCTATGCAAATATGAAAAAACCTCATAATCATAAAAAAAGAAAGAAGACAAGAAAACTAATTGAATTAGGAAAGATGAATGAGTTTAAATTTAGTAAATTTGCTGAAGATAATAATTATAAAATGACCTTAAGAGTCTCACATAAGATATATTTTGAACCTAATAAAAATCTAAAATTATGGAATTCTAATGTTATCAACTCGATGATAGGTGACAGATGATAATTATTGTGTTGAAAATGCACAGATGAGACCCAATGAATGAGAAAATGAATCTTTCAATTAAAGAAAAAAACAAAAGAGAAAATGGATAAATGGGTGGTTGGTGTAGTAGTCCAAGTGTAGTATAGACTACAAGGAAATTAAGATACGTTATATTTGATAAAAAATGCATATTAAAAATTAAATTAATAAAAATTATTTTATCATTTTTTATTTTTAATTTATTACGATGTTAATAAAAAAATTTTATTTAATAAACAATTAAAAACTATTACGAGAAAAATAATTATTTAAGCATATAAATTTATAAACCTTATACATATTTTGAGACATAAAAAGCAAACAAAATAAAATGAAGGGAGTAATAATAACAAAAGTAATAATAAATTGAATAGGAAAACTAATATGATTTGACTGGTCTTTATAATTTTATTAAAAAAAAATATGGTAAGCGATAAATAACGAGTTTAAGTCATTTCAACCATTAATTTCACTAATTACTGAAATTTAAGAGAGGATTAATTCTTATTTATGTACTCTATACTATGTTATTTCCATATAATAGATCTTTTAATAATAATTAAAAATAATTAAAGTAGTAGCTGATAAAGAGCACTTGATTGAATTGAGAGAGACTCGTGTGTTCCGGCCCCTCTTAATGTAAAATTGCCATGATAAGCTCTCATATCTCTCTAAGCAAACAGAGAATTATATAGACCGTTAAAAAAAAAAAAAAAAAAGAAAAACTCTCTAAAGGCAAAACAGATGTATTATATTTATAAGACCGGTTAAAAAAAAAAAAAAAAAAAGGAAAATGCGGATCGGTTCAACTTGGTTGGCTCAAAGGGAAAAAAAAAAAAAAAACATGAGAAATGGAAAAGGCAAAAAGTCAAAATGGGTTGGGTGGAGAAATTGAATTAAGCAAATGGTCATCAAAAAGGGGCCTAACAAGCTTTGAAAAATTGAAAATAATTTGTAAGCCATATTGCTTTACTTTGCTCAACGTCCTAAAAATTGGTTCCCCTGATAAAGTTCGCCCATCATTTATCAATTTATCATACATGTTCTTGTTTTGGTGTGGATTATTCTATTCTATTCTATTTAATTAATTTCAGACCTTCCAGTAAGACCGGCAGCAGAAGCCCCAACAATAAAGCAAATTTTACAGTACCTTCGTTGAAAAGTTGAAGACCAAATATAACAAAGTACAAAAAATGGTGGAATTTCTCGGCGTGCTCCTGCTCGTTGCGCCCCATTGCGTAGGCCACAGGGGCCAAACGCTTCCATATTCATGGTCTTCGCTGGCCGTTGTTGTTTTGGTCTTTCCTTTGCCCTTTTGGCCTTCCATCACTGTTCACTTCTTCCCTTCCATAAAAATAATTAAAATTCATTATAATTCTGGCAAGCTGATAAAAAAAAAAAAAAAAAGGAAAATGCGATCGTTCAACTTGTGCTCAAAGGGAAAAAAAAAAAACATGAGAATGGAAAAGGCAAAAGTCAAAATGGGTGGGTGGAGAAATTGATTAAGCAAATGGTCATAAAAGGGGCCTACAAGCTTTGAAAAATTGAAATAATTTGTAAGCATATTGCTTTACCTTTGCTCAACGTCTAAAATTGGTCCCCTGATAAAGTCGCCCATCATTATCAATTTATCATACATGTTCTTGTTTTGGTGTGGATTATTCTATTCTATTCTATTTAATTTAATTTCAGACTTCCAGTAGACGCAGCAGAGCCCCAACAATAAAGCAAATTTACAGTACCTTCGTTGAAAGTTGAAGCACCAAATATAAACAAAGTACAAAAATGGTGGAATTTTCTCGCGTGCTCTGCTCTGCGCCCCATTGCGTAGGCCACAGGCCAACGCTTCATATTCATCTTCGCTGCCTTGTGTTTTGGTCTTTCCTTTGCCCTTTTGCCTCCTCACTGTTCACTTCTTCCCTTCCATAAAATAATTAATTCATTATAATTCTGGCAAGCTGATTTAAAAAAGCTTTTAGACATTTTGGTTAGCTACAGCAAAAGTTGAGTAAAAGGAAAGAGTCGGATATAAAAAATTTTAGTTTTTCCAAAAATTCTAGTTTGAGATACCAAATTCTGTCAAATCACATAAAAATACCCAATTGCTTGCATGAAGATGAAGGAAACTTTTTCTTCCTTTCCTTGCTTTTAGTGACAAGGATTTGGGCTAATTTGAGAAGTATCTTTTTAATAATCGGAAAAAAGAAAAAAAAAAAAATTTTCATCTCAAGAATTTAAGAGGAGATTATTAGTGTTGAGTAATTATACTACCATGCTAACACGATGAATTAGAATTACAATTAAAAAAAGATTAAAAAAAAATCTCAAGAAATAATTAGTAAACAAGAACAATTAACTCTTCTGATGTGAGTTTTAAGGCTAGTCATAGTGGGATCTGACTGGCAATGCGGGGAACCATTCAAATCTGAAAAAACAAAAAATGGACATTCTTTGATTGAGTCCATGGGAAGGAGATATGAGAATAGAAATTACACAAAGCTTTAGTACCCCACATGTTGACATTTTGTGGCTGAAGCTCACTTGGCTTGACAGTTTTAATTTCTATATATTCTCATATTCATTGATTGAAACTAAATACTTTTATTCTCTTCTAATTCTAAATGAATTAGCATTGTTCTTCCTTCTTTTTAGTTGCTTATTTGGCTATGCTAGCTCCACACTCAACTGGTATTTGAAACTTTGATAACTATCATTTTGGCAGCATTTGATTATTGGAATTTAATATTTTTATGAAAAATTATTTTTCTAAAAAAGTATAATTTTAGAAAAATAATAGATTATCACCAGCCCAGCCCATGCTGGTGGTTCTTAAGCCCAGCCCAGACCAGCCCAGTCTAGCAGAGGCCCAAATCTTGAAAACCTTTTGATGCAGAAACGGTTAAACCCATAGGAGTTGATGGTGTATGGTGGTTTCTGTTTCCATACGCTAAACCCTCCAGCGAAAGCGGCGATGGGTTGTCTCTCCATTCCCATCGTCCGCCCATGAAATCTCTTTTTTCTCCTCACAATATTTCAGCAAAAACTCTACTCTTTAATTCTCTTAAACCTCTCATGGCTTCATCTCTAACCCATGCACTCGCTCAAGATCCTCCTCAGGACCTAGACGACCTTCTCTGTTCTAATCCACAACAACAGCAACAAGAAATACAGCAAACGGAAGAACATACCTCTTCTTCTTTTCCAGATACGGCGTCGTCTTGTTGCTTGGATCCCGTCGGCAGGTACCTTAATGGAGAATCTAGGGTGGAGCGGGCATGGGCTCACTGGACAAAGTTGGGTCGACCCAAATTGATTGTGGCTCCGATGGTGGACAATTCTGAGTTGCCGTTTCGAATGCTCTGTAGAAAGTATGGGGCTGAGGCTGCTTATACTCCGATGTTGCATTCTAGGATTTTTACTGAGAATGAGAAATATCGAGACCAGGAATTTACAACTTGCAAGGTAATCTCCTAAAGCTTCAACTTTTTTGAAATGGTAAGTTAATGTGCTTTATATTTATTGCTGTTTGATAATGTTATTACTTTGGGAACGCATTTTTATGTAATGAGTTGTATTAAATTTATATTAAGACCTTTGGGTTATCATGGAAGTTTAATTATGGTCTTGCTGAGAAAGTACTAGTTTTGACATGCTTTTTTAGGTGTATGAACATGAAATGACACAGGCAAAGTATCTATATTTCTTAATTGTTTGAAATTAGCTTAATCTGAGAACAATTGCAGGAGGATCGCCCATTATTTGTCCAATTTTGTGCCAATGATCCAGAAATCTTATTGGAAGCTGCAAGGAGGGTGGAACCTTATTGTGATTATGTTGACATTAATCTCGGGTAATATTTTTGAGCAAGAACATTAGTTATCTTTAATATGTTAAGCATAGTGTTAACTTCACGTGTTAGTGATTGTATTGAATTAAGTGCTGAAAGCAAAAATATTACCAGACTTGCTTGAGATGTTAACAATTGAAAAATAGGTTTGATGTAGCAAGAATAGCCTTAATCCTGAACTAGGTTGTAAATTTGACAAGCGAATGTTGAAAAGAGAGAACTAATATATCATAATTCAACCAAGAAAATAAACTACTAATAAAACTGATTCTTTTATTCAAAAATCTGGTGTCTGCCTCTAAAAGAATCAGTAAACATCATCATAAATTCCAACTAGAATAAGGTCTTAATTATAAATCCTTATATAATAGTACTTAAACATAATATACTGGAATGAGCATAAAATCATAGTAGTTGTAGAACTTGAATCTAAATATGATCTGGCTTTATTAAAGCACAGAATAACCCCAATTTGGGAATGGCCACTTTTATGCGAACAGCAATGTGCTACAGTAATGGCAAAAAGTAACTTCAGAAGTTCTGAAGACTTAATTTCTCCTACGTCAAAGTGTCATCAAACTTTCTACGAAGTTGACTGATGGAAATTTTCACTCTTATTTTTCAGATGCATGTCAATTAGATTGAATTTGAAAGACTAAAAAATCTATTTATTCATAGATGCTGAAGATTTGAATAAAATATCTTAAGATAGTTGTCAATTCACATATACTGTCATCCTGAATACAAAGACTAACTTTATCGGACTTGAATTGATTATACATAACATAAATTCCTAGCCTTTATGCATGATTCCAGCCACGGGCTGGAACCTTCACATGTAATGTAACATGCTCCAATGGCATCTTTACAGGTGTCCTCAGCGGATTGCCAGGAGGGGCAACTATGGAGCTTTCTTAATGGATAAACTTCCACTTGTCAAATCCTTAGTTGAAAAGTTGACTCTAAACCTTAATGTTCCAGTTTCCTGCAAAATCCGAGTGTTCCCGAAGTTAGAAGATACTATTAATTATGCTAGAATGCTGGAAGAAGCTGGTTGTTCTCTTTTGGCTGTCCATGGCCGAACTAGAGATGAGAAAGATGGAAAGAAATTCCGAGCAGACTGGAAAGCTATCAAGGCTGTGAAAGATGCTCTCAGAATCCCAGTTCTTGCCAATGGGAACATCCGGCACATGGACGATGTTCAGAGCTGTTTGGAAGAGACTGGTGCTGATGGGGTACTTTCTGCAGAGTCTCTCCTTGAGAATCCAGCTCTCTTTGCTGGATTTCGGACCACAGAATGGGTAGTTGGCGATGAAGAAAGCAACATAGATGGAAAACTGGACCAGGCAGATCTGTTAGTGGAGTATTTGCAACTTTGTGAAAAATACCCTGTACCCTGGAGAATGATTCGTGCTCATGTGCACAAGATGTTGGGAGAGTGGTTTAGGATACATCCTCATGTAAGGGAGGAGCTCAATGCACAGTCGATACTGACCTTTGAGTTTCTGTATAATATAGTGGATAAACTTAGAGAGCTGGGTTTAAGGATTCCCCTGTACGTGAAAGAAACTAATGTTGGTACTCATGTGGCAGGAGTCTCTGCAAATGGTTCAGCCAATTAAATTTTGCAATACATGATAGTTAGGTTGCAGGTGCACATTTTCACCAATGGCGAAATGAGAATCAACGAACAGGTTATCGTTAACTTAATCAATTTGTTGTCACTTTAGCACAGTATTAGATTTAGAACTGTAATACATTTTGTGGTGCTATTTATTGCTAATTGATTTGTGGAGGAAGCAGAAGACATTCTAGCAGTTGAATGGCTGCACTCCAAATTCATACCAGATCTTTTTACCTGTATTCCTTGTAACTTTTTTCAAGCATTTTTGTATTGAATTCCCCTTATTGCTGATAATTGTATTTAATAATCACGGAGTTCTATGTAATCCTTTTTTTTTTTTTTTTTGTCGTTTTTACTGGGATGACAAAACAAAAACATTCATTTGGATGGAAGGGAATTTAAAATAAAAGTGAATTTGGATATGCAAAAAAAGAAAAAGAAAAAAGAAAAATCAGTACTAAATCAAAATGGATGTGTGAGCGAAGGGGACTCGAAATGTTTCGAGTTAAATAAAACTCTAGGACTTCTGCCATGTTTGCATTTTCTGCCAAAATAGATCTGAGCAACCGAATAGAAATGGCAGATCATGAGGAAAGTTCTAATAAATGTTTTTCAATACCTAAAAATACCCTGAATTTTACAGATTTTTGGAATTTCACTCTATTTCAACTTTTTATCAACTTTACTCCAGAGTCTGGTGTTTTTTAGCAATAATAAAAGAATATTTCAATCATTTTTCAAACTTTCTATCACTTTGACAAGACTATCGGTTTTTTTAACAAGTTATAATATATCCACACATTTAATTTAATTTGTAAGATGCAACACTAAAAAACTAGCAACTGAATTTATGACATATTAGATTTCTAGATATGCATATTAATCCGTCTTTCTAAAAACAAACATATATATATATATATATATATAATACTTCATCCGTTTTATTTTATTTACTTGTTATTTATTTTTTAGATGTCTCAAAATATTTGTAAAATTTCTAAATTTAGACATATAAATAATTATTTTTTACATAATAACTTTTATAATTGTTCATTGAATGAAGGACTTTTAGTATATTAATGAGTTATTAAAGGTAAAAAAGAGCAAAATAACTTTTATTGACTAAATTCTTAATATGCATATTTCGTCAAACCATGTAAACAAAATGTAAACAAAATGAAATGAAGATAGTACTTTTTTTTTCTGATTTTTTTTTATAAATTTATTCAGTTCCTTTTCGTGCTTTGTTTTGTCCTGAACTTGCTAAAATTTCTAATTTTGAGTTTTTTGAATGCTACTTTAATTTCTGTTGTTTAAAAATATAAAACTCAGTTCAAAAATATAATAAAATTTTGTACGTTGTCAATATAAAATGCTTCTCAAGCGTGAGTAGGGCCAAAAAAAAAAAAAAGGGATAAAAGATACAAATCCATTCAACACAAGCATAGATGCTAAACAAACCTTGTTGCAGAAACAGGGTATTATTCAGTAGCATACACAACAGTACACACTTACAAATTACAAGAAAAGTTAAACAAAGTTAGTTTGGACTTTGCCCACTAGATGCTCACCGTAAACTGCTTTCCCAGCCTTCCTTATGCCACCACTCCTCTTTATACAAATTTCTAAAGGCTCTACGGCTGCATCAAAATTAGGCTGTTCATGCAATAAAATCACATGTTAATTATCAATTTTCAATGAAAAGATGACGAGAGATAAATTGAAATATTGACTGACCTCATAAAAATAAGCTATGCATACACGATATTTTGGGTAGTTGTTGATAACTCGATGCAGAGTTGAATCGTACAAACCGTTTGACCAGATCTGTAATTTGCTGAGGCCCCATAAGTATGATATAACAGAACCAAGAGGAATATAGACATGAAGGCTACATTTCGTGAACCATAATGAAATGTAATATAGTGTAATCAAATGCATTTCCAGTGTAATGTTACTGTTTATGTTAGTTATATATTTAATTATATTATATTATATTATATTCCACAACAGCTCATCAAATGGAGCCTTAGGTCAGTTGACCTTACCTTTAGCATGTCTCCAATGTTGCAAACAAATGTTCCTGGAATTGGAGGAGCAGAGATCCACTCACCAGACAGGTTTCTCACCTTCAGCAACTTGTCTAATTTAGAAATTGGGAAACATAAAAAGCAACCAGGACATACAGCAGCAAATATGAAATCAGAAAAAGACGCAAAGATCCTTCGACTTCTCAATTAAGGTTTTACTAACCAGAAACAGGCTCCTACCTTTTATGCGCAATCTCCATATATAAAATCAATAGCTTAATTTAACTGGTCTCAGAGAAGGTTGTGTGCAGAAATGGCAGCAAACATACGTGCCATAGAAGATGTACACAAGACTTTAGAACTAGAAAACCCCTCTCAAGAGGATAGGTTTTTCCTTCTTTCTTTTTTTCATTTTAAGAGAGATAAGATGTAATTCTATTTGTTATCATTGATCTTCAATAAGGAAAACAGAAACATCATGGGAATGTTTACACATAGATCAATAGTAAGCATAAAAGTTTGATAGAACATGCATTTGAATTTTTTATGACAAAAATAAAGGGAACCGATAGGTCTCTAGCTTGACGGGACATGGATGAGAGAGGATGTGAACAAGTTCTAGAAATATTCAACAAATCCCAACCAGTTCGGGACTGAGACATAGTTGAGATGATTTATTAAATAATACAAAGTATTGTAAAACCCATTGCAAGGTCTGGGGATTGGTGTAAAACAGGACATATACGTAACCAGCTGGTTATTGCATTCCTCAAAGCAACAAGAGATTTCTAGAATCTAAAATATATGATTTCTATAATGATAGGCAAAGATATCTTTGAGAGTATTGGCAGACTCTATCCAGAGATCAGCGTTAAAACTTGAGACATACTAAATGGTTTTCCCTAAAATATGGAAGACCAACGTAATTTCATACCTGAAGTGCAGTTATACCATCATCCTGATTAACCAATGTCAACAAACCTGTAGTGCAACACTTTAGGATGACAGAGAATGATAAACCAGAAATTACAAGGCAGTAAACACTTAATGTTTGGGACCTTTACCATAATCAGTGTGAGCTCCACTGTAATCATATGGCCAGAAGACATGAGCAGAATCAAACGTAAAAATATAGGAAGCCATTTACATTAGATCTAACAACACAAGGGAAGTGAAAAGCATTAACTACAAATGAGAATGCATTACCATCCTATATCATTTCCAGTCAAATCCTGGCCTTCTGCACTGGAGACACCTGGGTAACCAATAATACGCAATACCCAAAATGCATCTCCAGCTATTTCACCTTCCAATGCGTCAACTGATCCAGCCAATGCTAGAGCTATTCCCCGCAGGATTTTTCTTGAAAGATCTATAACAGAAAAAATGGAAATTGTTAATCAGATCAAACTTTGAGAGACAAATAATAAAGAGCCACACCGCAATAAGCATACCTGTGCACAAACCGATATATTCTTCCATCAGTTGTTTAAAGTTTGGTGGATCAAGTGGCCTGCATGAAGAAGCAGGAGATGAATAAGAGCCACAAATTCATCAAATCTCGATAACCAATCTAGCATCCACTAATGCAACTTCAAAAAGACAACCAACAATAAGTTTTTAAACTTTGACAAGGCTTAAGATCAGCACTTTGAAGCTTCAAAATGATAATCTGAATAAATTATAACCCTCAAGCTTCTTAAAATTGTGGAACTACGCCAAACAACCGTTTTAGGAGTTTCCTCTGACTAGCCATTTCAAGAACTGTAAAAACAGATTGATAATCCATTCGAAATTATTCGAGGGTTTCTTATAAATAATGACATTTTGGATGTGGCCAAACATGATAGAGCAGAAAACCCATTTTCAGGTCTGTGTTCCAGCAGGCAGAACTTTGATGTCTCCAGGATTTAATTGAAACCCTCTGTCCAAGACTAGCTTTGCTGCTACAATGGCATTGCTAATACCAATTCAGCATAGGCAGCAAAGTCTTGATTGAGGTTTGATGGTTGAACATCCAGTCAAATTCAAATGATATGGCCGAAATCACTTGTGAGGATAAGAAAAGAAACGGCATCAAAGTTTAGCAATATTCTGAATGGAAAACACTTGAAATTGAATTAGACAAAAACAATTTGAAATTTCACATACCATTGGTTACATCCTTCCATGGGTTTGCCAAGATCTCCATACATCCCTGCTTTTATTTCTCTGTAACACTACAATGAACACAAACATAACTACAGTGGATTTCCAGGGAAGAAAGAATTAAAGAAAGAAAAGCAACAGCACTTCTGAAATGAGCAAGGAAGTTCAATATGGAAGTGGACACCAATGATTATCTTTTTCATGTATATTTATAATCTTAAGCTTATTAATAAAGGAAAAAAAAAAAAAAAATCTTTGTCTAGTAAAAATGTAAAATGCACAACAAACATTTTGGGATCAAACTTATTGGATGAAGGTAAACAAGCGAAACCTACATCAATAGCTTCGTGCATGTCAGGAATGCCTTTAGTTATATTTTCTCCAAGTCTCTGGTATCCCCTGAATCCAAAAAGAGAGCTCACTGCTTGAATATGGTACATCAGTGCTATTGATAAATTAGGTTTTAGATATATCAAGCTATTTCGAAGATCTAACCTGTATCCAGCAGCAGCAGTCATCTTGATTTTCAGTTTTTCTTCATAGGGAAGATCAAAAAATTTGTGCGTCAAACTTTTAACCTCTTTAATGAGAGAATCAGGTATACCATGGCCCTTCTAATCAACCACAGAGCAAAAAAGCATACAGAAAATAAAAAATAAGAACAAAAGCCATATAAAATAATTATAAGAACATAGTAATCTTATTTTCCCCTGACTATTTAGTAAGCAATACCATGTAGAGAAGAAATTGCCCTTTTGTTTTCTTATTCCAATTTCAATTAAAAGCAATGATCAAGGTAGAAGCATTAAAAGTTGCGGATTCTCCTTTCTGCTAGTAATGAATTAATAGCACTAACTGTTACTAGTTCCAGCAACAGACTGGAAACCATCAACACTATCAGAATCCCATCAAAATCACTGTCATACAATTTTTCACCTTTTTAACACTATCTTAATTTTATAGTTTTCGTTTAATCAACAGATTAGCAAAATTCTATCTCTACAAGCAACAATCCAGTAATAACAACATAAACAGAAACCAAAAACTCAATCTACCCACAATCAATAACAGCAAAATCGAATTAAACGTAATTATAAAACACAAAAAATAGGAAGGAAATGTACCACGTAGAAGAATCCAGCTTCTCTACAAGCCCGGTCCAATTCTTTAACTACTTCACACACAGTGGGGTCTTGAGCCATGTCTGGATCACGGAATTTTGCCACCAAAGGGCTTATATCTGCATATTTAAACAAAAACACTTTGAAAAAGCTACTATGTTATTGGGTCAGATAGGTAGATAAATATGCGAATTTGAAGAAGATTTGATTACCGATAATTGGAATGGATTTGAAGTCGGTGGCCATTGAAGCTTTGGCTGATGCTGTTTGATGGTGAAGTTAGGACAAAATGGCTCCAGAAGTGGCTATTATGTATACTCTTACCACTCTGTAATGTTTCTCAAAGCCTCAAAGGAAAATCCAACAATATAAAGCTCTCAAAAGCTTCCGTGTCTGTAAGGCTGAGGCGAGAATGATTATGAAAAGTTGTTTTCTTGCATATGAAAATAAAATCTATATATATATAAGGAATTTCATCTTTAATTATTTTTCATGCCTAGCCATGTGCTTCTAGTCTTACGGAAACTAGGGTGGCATCCCATCCCATCTTCTCATTTCTTGAGTGATTTTAAGAATAAACATATGAATTAATAGATTGGAATATGAAAAAAAATAATGTTAGGAGCTTCTATCGAGTTAACATCTCACTATTCACAAAAAGTTAAGAGTAAATGTTATAAAATGCTAAAAAAAAAAAAAAACACAACAACGCGTGTAATTCATTTAATTAAATGAATTATATATGAATCAAAAAGAAATTCAATTAAATTTTCAATGGGTGATATATGAATTAAAAACATGATATGTATAATATGTATAATCCGCTTAATATACATATTATATATAAAATTTCATTTTTATTTTTAGATAAATGGATTACACGAGCTAAATTGTGACATGAACCATTTAAATTCGTGTCATATATAGATCACCTATTTATGACACAAATTCATTTAAACTTAACACTAACTCATTTAATACTCGTGTTAGGTAAATCATATTACCGTAAAATGATATATTTTCACGCCCCTAGATATCATATACCTAAAATATGTTGTAGTAGCAAATATGCTACTTGTTTGATTAAGGGCTGGCCCTAGACCTGTATAGGCCATAACCAGCCTGGCAGTTCTCTTTTGCTTTGATGTATATTCTATTGTCATGTGGCAATATGTATAACAAACATTGCCAATTCCATCTAATAATCTGTATTTAATAGCTTATTTTTGGTTCTCTATATATATGTGGTTGATTTTTGTCATTTTCTCCGTTATTTCTTTTTCCTGTAATTTTAGAGAATCGAAAGGAGAACGAGAGTCGAATTTGGTCACTTGGATAATCATATGCGGATTCAACAATTAGATTATATTGTAATTAATTAGATTATATTATAATCCCAATTTCTTTGTCTTCTTAGAAGAATTAATCAAGTATTTGAAAATCCATTTCTTAAAGTAAGAAGATTAAAAGAAATTACATGCATGACCAAAGAGAAGTACTAACACATAGATGGAATGAACTGAAGCTTTCATTAACACCAAATTACAATTTGCCAAAAAAGAATTATTTTTTACTTTCCTTGCCAGTCCCCAATTCCAAGAAAACAAAAAGAAGTCGATGAAAACTTCCAAATGATGATAAATAACAATAAATTTCCGTTTACCTTACCATTTTTTACCACTGCAAGGATGACTATATATGTGCTTAATTTTCTTGATCATATAATACCCAACAAAACAATTACTATTTATAAAATGATGATCAAGAAACTGATTTTGATTTTGACGTTTTGCTGCCACAGAATTGGAAGCTATTCTCATCCATCTTTTCCACCACAAAATGAGCTAACATATCATTAGCCTCTACCAAATTTTCTCTGCATAAAAACTCATTCCCATACACTTTCTCCACGTCTCTGTAATAATCATGCACAAATATATGAGTCTTTCCATTTCCGGCCTTTCTGCTTCTAGCTAACACTCCTGCTGTAAATATTGGTGTCATCCTCCCTGGCCCCTCTGGTCCGTCGCCGCGTGGCCCATCGATCAATATAACATCCCAGTCTACTTCGTATACATGATTGGGCAAGTCATTGATCCCAAGCTTACATTCAGAGAAAAGTAGATTTTGAACTGGCCTGCATTCGTTGCGTATTTGGTCTTTTGCAGAAGCTATCAATTCTTTAAACTCTCCCATTTTTGTTGTGTATTGCACATCAAAAACATCGACTTCTGGATGTAACTCTTCGAAATAGGCTGCGTAATAGCGATTTTCATCTATAAAAACTGTTCGACCGTTGTGGTTTAAAGCTTTCCAAAGAAGGGTTTCATGTGTTAACCCAAAAACAAGAAAATTACATGGAGAAGAGCATTTTCTAAGAACATCAGATATGGGTTTGATTTCAGAATACGACATATGGAAACTGTCATTTGATCTTGAAGCATAATGGAGAAGAGTATTGATAACAGTGGTAGGTAATGGTGCATTGGCGGAGATAGAGGAGGAAGCGGCAGTTGTTATGGCGGCGCCAGCAGCAGATGTGGCGGTTTTACTAGGTAAAGAGTCTCTTGTGTATATAAGAGTTACAAGAAAAGCAATAGTGAAAAATGAAACAAAGGCAAGAAGCCATAAGCGATTAGAGCTTCCTTGTTTCTGGATATAAGGGTGAAGGAGAATAAGCTTTGTATTGTTATTGTTATTGTTCTTCATGTTTTTGTGCAAGAGAGAAAGATTTCTCTCTTCTTTTTGTTGTTCTTTGTGGTCAAGGTTTTGATGGAAATGAGAAAAGAAGGGAATGATTTAAAGATGGGTTACAGAGCTCTAGTGCAAAAATAATATATTTTGAAGTAACAGTGGATCAGCAAATATGAATGTGACATGCGTCACTTTACAATCAATCAAATAATATATTATAGAAAACCTAATTACAATGCATTTTGAAGTTAATTATTATTTTCCTTAATTATCACTTGTTGAGCCGCAAATGATCCGTAGCCCTAATGGTAAGAGGTGACGCCCCAAGTTGAATTCTCAATCTATGTAATGATTTAAATGTAATTTGTATTATTTTCTTTATAATAGGTTCTTGATGGATTTGAAACCATTGTAATTGATTTCAGTGATATAGAGCGTATAATATCATTGTATATGGTATCAAATGACAAAAATAATAATACTTATTAAGCCATATGCACTTAGCCTAAATGGTTAACGTTCAGCTCCTGAAACTCAAAGACTGGAAATAAAGTTTAATTCAAATGGTTAAACACTAATACATTGAAACCCAAAGATTTTAGATATGTGTTAAGACAAAGTTTATTAACATATTTTAAATATTTTATTAATTAGTTGAGTTTGTTGCTATGCAATTGTGATTTGTCAAAAGCCAATTTTTAATTTTAACTATTTGAAAGAGAGTGGAAATTGATGTAATTAATCCAATTTTGATGTGCAAAACACAAAGTGGTTGGACTGGAGCTGGTGGAAGCAAAGTAGCTGGTATAAGTCTAGCGACCCAATAACTAATTACTAGCCAAAAGTCGCTTTTCCTTGTTTTAGTTTACAAGTAACCTAACATAATCATATTAAATAAATGTGTCATTTCTTAAATAAGTAGTTACCTTTGAGAGAGACCAATTACCTGCAACCTATTCTATTTTAATAATTAATCATTAGATTATGCCCTAGCTACCTGTCCTTTCTATTCATTATATTACAAACTGGAGGTGGTTCCAAGCTTGTGAATAATATACATGTTACAAGTTATATAGAAACACACATACTAAGCTAATTTAATAAAAACTTTGAGCTCATGTTACCTAAAATTAATTATTTAAATAGTTATTAATTATTTTATTGGGTTCATTAAACGTTTAAGAGAATAATATTTTATCGTCTGTTTCATAAAATTTTAAAACATTAGTAGAAACGCCGAGCAAGTAAGTATTGTCTTTCAGTTATATGAAATGGAAATGCAATAGCAATAGACTATTTACTTTATGTTATTTTCAAGCATATGAATAGGATGTAGCGGGTTTTAGCTATAACTAATTCTGTTAAAGCAATATAAAGTTCATCTAACACTGAAAACAAATGTAATTTGTAATATTATTCACGCTGAATTTCGAATTTATTAAGATTGAGTTTCTATTTATTTTCAAAAAAACAACTAACCTTTGAAAAATATTTTTCAAAGAAAACATTTTTTGAATAAATTATTTTCTATTTTTGATTGCAATATTGAAAATTAGTTAAAAAATATTAAAATCTTTAACTCATAAAATTACAAAATATTTATAATAATAGATATGCCGTATTTAAAATTTTTATTATTAAATATGATAAAAATAAAAAAATAAATTATAAAAGTCGCCGGTGACCGTAGCCGGTAGAGAATGATGATTGGTAATGGTAGCTACTAGTAATTAATAAATTAAAAAATATACATTTATAAGGTTATAATAAATTTGTCAACGTCAGAAAAATATTTTCCTTTTTGGAGAATAAGAAGTTTTTTTCAATATAATTTAGTTTTCTTTTGATTATAAAATATTTTTCATTAATTTATTTTTCTAAATATTCCAAATAATGGAGTAGGAAATATTTTCATACAAGTTAAAGTATTTTACAGAAACAACTAAAATCAATTTTTGTAGTATTGCAAAATTTGAATTGGTAGTTCAATGATATATAATTATATATCAATTAAAATTAATTAATGTACGAGAGTACTGCAAGCTTACAGTGGAGACAAATTTTGAAGCACCACAAATTTTGAAGCACCTACCACTATCAAAGTTCTAATTATTTATTCTTTAAAAAAAATCCAATCCAACATTTTCACGCTGGACATCCTACCAACCAAACCCATTTTAAAATTGAAAATCCTCAAATAATTATTTAAGATATATCCCTTTCGTGACAATTATTTCCACACATATGCTAAATGCATAATATTAGTTTAACGAATATTGCTTATTCTCTAATCAAGGAGAATGATGAAATTACACCTAGCAAGTAAAATGATTAGAGTTAAGTTTAACCGGTCGATTAAAATTGGAGGATTAATTTTAATTAGTTCGAAACAAATGACATGAAAAAAATTAATTTATTCAATTTTGTGAGTTGGAGAACTGAAATAGTTAATTTTGATTTTGATTTCAACTATTGGTTAGAAGAAATGTAGAATTTTGTAACCAGAGATCAAAGAAGGGTCCAGAAGTTGAAGTGGGCCAGTTAACATGGATGAAATTGAAGCCCAACCCAAATGTAAATGGGCCTTTTTAACAGGGGTAGGATATGATACAGCTGGCCTATGCAAAAACTCTAGTCATATCAATCAAGAGCTAGACAATCGGTTTTGCCTGAAAAATAACCAACAATGACTACAAAAGATCATTTCCTGTTTGCTTTTTGTCTAGAAGCTCACAAATTTTGATAATAAAGGCTTTTCAATCTAAGCTTTGGGCTTTGTCATTGTCTGGTGGCCCAATCATCATCATAAATTCACCTAAAACATTACTATTTCCACCCATTTGTTTTTTTTTTAATTGAAAATTGAATTAAAATTTTAAATTAATGTTAAAGAAATTAATTTTAATAAATACACAAACTGATTTAATCATATTTCTGATCGCTCCAAGCAAAAAAAAAAAAAAAAAAGGAAGTTTAACCGGTCGATTAAAAAAATTGGAGGATTATATTTTTAATTAAGTTCGAAACAAATGACATGAAAAAAATTAATTTATTCAATTTTGTGAGTTGGAAGAACTGAAATAGTTAATTTTTGAATTTTGATTTCAAACTATTGGTATAGAAGAAATGTAGAATTTTTGTAACCAGAGATCAAAGAGAGGTCCAGAATAGTTGAAGTGGCCAGTTAACATGGATGAAATTGAAGCCCAACCTCAAAAATGTATGGGGGCCTTTTTAACAGGGGTAGAATTATGATACAGCTGCGCTAAGTGCAAAAACTCTAAGTCATAATTCAATTCAAAAGAGCTAGACAATCGGTTTTTGCCTGAAAAATAACCAAAACAATGACTAACAAAAGATCATTTCCTGTTGCTTTTGTCTAGAAGCTCACAAATTTTTGATAATAAAGGCTTTTTCAATCTAAGTTGGGCTTTGTCCATTGTCTGGTGGCCCAATCATCATCATAAAATTCACCTAAAACATTACTATTTCCACCCATTTGTTTTTTTTTTAATTGAAAATTGAATTAAAATTTAAAATAATTTAAAGAAATTAATTTTAATAAATACAACACAAACTGATTTAAATCATAATTTCTGTGATCGCTCCCCAAGCAAAAAAAAAGAAAAAAAAAAAAAAAAAAAAAAAAAGGAAGAATTATGGAAAAGAATGAAAAGGCAAAGGGGATATTTTAATGTGGTGATATGAAGAGCACATGCTGATGTTATTTAAGTGGAATTAGCTTAAAAAGGAAGGGGCAGATGGGATTTGGCTTTCTTAAAAGGTGACATGATTCTATCTTGAAGCAACCAGCAGCACCCAAGAAATTGCTAAGTGCTAATCCATTACCAAATTCTTCACAGTGGACACTAACAAAAAGTGGTTTCAGAAAGATAGTATTCAACAATTTAATCTACAAAGTCACATTCTCCCTTCTTTGAATCCTTCACTAAAATTTAACCCATTTTCCGCCGCAATAGATGGTTGTTTTGTTGTACCTTTGGGCTCATTTCTCTATGACAATTATCTTTTTTTGGTTTTCAAAAAACATTGTACAAAATATAGAATATTCCATGATTTAATCTTTTACGTATAAATATAAACTTATATAAATCCAACTCTTGGTTTAATATATATATATATACCCAAACTCTTGATTTTACAAAAATTGTCTAATAAATTTAAATATAATTTACTATCACTTACTTCGAAATAAAAGTTATTATATTTTGAATAAAATTTGTCTAAAGGACACTCTCATTTAAAAAATAAATTTTTTAATAATTTAGTCTATGAGTAAAATCTAAAGAGGGTATAATTAAGTCATTTTCTCGCATTTTTCTTTTCGATTTATCTCAAAAGTATTCTTAGTCTAATAGCTATGCTCGCACGGTGTCAAGTCCATACGTGAGAAGCATTTTTAACCGAGATTTTTTTCATTCCCTCACATTTTAGTGAAAAGGTAAGATAAAAGTGCATCAACTTAATAAGGAAACAAATTTAATATATAAATTAGAAATTAAATAGAATGGAAAAGTATGCCCAATTGGTGAGAGAAGCAGACCTTTCACTTGGGTGAAAATAATTTATCTTAAATTGGAAACTCGAAAAGCAGATGATTGTGAAATAAAAAGGCGGTGATTACAGTTAGTTACTGATATCAATTAAATTTAGCCTTGACGTACAATTAAAGCTGTTATCCAATAATTAGTTATAATTAATAGTAAAACATTCGGTTCCAAGGTCGAAATATCCATGCTAATGCCATTCCTCTCCAAGCTTAATTAAGCACCTAAACTCGATAGACTCATTGATGCACGGCCCAATTTACTCACGCGAGCCAAATACTGACATGTGAACCAATGTGCCAGCAATGTGGCTTGACTCAGGAGCGTAAAAAAACTGAGCTTAAATCTGCTAGACTCAAAACTTGTCCTGAATTCAGTTTGAAATATGAGTCTTAAAATTTTAAATTCAAACTTAGCTCATGACAGTTTAAATTTAATTGAGACTTGAGTTTAATTAAAAAATTTTAAATTTAAAATTCGACTAATTTAAAATAATATATATATATATTTGATAAAATTTGATGAAATTTCGTATTGAATATCATTAAGTTGGAATTCGACTTATTTATTAAACGAGAGCACGTTGAAACCCAATTAAAAATCCGATTAAACTGAACTTTTGCGTAACTATTTTTTTTAGTCTACATAAAACTAGTTGCTTAGCTGCGCTAATTTATGCTCCTTGCAGAGAACATTATAGTCAACCACAGGGTACGTACAGTCTGCGCTTATTGGATATCCGAATGCTGTCTCCAATTAATATCATACTGTCTATGCCTTCCATTCCCACGCGCCGAAGTTAATTCCCACCTCAATAAACTTCAATTTTTTTTTTTAATAAAAATGGAATTCATAAGGAGGAGCATTAATCCATTACATAACTTAACTGTCATCCCATGTCATGTCAAGATGAAAGCTTTCCTATAACAACCCTTGTAGATAGGACTATCATACCTACTATTGTAGGTACACTGCCCCTAATTTTTAACGATACTAATATTGCAAGTATTAGATATTTCGTCAAAATTATAAAAAATTTTGTTACCATATGTAAGTAATTGCAAATAGTAAATTAATTAAATTGACGCTTTTAAAATGAGTTTCATTCATTTGAATACTAAATTTATAACTAGAAGGTACATAAAACTGTAAGATATTAATTATAGACTGCTCAAAAATCAGTCTTTTGTTGTTCACAAAATGGGGAAAATAAAAAAGAAATATAAGTATCTATTTATTAATATGAAAAATAAAAAAATGTAAAGAATTACAGAATTTTTCCCTCTTCGAAATAAGCATATATAAACTGAAGTCACGCGCCTAAAAGGGAATCAAATTTCTCCCTTCGTCAGTCGCTATTCCCCACTTCGTCAGTCGCTAATCCCCACTCCCACGTGACTTCCTGATTCCCACTAGAAAGCAAAGCCAGCTGCTCCGCAAAACACCTACACAGCCACCTCAAAAAACACAGACACTACTTCCTCTCTCACTCACTCGTCTTCTTCACTTTCTCATGCAATGCCACTTCTTCTTGTCTTCTTCTTCCTCTCTTTCGCCTCCTGTTTCGCCTTCGCTGCTTCCCAAACAAGCTACCTTCTCCCACCCGACGCCGTTTCGTTGCTTTCTTTCAAGTCCAAAGCCGACTTAGATAACAAGCTTCTTTACACTATTAACGAGCGCTTCGACTACTGTCAATGGCAAGGCGTCAAGTGTGCTCAAGGCCGTGTCGTTCGCTTCGTCCTTCAAGGTTTTGCTCTTCGTGGTACTTTCGCTCCCTACACTCTCTCCCGCCTTGACCAGCTCCGAGACCTCAGTCTACGGAACAACTCGCTCTCTGGTCCTGTTCCTGATCTCTCGTCTCTTTTTAACTTGAAATCTCTGTTTCTAAGCCATAACTCTTTCTCTGGATCTTTCCCTCCTTCCGTTTTGTTGCTGCATAGGCTTGTTGTTCTTGATCTTTCTTTTAATAATCTTACTGGTCCGATTCCGGTTCAGTTGTCTTCTCTTGACCGGCTCAATTCGCTTCAGCTAGAGTGGAACCGGTTTGACGGAACTCTCCCGCCATTGAACCAAACTTTTCTGGTATTTTTCAATGTTTCTGGAAATAATCTTACAGGACCGATTCCGGTAACGCCTACTCTGTCTAAGTTTGATGCGTCTTCGTTTTCTCTTAATCCGGATCTTTGTGGGGAGATTATTAACAAGGCTTGTACTAGGATGCGGTCTCCGTTTTTTGACTCGCCGTCATCGTCAAATGCCACCTCTCCAACGGCGCCGCTAACCCAGAGCGCGCAGGCGGAAAATGGAGGTGTTGTAGTTTTGTCTCCGCGATCGTCGCAGGAGCACAAGAGAACCACTGCTATTTTAGGTTTCACTGCTGGTGTTTCTGTGTTGATTTTGTCTATTTTGTGCCTCTTTTTTGTTTTAATTAAGAAACAGAGCAAACAAACAAAGTCGGAAAGGAAACAGCCGCCAGCAACAGCATCTGCTGTTGAAACTGCAAAGTCTATTCATACAAATTCGACAGGAGAAGCTCAAGCTATCAGGGAATATAGCGAAGTAGTAGTACATTCAATGCCGAAAGAAATTCAGATTCCACAAATGAGAAGAGCAGAGAAGAGTGGGAGTTTAGTGTTTTGTGGAGGGGAAACACAGCTGTACACATTAGAGCAGTTAATGAGGGCATCGGCGGAGTTGCTGGGTAGAGGTACAATAGGGACTACATACAAGGCTGTACTCGATAATCAGCTAATAGTGACGGTAAAGAGGCTTGATGCAAGTAAGACTGCCATTAGCAGTAGTGATGCTTTTGAAACACATATGGAGGCCGTCGGTGTGCTGCGCCATCCGAATTTGGTGCCGATTAGGGCTTATTTTCAGGCCAAGGGAGAGAGACTCGTTATATACGATTATCAACCCAACGGCAGCCTCTTCAATCTCATTCACGGTGAATACTTCAAAAACCCATTATTATTTTTTGTGAACTTTTGGCTTACCTCTTGATTAGGACTATGTCTCCTTTAATCTTTATTCATGAAATTTTTGTGAAGTTAGCAATATTATCTACTAATACACGGTGAACATTAAATGACGCGGGTAGGATTACTGGATTTTAGAGTTATCATGTGAGGTTTACATACGTGAATTGTTCATTCTTTCTGATGGGTACAATACATTACATAGCAATGGATATACTTGCTATTTTCAATTAAGGAATAAGGATTGATTGGAATTTGGAACTGTATCCTTCATTCCATTCAATTTCATGAACCACATATATATTGGGTTCATATCACGTGTCTCATGGACCCACAGAAATTACCTGGTAGGACCCTTCTTGGCATGTCATGTTTTCGATGTGTTATTTTCAAGTAGTTTGTGTGGATCTGTGGTGCTCTTTCTTTGTTTAGTCCTGCAAAACTATTGCAACTTTTTTAGACTTTGGAATTTACTGCTTCTGTTAACCATGCCGACAATTGCGGCTTTATTTTTCAAGATGAATAGAGTACTACAATCACGGTGTTGACTATGTCAAAATGGTGAAACTCTGAAACTGTAAGCTTTTTTTGTCCTGGTGTACCAGGTCTTTTTTTAAGGGAGTCCTAGATTATGCTTATGGATAAATCTTGAAACAGTGAGTTGAGTTTTGCTGCAGAGCCACTTACATTTACTTGATGCAAATGGTACTCTGAGAACTTGACATCAAAATGTTATCTTCGCTGCTGTAGGATCAACTTATTCTTGGTGGTTTTGTGTCTTTCTTTGTGCTTATTTATGTGTTTAATTATTTGCCTATTGAAGTTAGTCTTGAGTAAAATGTGTCTTTTACAACTACAATGGTAAAGATTAACAAGCAAATATGTGGTCTGAGAATAGTAGATTATTTTGCTTAACTAGTTGAGTTACTTATGCTGCTAATCTGGAAATATAAGTATGCCCGGACAGAAGGATTATTCAAGTGATATGAGTATTGGGGTTTGAATGGTGTAAAATAATTGGATTCTTGCATTCATCAAATCCAGGGACTGATAGAATTAGGTCATTGATATTCCATCAGAGCCGTTTAGGTTCCATGGCAAGTTGATAATGTAATAAAGTATGTCATGTGGGAGTTATCCTAATAAGAAAAGCCATATGACATGCAACTGGTAATGAATAATCTTGTTGATTTAGTACAGTTAGGATTGCTACTAAATCATGCTGGAAGGGCATATTTCATGACCTTAGCTCTTTCATGTGCCAATGACCCATGATATCATCTTTTGAGGAAACATTTTTCATATTAGGTGGCTATACTGTGACTTTTAGACTAGATCCCTAGGATAGATCATGCTTCGCAGTAATATTGCTATCCAGGATCAATTTCTGAAAGTTCCTCCATTTATTGATTGATATATTTGATTATTCTGATAAAAGAAAGAGTTAGATAAACCCTGTGATAAGTTTTTCTTTATCTACTTCACTGTGCCTGTTGTTTCATGATCTCTCCATTTTGTAAGACTTCTTGAGAACGTTTACCCAGTTATTCTGCTGCCCTTTGTATCTATTAAGATTGCATTGCAAAAACTTCTGTTGCTGATGGCTGTATAGGAAAAGATTGATAAGCAACAGAGATTATAAAATGACTTTATTGGTGGTATTTTTTTTTTTTTCTGGATTCGTTTTTGAAAATGGTGCCATGCATGATCTGATTATTGTTTATTGCATAGTCTTCCATAATGAACATCTAATACCATAAATAGATGCGTTCTAATTAAACAAATGGTTCTTCATGCTTTACATTACTAGCAAATGGCATCGAAATTGTTATCCATTTGTGGCTCACAACTGAGAAAAATGTGACCAGGTTCAAGATCTAGCCAAGCAAAGCCTCTTCACTGGACGTCATGCTTAAAGATAGCTGAAGATTTGGCCCAAGGTCTTGCCTATATCCACCAACCATCGAAGCTAGTTCACGGAAACCTGAAATCTTCCAATGTTCTTCTTGGAGCTGATTTTGAGGCCTGCATCACAGACTATTGCCTTGCCTCCCTTGCAGATACGTCTTCTACTGAAGATCCTGATTCCATAGCATGTAAAGCACCTGAGACTCGCAAGTCAAGCCATCGAGCCACTGCCAAATCTGATGTGTATGCATTTGGTGTCCTATTACTTGAGCTTCTGACTGGTAAACATCCTTCACACCATCCATTCCTGGCCCCTGCTGATATGTTGGACTGGGTTAAAGCAGTGAGGGAAGGTGACGGTGCAGAAGATAACCAACTAGGAATGCTCACTGAAGTTGCCAGTGTTTGTAGCTTGACATCTCCAGAACAGAGACCTGCAATGTGGCAAGTGTTGAAAATGATACATGAAATAAAGGAAAGTGTCATAGTAGAGGACAATGCAGCTGCCGGATATTCATAGTTCTTTTGTCTACATTACACGATGATGCATATAGCAACTCACAAACTCGGCCAATCCAGACCATAGCTTTCAAGTTGTGTGCCTGTCTGGACAGGAATCTCAATCATGAACCACGCGAGCTGCAGTATAAAGTTCATATGATTTCGTGGGAGTTGACGCAAGGGACTACGGGAACACCAATTGGATGTCACATTTATATGGCAGATTGATGTATCATGATATTTGTAAGGATTCTACTATTCTTTTATGTGTGATTATTTTGAATCCTGCTTCTTCCTTAGTTACCCTGCTGATTCTTCCTATAAGGGGTTTCATTCTTTAAAGCAGAATTTGCAACTTGCAAGCACTTTAATTCCCATGAAGTTCATCTTTTGCTCCAGAATAGACACATACATGGGATGACGATGAAAGATACTGTGAAGATGTTGCTCCTTTGCTGTCCTAATGTCTGTAATTAATCTTTATTTTTTTGAAATAATGTTTAATCCACCACAAGAGAAAATATTTTGGCATCAATCATTTGAATCATGCATTAATAATATCTTATAAATATTTTTACAACCAACAGCTGCTAAAGATGGAAGTTTTCATTTCTTAATAATTAGAGTTTGATTCTACTGGCTAATACTCTAATAATATACCAAGTCAATATAAAGAAATCATTCAAGCGATTGAAACTGGCATAAGAATATCCATGTCTGTTTATTGGAAAAAAAAAAAAAAGGAAGGAAAACTACTAACTATCTTTAGTTTTAAAAAATGAACTTAAGTTTTATTTTGCTTAATCATAAAATTATTTGCAATTTCATTCTAAATTTTAATTAGAAACTTAATATTTTCATCCAGCATTTTTTCCTAAAACAAGTAGCTAATATGCTTATCTCGTGTGATAATAGTAGTACTACAAAGGGAATGAATTTCTAGACCGACAACTACTTCAAAATTTTATTGAAAAATGATAATAGGAGTACTTTACAATTTTACGATTCTTTTTATCAAGAATAATTTGATTGGTCCTTGTAAAAAAGTGATAATACAAGTTGGACACGCCGAAAGCACATTTTACTGGGAGTTAATTGGAACGCCTGAAACTATAAGTAAGCCCATAACAAAGTGAGCCCCAAATGTTATTTTTGTTTGTAACTTGTTATCTGTGCCCGCTTACTTGTTTTTTCCGGGTCACTAGACATGCACCAATCAAAAGCCCACAGTAAAATTCTGATAGAAAGCAATTTAAGCATTTGATAAAATGCTTGAAAGAAAGGTGGTGATAAATATGCGCCACGAGTCCCTAAGCTTTGGCGGGAGATGCTGCAGACAGCAGCCGCATATTACGCGCTGAGATCTTCTTCTCTCTTCTATCAGGTAAGAATTTCAAATTGAAAGTAGTTTTGGCCAAATGCCGAAGCTAACACTGCCGTGCAAAGCCGTAGCACGTAGAGCACTAATTTGCTGGTTCTTGTCGCGTCTACTTATATATATATATATATATATTGTTGAAGATGCCACTTGCTGAAGTCAGTAGCATGTTGCATTCATCTTGAATTGATACCTATGATATGTCAATTATTGCCCAACTTGGTTCTTGGCTGTCCGGTGAGTGTGGCTGCATTCTGCTCGTGGATGAATATATTATAATTCTTTTATGTTCATTATTGCTCACGATGCTTATAATAACCTAATAATAGCACTGCAATTTGATTCTGATCTTTCTGTCTCGGTGCTGCGGTGAAAAAGGCATTGAATGTGACTATTATTTGATTTTAAATCCATGAGGGTTTTGTTTAGCAGCAAAACGCCTAATTTTTTCAGCAAGACAATGAGGAGACATTGGCGGCTCTGTCTCAAGAGTTGGAACGTGACAGCTAATATGGATCCATATTGCAAAAGAAAAGGATTGTTATGTGTATTGAGCTTCCTACCATATATAAGATATAGAATGGGTTGTCTTAAACACCAAGACCAATTGCACATTCATATTCTCGGTAGGCTTTCTTCTGCAAGAAATTAAAATGGCTTCTTTTCATCTCCGTTCCAACAGCTTGCCCTCTACATCTCATCCCCTCAGCATAAGAATTGAGGAGCAACTGCACAAGTTGAAGACTTCATATTCCTCATCAATAGCCCTGAAATTGGCTTGTCTTAAAGAGTTATACGAGTGCGTTGGTGATTTTCTTCAACTGCATCACACACAACAGGCTCTCTCTCATGAGCACCAAAAACAATATGTGGAGGAAGCACTGAATGAATCTTTGGGGCTGTTGGATATCTGCAGCGCCACAAGAGATTTTTTGTTGCAAATGAGAGAATGTGTGCAAGGACTTGAATCATCTATTCGAAGAACAAGAGGAGGAGAATCTTGTTTGAATGAAGTTGATGCATACATGGTATCTAGAAAAAAATTGACTAAAGTAATTTGCAAGTATCTAAGAAATCTGAAGAGAAATGAGAAGAATTGCAGAAAAACAACTTTGGCTGATTACTCTGATACAGTAATTACAATGCTAAAAGGTGCTGAGGAGATTAGTCTAGCTGTGTTTGAGTCCATCTTATATTTCACCATGCAGTCTAAGGCAAAATCAAAGCCCTCTGGATGGTCCATTGTCACAAAATTATTGCAACCCAAGCATGTATCTTGTAAAGAGGAAGTTGAAGCCAATGAAATGGAGATGATTGATGCTGAATTGCTTCTCTTGAAGTCAAGCAAAGACATCAATCAGGTACAAAATGTCTTGAAAGGATTGGAGGCTATGGAGTCAAGTCTTCAGGAAGCAGGGGAAGAGTTAGAGTGTGTCTATAGAAAATTGGTGAAAACCAGAGTTTCTCTTCTCAACATTTTAAATCATTAGTGTTGTTGCTTCAAACAACCCCTAGCAAAATTTTGTATCAATCAATTTTGTCCATTATTGTATATATCATACAAATAGAAGTAATTCCAAGTTAATACTGATACACTTCTGAAAACATTTTCCTTAAGGTTGCTGTGTATCTTCTCTCTCAATTTGTATCTTCTCTCTTTGTGCTTTTTGTTCTTCACTGCAAGGGAATTCAAAATGTTGCGTTTTTTCAATTTATAGAGCTGGTGTTTCATTTTATATTTGATCCTAGCAAGCACTATGGAATGAGGATGTACTGAGATCTCTGCGCATGTAAAAGGCATGTATATAATATTTATCAGTCCTTTCAACCAAATTTTCTAGAGATTCTGGAGCATATATATCAACATATATGCTATATTTGCATTTTATTTTGCAACCATAAGTTTCTTTTCACCAATCTTTAAGCTATTTGTATTTGTTACTGTATGACATAGAGCAACCGATTGGAGGTACCTGCTTCCTGAATGGTTACTTATTCTTTTTGAAATATATATTGACTTAGTGAAGTCCCCATTGAAGAGAATTTTTGAGCAGTATTATCATTTTCTGTATCTTTATCTTGCAACTGTATGACTTTTACTTGGGGTCATAATTTATTTTAACATTTCCTTGAACACCAATAGAAGTTCTTAATATAATGCTTTTGGTATATTATTGAGTATAGACTTCTGTTTGACCAAAATTAAATAATTGCAAATAGACTCACCCCTTATATGAATTTTAGTTTATTGCTTATTCAAATATGACCTTCTCATCTTTTTCTCGTTGTTTGGTTCATATAAAGAAATCAGTTAAGCTTGATTTGCAGCTGTGCAGGTGGATCATGCTTTGCATTTGGTCAACCAGATTCATGTAAAGAAATCAGCTAAATGTAAATGGAAGTATCTAATTTATATACAATGAAGGCTGTCGGGATTCTACTTGCTCCCTGACACCAGGCATCCCAATGAGAGTTGTCAGACAGTCTCCTTATTAATTGGTATGCAGAATTAGAGAGAGAATAAGAACAATTACATGCATGTTCTTATCTGTGAAGCAAATGCAGCTTCATCCCCTTGTGGATATATTTTATTGGAGTTGGTTCGGATTCTGGACATGAAAACTAAGCAGGAAACAACTCTATCAGGTACCAATATTAAATGATTTCTTATTTTCATTATCTTAATTGAATAATTTGATGGATGGACACAAGCTCAATGCTATATAATTTGATGCTGATTTTTTGCCTTGGAAATGGAATCTTTTGGCACATAATTTGTATGACAATATATATACATCATGAATTTATTTAATCAGAATGCTTCATCACAACACAACATGACAGCCAATTTAGATCAAGATCAAGAAGCTGAGATGTCTAAGTTCTATTATTGGTCTTCTATATATAAGACGTTCAATGTGATGGCCTAGACAATAACCAAGGTCTAAGACGTTCTGTAAATATCTTCTTGATAGCCTTTCTTGTGCAGAATAAATTAAAAATGGCTACTTGTCATCTTCGTTCAATCAGTTTACCATCAAGATCTCATCCTCTAACAGTAAGCATCGAGGAGCAACTGTACAGGTTGAAGGCATCACAATCCTCATCAATAGGGCAGAAACTAAATGGCCTAAAAAATTTGTTCGAGTGTGTTGATGATTTGCTTCAATTGCCAACCACCCAACAAAATCTAAACAAGTCTGGAGAGAATGCATTAAATGGATTGGATATGTGTGACGCCACAAGAGACTTTTTCTCACAGTTGAAGGAATGTGTGCAGGCACTTGAATTATCTCTCCGGAGAAGAAAAGGCGGAGACATTTGCTTGATAAGCGAAGTTGATGCATATATGTTATCTAGAAAGAAGTTGAACAAACTGATTTGCAAGTCTCTGAGAAATTTGAAGAGAAAGGAGAGGAATTGTTCACCAGCAGCATTGGACAGTAACTCGAACACGATTAGCATGCTAAGAGATGTCGAGGAAATTAGCGTTTCGGCGTTCAAATCCATCTTATCTTTCATTTCTGAGCCAAAGGCAAAATCAAAGTCCTCTATAATCTCAAAATTATTGCAATCCAAGCGCGATTCATGTGAAGTTGAAGTCAATGAAGTAGAGAACATTGATACTGAGTTGCTTGTCCTAAAATCAAGCAAAGACATCAAACATTTGCAAGTTCAAAACGTTCTGAAAGGATTGGAGTCATTGGAGTCGAGCATTAAAGAAGCAGAGGAGGAACTTGAGTGCATATATAGGCAATTGGTGAAAACCAGAGTATCCCTTCTCAATATTCTGAATAATTAGTGTTCTTTCCATGAACTCCCTCACAATTTTGTAACATACAATTTTGATCCAATTGTACATATATATACACAAAATGAAAACCAATACCAATATACTCAAATTGAGTGCATTTCCATCAATTTGCACCAATTTATCTTGATCTTGGATAATCTTGATTGCTTGCTTGTGTATCTATCCCTGATTCATGTTTTGAATGAGTCTCAAGTGGAGTTCTTTTGGTGATCTAACTCGGATTAGTTTAACCCTTTTTTTTTTTTTTGTTTTTCTTTTTTCAAAAATAGACCGGCACTTATTAAAAATAAATAATCTTTTTTCCAAATAAGTGTGTTTCTCACCAGTTAAATTGCAGTAATCGATTCATTCTAAATTTGCATGATTTTAAATTTAAATTTTTAGTAGTAACCAAGAAAATAGAAGCTATTTCATCTTCATAAAAAAAAACTTATTGTCCTCTCCACTTTTCTGTTGAATTGTCCTCACGAAGGTTAAATGCTATTTTATTTATTCATCCTTTCGCACTATTTTATTTGATTATTATTTATTTTTTAAATATCCCAAAATATTTATAAGGCGTTTACATTTAAACAATTACTTTTCGCATAATAATTTTTATGATTGTTTTTTAAACGAGGAACTTTTATTAATATCTTAATGACTATTTGTATTTGCTTCCGCATAACATGGTGCAATGGATTAGAGGTAATTGTTCCCTGAATGTTTGCTTATTCTTTTTGGAAGAGATGTTGACTTAGTGAAGCGCCCATCAATGGACATTCTTGAGCAATGTTATCATTTCTGAATTTTTCTCTTGCAACTGCATGACTATTGTTTTTATTGATCACAATTTATTTGAACAATTCTTCAAACACCAATAAAAGTTCTTGATATAATGCCCTAGATCGATGTATCAGTATTATAGTCTATTCTTCTGCTTGACTCAAATTTAAGTAATTACAAATAGACTTGCCCCACATGAATTTTAGTTTTTTTTTTTTTTTTGGTTCAAATATGGCTTTCTCATCTTTCTCTCATTGTTTGGTTCATATAAAGAAATCAGCTAAGGTGGATTTGCAGCTGGATAGATGGATCCTGCTTTGCACTTGGTATACTAGATCCATGTAAAGAAATCAGCTAAACACGCATGGAAGTGTTATATAAAATAAAGGTTGTCATGTTTCTACTTGCTCCTTGACACCAGGCATCCCAATGAGAGTTGTCGAACAGTCTCCTTATCAATTTGAATGCAGAATTAGAGAAAATGGAACAATTATGTGCATGTTCTTGTCCGTGCAGCAAATGCAGCTTCATCTCCCGCATGGATGTATATATTTTATAGGAGTCCATTAAGGATTCTGCACATGCAAACTAAGCAGTAAACAACTCTATCGGGTACCGATATTAAATGATTACTTATTTTCATTATCTTAATGGAATAATTTGATGGATGTACTCAAGCTCAATGCTATATAATATAGATGCTGATTTTTTTGTCTTGGAATCTTTCGGCACATAATTTGTTTGACAATATATATACATCGTGAATTTCTTTAATCAGAATGCTTCATCACAACACAACGTATACTAGATCCATGTAAAGAAATCAGCTAAACACGCATGGAAGTGTTATATAAAATAAAGGTTGTCATGTTTCTACTTGCTCCTTGACACCAGGCATCCCAATGAGAGTTGTCGAACAGTCTCCTTATCAATTTGAATGCAGAATTAGAGAAAATGGAACAATTATGTGCATGTTCTTGTCCGTGCAGCAAATGCAGCTTCATCTCCCGCATGGATGTATATATTTTATAGGAGTCCATTAAGGATTCTGCACATGCAAACTAAGCAGTAAACAACTCTATCGGGTACCGATATTAAATGATTACTTATTTTCATTATCTTAATGGAATAATTTGATGGATGTACTCAAGCTCAATGCTATATAATATAGATGCTGATTTTTTTGTCTTGGAATCTTTCGGCACATAATTTGTTTGACAATATATATACATCGTGAATTTCTTTAATCAGAATGCTTCATCACAACACAACATGACAGCCAATTTGGATCAAGATCAAGAAGCTGAGATGTCCAAGTTCTATTTTTGGCCTTCTAGATATAAGATGTTCAAAGATGGCTGAGACAATAGCCAAGGTCTAGGACGTTCTGTAAATATCTTCTTGATAACCTTTCTTCTCCAGAGTAAAAAAGAAATGGCTGCTTGTCATCTCCGTTCAGTCAGTTTACCAACCGGATCTCATCCTCTAACTGCAAGTATTGAGGAGCAACTGTACAAGTTGAAGGCATCACATTCCTCATCAATAGGGCAGAAACTAAATGGCCTAAAAAATTTGTTCGAGTGTGTTGATGATTTGCTTCAACTGCCAACCACCCAACAAAATCTAAACATGTCTGGAGAGAACGCATTAAATGGATCTATAGAGCTATTGGATATGTGCGACACCACAAGAGACTTCCTTTCACAGATGAAGGAATGTGTGCAGGGACTCGAATTATCTCTCCGGAGAAGAAAAGGCGGAGACTTTTGCTTGACAAGCGAAGTTGATGCATATATGGTATCTAGAAAGAAGTTGAACAAACTGATTTGCAAGTCTCTGAGAAACTTGAAGAGAAAGGAGAGGAATTGTTCACCAGCAGCATTGAACAGTAACTCGAACACGATTACCATGCTAAGAGATGTCGAGGAAATTAGCGTTTCGGCTTTCAAATTCATCTTATCTTTCATTTCTGTGCCAAGGGCAAAATCAAAGTCCTCTATCATCTCAAAATTATTGCAATCCAAGCGCGTTTCATGTGAAGTTGAAGCCAGTGAAATAGAGAACATTGATGCTGAGTTGCTTGTCCTAAAATCAAGCAAAGACATCAAACATTTGCAAATTCAAAATGTTTTGAAAGGATTGGAGTCGTTGGAATCAAGCATCAAAGAAGCAGAGGAGGAACTTGAGTGCATATATAGGCAGTTGGTGAAAACCAGAGTATCCCTTCTCAATATTCTGAATAATTAGTTGTGCTGCATCTGGCAACTACCAAACACAATTTTGTAGCATAGAATTTATTCCAAATTGTAAAATACATATATGTACAGATAGAGAATGAAAGTTAATACTAATATACTCTGTTGATAGCATTTCTCTCAACTTCCTCATTCTCCCCTCTCAATATTTCTTAGTTTTGGAATTTTATATTATATTTCATTGCATGGGAGTTCAAAGTGTGTTTATATTGTTTCTATTTTAATCCAAGTCAGTGGAAGTAATCAGAAGTGAACTTTCTCTGTTGAAAATATATTCTGCTGCTTGGCGCTGGATTGTTCAACAATGATATGGAAACATTAATATCTGAACATCAAAAGAAAGCAAGTTGGGGTGGAAAGAATTTTGTTTCGACAGAAAAGATAATTTTTAAATTTGCAATTTTTGGTCCGATTATGTTTAACTGTATAAGAAACGAACAATTGGAATATTGAAATTTATGTTAAATTTGATTTGTAGCCAAATACATTAATTCTTACTGCAAGTTCTGAAAAAACAAGGAAATAAAAAATTGCAGTTAGAACATGGAGTCCAGTTCAAATTTAGCTACTGTATATTGCATTTTATTCACTGATGACGTTGTTTTCTGAAATTGGGAAATTGTTGCATAGAAAACAGTTTCAAATTACAATATGAAGTATGCATATTACATATATCTGAGAAATTTGAATTTGAAGAAAAATGAAAAGAATTCTCTTATGTATCATATAGCAGTCAACACTAATATCCTTTCGATCAAAACACTTGCTTAAGTTTGCTATTTCATAACAGTTCTCAAGCTGCTATGGAGGGACTCAAATCAATGTTAGTTTAATTACTGATTTTGTCTCTATTGCCCAAAATTTAGGGGGCAACTATTTGAATATAGAGAAACTTTCGAATTCCAGAATTGAAAGGTTTTATTTTTCTTTGCATAGAATATTAACCATAGACCCCTCATTGACTCGAATTAGATTAGTGCAAGAGTTTTAGTTTATTCAAAATGTCTCCTATCTTTCGGTCATTGTACATATGGATCATATAATAAATTATGAGCAACCATGTAGGTGGATCATGCTCTACGTTTAATAAACAAGAATGCGTTATTACTTTAATTATAATGCATTGCATGCATGGACAGCATCTCATTCATGTATAATCAAGACTGTCAAGATTCTACTTGCTCCATCACACCATGGATCTTGATGAGAGTTGTTCATTATCAAGGCTTTCTTTATCATTTGGTGTACCAATTAATGTTAAATTATTACATATTTTGATTATCTTAATAGAATTATTAGATGCCATGCATGGACTCAACCTCAATGAATGTTACATAATTTGATTCTGATTTTTGTGTCTAGAAATTGTCTAATCATATTGCTTAATCACAGCAGAACATGGGACTCAACCTCAATGAATGTTACATAATTTGATTCTGATTTTTGTGTCTAGAAATTGTCTAATCATATTGCTTAATCACAGCAGAACATGAATGAGACAATTGCTGAGATTGCCGCAAAACTCAGAACATGACAGCCAATTTAGATCGAGATCAAGAAGATGATACTTTTTTAAGTTTTGTTGCTCTTTTCTATATAATTAAGGGGTTCAATGCATTGGCTTCAACAAAACAAGCAAGACTACTCTACATTTCACCACCACAAAAAAAAAAAAAAAAAAATCAAAATGGCTGCTTGTCAAACTCGTCAATCAGCCTGCCATCCACATCTACATCCCTCAATCTCAGTATTGAGGAGCAATGTACAAATGAAGGGCATCACAGTCCCAATCAATAGGGAAAAAATTGAGCGGCAATTGTACAAATTGAAGGCATCACAGTCCCAATCAATAGGGAAAAAATTGAGCGGTCTAAAAAATCTGTTGGAGTGTGTGGATGATTCACTTCAACTGCAAAGTGCTAAGCAGACTCTTTCTCATGAGAGGCAAAGCTTGTGTGCAGAAAATGCATTGAATGGATCTCTTGAGCTATTGGATTTGTGTGACACCACAAGAGGTTTTTTCTCACAGATGAAAGAATATTTGCAAGAACTCGAATTATCTCTCCGTAGAAGAAAAGGGACAAGTGAAGTTGATGCATACATGGTGTCAAGAAAGCAATTGAACAAATTGATTAAAAAGTGTCTAAGAAATTTGAATAGAAAAGAGAGGAATTGCTCAACAGAAGCATTGTACAATAACTCCAACGTGATCAGCATGCTAAGAGGTGTTGAGGAAATGAGCTTTGCAGTGTTAAAGTCCATTTTATCTTTCATTTCTCAGCCAAAGGCAAAAACAAAGTCCTCTGTCATCTCAAGGCTAATGCAATCCAAGCGTGTGTCATGTGAAGTGGAAGTTGAAGACAATGAAGTTGGGAATATTGATTCTGAATTGCTTATCCTAAAGTCAAGCAAAGATATCAATTGTTTACAACTTCAAAATGTTCTTAAAGGATTGGAATCATTGGAATCAACCATTCAGGAAGCAGAGGAGGAACTTGACTGCATCTATAGGCAACTGGTCAAAATCAGAGTTTCCCTTCTCAATATTATGAATCATTAGGCTAGTTCTTTACTAAAACAATTTTGTAACATACAATTTTGACCCGAATTGTTTATAAATATATATATGTCATACACAGAGAATTAATGAAAGTTTTTCTCTCAATTTGCTTATTCTCTCCTCTCAATTTATCTATCTTCTTCTCATACTTATATTATATTTCACGTGGATGTAAATGGCATCACATAGGATATAATTTTCCAAAACTGTAATCAGATTATGTTTAATAAAATCTCATGCTTTTGTTGTACAAGCTAATTTGTAAATATCAATTGGATAAAAAGCATTTTACTTTATATTACAGTTCTGGATTTTGAACTTTGCTAACAAAAACTACCTTTTTGAGAAATCCAAAGATGTTTGCCTTCTCTGTTAAAATATATATTGCTTGACTATGTTAGGCTTCAGCACAAACAGAATTGTTTTATTTTATTCTTCCATCACTTCATAGAACTGGAAAGAAAGCTTGAAACTAAAAGGTCCCCTGTTGTCAAATGAAACGTTTCCCTGCCGATAAGAGGATAACTTTTCTCACCATATTCTCTATCATCTACAATTAGGAGCGAAACATTTCCCTTCGTGCTGATAAACTATACAAATCCTTCAATACCATTGGTTTTAGCGAGCAGCTGGACAAACCTTCAACCTATACTAGCTAGAGAGACAAAAGGGTGAAAGATATAGCTGCAGTATCAGCTACCATGACAACGAGTTAATGAGGTTTTGATTAATTTTCTCTCGGCTTCTAGCCGCAGTTCAGTAACGTTCCATAGAGGGTGGTCAAACTATGAAGCACGATGAAAACAAAAGATTCATATAATCAAACAAAGACATCAAACAGTAGCCTGGAAAGTTCAATCAAACATTGTTTAATTTCTACAGGGTAAAAATTATAGACTGGAAAGTTCAGTAAAACAATAGCCAATAGGTCCGTCTCAAGAGCAGTAATACTGCTATTACAAGCTACCTGTTTAACATTGTAACAAAGACTAATCTAAAAAAGGTTGTCATTATAGCTTGAAAAATAACTGTTTAATATATAACAAATAAAATCATAACATATACAGAGAGAAGAATGGAAACACCTTCTACACAGCTTATACACAGGTTGAATAATTTCCTCTTCCATCAATCGTCATGGCAAAAACACCAAAATTAATAGAAAAACAATCTACAAACATGAACAACACCTTCTGCTGTACTTGATGATTCCTGGTCATTCGACCAATCTGCCATTTTCCAGAAAACATAAGAGCCAAGATACTTGGATGGGTGAATTACCAGTCCAGTGCAAGAACAGCACAGCATCAGCCACAGTACTTCATTTCCCAATAAGACATAACATGCCTGCATTTCATAAGGACAATAATAATTTTTCATGCAGGTAAGGAAAAAAATGTTGTACTTTGGTCCTCCCATCATGAAATTATCGAGTGTGCCCAGAGTGCATTGTGAAATCCACCTCAAATTATAGGTGGATCTAACATGAATGTGAAAAAAGGTGCATGTGCATGGTCTCTCACATTTTAAAGAGACACTATATGATAAGAAATAGTGATTAAAACCTCGGAAAATTTTTATTTGCATCAGATTTGATAAATATATGAAGAATGAGAAGGAACATTACCTGCATTCATTCTTCATCTCAATCAGCCACGTGTTGGATCATTTATGGCAATCATGTCGGTTAGAAAACTGGTGAAATTGAAGCAGGCAGTCATATTGCATCAATGACGGCCTGTGGTCGAGGTCTTGATCTCATTATCGTCTCATCACTGTGTTTGATCCATTCTGAGAGCTTCCATGGCTTCTGCCATTTCCATTTGAACTGAAGCAGCCACTGATGATGACTTCTCTTCCATCTCCAGAGTTTTCCGGTTTGCCCAACAGCTACCAGTTTCTTCATTGGCAATTGCCCAACTGGTACCATCTGCGCTCACAGTATCTTGATTTTGTTATCCATAAGAAATCACAACCTACAGGACTGGTAGGAGGAAAGTTACCTTCCGTGTCTGATCTCGGAAGGTCACGGACTCTCTGACAGACCCGTTAACAATCCCAGGTGTAAATTTTAGTTGCTTTGCCGCTGGATGTGAAATTGGGGACAGAGGACCACTCGTATCATCAGCATAGTGCTTAGATGAACTGCGTGAGTTACCCTGTTGATTTCCATTCATTAACTGTTAAAACAATATTGCTTGTTCATTTTCTTTAGAAAAAAAAAAAAGAATAGTATTTAACACAACATGAGGCCTCTTTTCTTCCCAAAGCCCTTCCACCAAATGGTGCTTTTTCAGCTGAGCTTGAAACTAGGCCTTAAGTTAAGATTCATGCAAGAAAGCAAATGCCTTTACATTGCACGGCACTTGGCAACAAATGCCCTGAGCTGAACAAGAGACGCTATATTTCAATACTTGTTTGGCAATCAGAGATGATTTCTATCCCATGTGTCAAATATTGTTGAAGATGCATACAAATTTGATCTTGTATGAATTAACAGGGATATATATAAGTTTACACAAGGTCATTTAGCAACAAGTTACTATGGCCTTATTTAACTTGAGTATAATTCCTTATACATCTCTGTGTTCAATTAATGTAAATAAAAATGCACAATATCCCAATTAATGTGTAAGCTTACAGTTCAAAGACGATATATAACTAATAAGTTATGACCAGCAGATATTCTCACCGAAACCGAAGCTGACGTAGCTAAGGCAATAGCAACAGCTTGTTCCCTCATCTTTTGCTCCTTTACAAGTTCCTTCCTCTGGGCCTCGCTTTGTCGCAGTAGATTTACAAGCTCATTCAGCTGGTCTTTCAGGTCCTTCATTTCCATAGCTTTATCCCACAACTGGAACCTATTGACAGACAAGTAATATGTTATGACACTTCCCAGAAAAAAAACTTCAAATTCTATCACTAATAAGATGTCTATTTTTTCTCTCAAAAAAAAAAAAAAAAAAACTCTCAAAAAAAAAAAAAAAAAAAAAAAAAAAGAAAAGAAAAAAAAAAAAAAAAAAAAAAAAAAAGAAAGAAAGACAACCTTTTTTCTAAATAAAATAATCATTAACAAGAAACTACTACCCATGTACACCAGAGGAACACAACTCTTAAAAACTACCACAGAAGAAGCCATAATAAAAATTTATAAACAAAAAATGTTAGAAAACATTGATATACTTGATGTCACATGCAGTTTACTCAAACACTAGGAAAAGTAGAGATCCCAACTTGGGCAGTTTATGTTACCTCACGTCAGCAGCAGCAGTGAACATATACTGAAGCAGGTTTTTAGCTTCTCCCATTGAGCGTAATTGGTTCCAGTGTCCACGACCAAGCAGGGAACGCTCCCTATCTGCTGCCTCCGAAAGTTGTGAAGCCATTGCCGTTAATGCATTGGAAGATAAGTTCAGCATATTCTCTAGAGAAGCTATTCTCGCCATTCTTGCATTTGGTGACATCAAAAATAATCTAAAAAGGTTGAAAGAAACAGAAACCAGTAAATGATCTTATATTAGCTTATGATACTTCTACTATGCATCATATTATTTGAGCATAAGATATGTTATTGAATGTTGATGTACAGTCCCAACGCTAGTAGCCTTTAGTTGGGACAAGAAATCATATACATACCTAGAACATCCATTCTTCCCTTTTTGTTGACTACACTCATTATGACCAAACTGATCTACTTCTTTCAACAAGGCTAACTCCTCTGCCAGTGCAGCTTGTCTGTTAAGAAAATTAAATAAATATACAAGCATATTGAAACAGCTAAAACCAGTGGCAACTAATAGGAGTAAAGGGCAGATGCCATACTCTTGTCTCTGTTTTTCATACTGGAAACGAACTTCATGGATGTTCAGCATCACTTCTATCTCATGATCAAGCCACCTTTGTAAAGATTTTTCGTTGCCCTAAAAGTGTAACTCTGAATTAATATTTTCTGACATTAGCTTATAGCATAAAGATATCAATCTATGCGCCACTTAAAGTAGATTGGCTTGAATGCTTTGCCATCTTGTCTCAGGTTGTAGAAAAACCAAAAACATGAGTATCCAGCCCCAAATTCATTGAAATGTATCCTTTGTAATATAATAATCTTTTAGAAGCAAAATTGGAGCTGTACCATGATCGTGATTCATGACAACGAACCTCAACTAAGCACAACCAATCATAAAGGGGTCAATGGATTCAAACAGACATCATTGACTCTGAATAAACAAACTATAGTAAGGAATTGCTCAAGATTAGATCATTACCTGCAGAGGTGATGTATGTCCATTTGAATTAACTGCAAGAGATGATAATATAATGAGGGTGTCCGAATGTTTGACAGACTATATGAGACCAAACGAAAAAAGTGAAAAATTACCTGAGTTCTCACGTATTGAAGACTTGCGAGCTTCCAACAGATCCTTTAGCCTTCTTGTAGCCATTGCTGCCTCTTCTGTCTTTCTTTGAAGAACCTTAAAGAAAAGGATAATAATGTAAGTCAATTTAAGTCAAAAGATCCAAAAAACTTTGGATTAGCTAAAGGAAGCATATTCCAACAGTAGCAAAGCATATGAAGAAGGAAAATCTTAAATTTGAAGGCGACTTTAGATAAAAGAAGTATTGATTTGAATGTCGGTCAATGACTTCATGCTAATGAATTATTATTTCACTTCTTGTGAAGTTGATTGTTATTAATGGTATCATACCATATTGCCTTATTATTCATGCTTGAGTTTTCTTTTTTCTATTTTGATTACTACAAATTACATGTCTTTCTTTGGGCACAATTCTGGAACTTGTCCCTGTCTTTCAAAATACTATATCACATCATTGATGCTCTCAATTTACATTAATTTATCTCTAGTCATTCTAATTCAAAGTTATGCAGGGATTCAGGCATAGAAAAATAATGTCATTCATAGTTCACTTTTCACCCCATTCACCAGATAGGGTTTAATTGAAGAAAATCAGAGCTACAGTTTAGGGAGACACAAAAGATGCAGCATGAATCTCTCACACCACGTCATCATATTTAAATAGATATACTAAGAACTTGAAAGATATGGTCCTTTTACCAGTTTCTGTCTTTGATGCAATGCTTCAAGTTTATGTCGCTCGTACTCATTTCTCCTGCCTTCCTTTCTTAGCTGATTCAGCAAAGCCAAAATACAGCTAAAACTAATTAGCATAAAAAAACAATACAATGTAAAAGAAACTTGCAAGCATGATTAGGATACCAGCTGTTTAAAAGAATCAAATAGAAAGGAAATCAAGGTGTAAACTAAGGAATCAATCAGAACTCAGAAGGGAAGAATCTATCAACAAACATCTTAAGAAAACAACATAAAAATGTGAAAACGTAAAAGAAAAAGGAAAGCAGAGGGGCACTGGGAAGCCTAAAATGTTGAATATAGCATGGAAACGGGTGCTTTGATACATGAAGGCAAAATAGAACTTTGATAAGCTAATGCATATTGTGATAAAAGGTTGCAGGAGATTGATTCACCCAATGCATATGGTTGCACAACAGCATGAAGCCACAGAAGTAGATCAGCAAATTTCATATCATAATATAATATACTTGTTACAATGTTGAAATCTTGAAAAACTTGGGATAATTACCCAAGTTATATGCAGTAAAAGTTTTCTTCCAAGTTGAATTAAAACTGGAGATTTTTATAATCCATGAATGTCCAGTCAACAGAGATATATGAGTGAATCTGATTTGTGACAATCCTACACCAACTCTTTGCAACTTAAGGCATCAAAGAAATCCAGATTATATCGTTAACAGAAAGAGAAGCACCACACCTGTAGCACTTCCTTCTCTCTTGAGGCCTTCCATTGTCGAAATTGTTCTGCCTCTTGTTTTATCTTATTCTGCAACTGAACCTGCACAAGAAGAACGCAAGAGAAGGAAAGATATTAAAGTTTCAAGATACACGTTTCTGAGACATAATTTAAAATAGAAGCATTTGAATGAAAACAAACCTTTTGTGACTTGATTTGCTGTATTTCAGCTTGCAATCTCTTTGCTGCTTCATCACTTCTTTGTTTTTGCTTTAAAAGCTCAACCCGGTTTTCTTGTTTGCTTTTAAGATCTAAAATCTGAATTTCAAAAAGAAAAAATAAAATAAAAAATGAAACCGTTCTACAGTTCAGGCTGACAGAACGAAATAGTTAGGTGACATGTAAACTAACCTGTGCTTCAAGCGCTTTTAATTTCTGTGAATGAAAATCATTTGTTTTCTGTGTTTGTCCATCAGAATTAGCAGAACGATTCCCAATTTCAGCTAGCAAATGATCCCGCTCTTGCTGTAGTTATTTTACTTTGCATAAGCCATAAACATTAAGAACTAGCAAACGAAAAAATAAAAAATAAAAAATAAAAAATAAAAAATGTTCAATTATACCTGCACAATTCTCTTCTCTTCCTCAAGTTCCATGATTTTCTTCCTAAAGTGCTGTTTCAAAGCTTCAGTGTCAACCTCCACAAAAAGTTTCATCTCAGACTGCATTCGAAAAGAATAAAAACATGAGCCTAGATTTACCCCCCAGGACACAGACAGACTTGTTTCCCTGACTTTGCTCACTAAAATAAGGTGAAGTTTGGTCAATATACTAATTTTAGTTGTAAAGTATTGGTGGGAGTAAAAGTAACTTCATCCAGCTGCTGGAACTGGAGGTACTTGATTCTTATCAGACAATTTAAGCAAAAAATAGTACTATAATACCGTCAAGTGAGCTTCAACAGAAGCTAGACAAATAGCACTTGAGATTACAATTAATAAGAACACGATGGTTATAAGCTTGAAAGTTCAAATTTTTCAAATTACTACTGTACATGCAGAACAAGCAATTGTAACAAGCTCAAAAGATTGATCCAACCATGTATATACCATCAAATTCTTGTAGCCATAGAAATTAATTCCTAAAAAAAATTGGTTAAAAAGCATCTACATCCCTTTTATACCGAGTCTTTTACAGTTCTGGTTGAAGTGCTATGTTGTTTCTTGAAGAATCGGACACAAGCCTCAAAGTGATGTCCAAGAGCTCTACCATGATATATATTTTATGATAAAATCCTAGGTAAATAGGACTTCCCTTAACAACAGATATACACATAATTTATTTCTTGTTAGGAAATAAATTTATTTCTTATTAAAAAAAATATTTGTGCACTTATCAATTTCATGTATTTCATAAAACAAAAGCCATAAAAGAAACCTCTTTTTGCTCCAAGCGTTTGTTTAACTCATTCAATTGTTTATCCATGGTACCCTGCATAAGTGCATGCTCCCATTCTTTTGCTGCTTCATCAATTTCCTCAGAACTTTCACCTGCAGAATGCAATTTGGCCAACATGGAAGACAAGTGGCCAAGGAAAATATATGAGTTGCATGATAGCATACCTCACATGGTAGCGGATTTGCAAGTATATGTGCATTCTGAGCCATCCCACAGTAGAAAGAATGTAACTAAAATTACCAAATACAAATGCTTATACAGTTTATGTGAGGGTGCAATATGTTCAAGTTCCTTTGATCCTGGTCCCAGCATTACTGTCCCAGGATGGCCCAGACTATATAAGTAAATGAGGGAATACCTGATATGGATTCACCCATCTGATAGTCAGATGAGTCCATACTCTGAAAATCTCTTTTAAGTCCATCACTTTTTGCAAAATAGGCATGGCCTTCCTGAGATTCAAATTCGAGATGCATTACTTATGGATCTAGAACTTTTTAAAACATATTCCACCGTACCGGTCAAATAAATATCACATGCAACCATTTCTATTCATATTTGAGAAAATTAACATTTCAATCAATAAATAAAAAATTATTTTGGAAAAACAAGAAAAGAGAAACAAAGTGGGGTGGGCAGAAGGAGAGACTAGAAAATCCCATTGACATACTTGTGCTTGGGCATCAATTTCACACTGGTCTACTACAGCACAACGGCTGCGGTATTCATGAAGTTCTCGAGAAAGATCTTCATTTGCAGCCTCGAGCCAAGCAATCCTTTCATTCAGCATCTGTCAAACCAAGATTATTTTCTACTGAGTCATTGTCAAATACAATTTCTCCTGAAATAACTCATGCAAAAGCCACTACTTTTTATCAAAAGACAGTTATGCGGAAGGCATATACCAGGACTTCATCTGATGGAGCTCCTCTCCCCCGAGCACGAAGTTCTGCTTGCAAGTACTTCAGCTGTTGGCGCATCTGTTGCACCTCAGTGGATATTAAATCTCGGTTAACCTGTGCCAAAAAGGGAAAAATATATAAATTTATACCTCTCCAGGTGATCTTCACATCAGATAAAATTTTACAATACAAAGGGATATTTATAGTAGACTAAAGGGGATTGAGGACCTGAAAAGAATAACCAAGTTGCAAACAAACTTACAACAGGCTTATTCTGAATATTTCGAGCACGATTTGCATATTTGAGAGTGTTGAGAGTTTCCTCAGCATTGATGTCAGCAGGACTGATGCAAGCTGGAAGGAGGGCCAAAACTCATTACAAACAACATGTATTTGGAAACACATCACGATATCTAGATAGCTATACAATGCCCCAAACAATTACCAAAGACAAGATCGTAATTCTGAAATTAAGTAATGGATTACCTATCATAACAGTCTTGCTGTTTCCACCTAGTGAATCCTGCCAAAGAGCATAATCAATCTTAAATCATAAAGCATTTAAAAGAAAAGATTTCAGAAGAAAGAAACAGCAAATTAATTATTTTGTAGTTACTCTATGACTTCTCAAACCCACTATAAAGATAGCAGTTTCTTGTTTGTCATTTCTAAATTCTGATATTCATAATCAGCTAAATCATTTCAAAATCGGTAAATCAAATTTAAGAACATAGAAATGCAATTTCCTATATCAAAAGTACTATATATTTCACATTAAGCTAATCTAACCTGCAAGAGTCGTGTCAGTTTACTGTCTCGGTAAGGAACATGCACTCCTTCTTTTCGCTTTTTTTCATCCCCAAGCACGCTGATGACATTACCAAGTGCCAGAAGCCCCCTATTTATGTGAATACCTGTTTGTAAAGAATACAAAAAATAAAATAAAATAAAACAATGTGCAATTATATTTCTTATGAAAACAATCAATAATGACAAAGCCCTGCAGTAATACATGAAAGTAATGCATTAACCTACCTTCTTTCAAACGAAGACCATCCGAACCAGTTCTCTTCGCTCGTTCAGATCCAGCTAGATCAACCAAATGGAGCTTAGCACAGAAATACTCTTCGCCCATATCCTCATCTGGAGTGTCATTAACAGGAGAAACTGAATGCGGTTTGCGCATCTGTTCCAATGTGATCGTGAATATTGCGTGCGACCGACTTTTATAAACATGCAGAAGGGAATGGGATGCCATTAGATTACAATTAAATGCTAAGTTATAACCACGAAATACTCCTTCCCAGCATTTGAATTCATTATTCTAATGACATCTCAAGCAAAAAGGCAAGAGAATCACTTTCACAACCAAAACAGGATAAATAATCAAAGACCATAAAGTTATTTAGATAAACTTAGCAAATAAGACACCAGCATCAGAAATTGCTGCATAAAAACCGATCTTCCAAACAAAATTTTGGTTCTCTTTCATTTACCAGTATTTCACTGTACAAATATGCCTGAGGAATTTTCAGAAACATAGTTATTATTCATAGAAAAGGAATTTTTTTTGTTGCGAGAAACGAGTTCCTTGTCAACATTATATATCCTAGCTCTTTAAGCAAAATGCCACAAGGACCATCATAATGGGACAGTTAAGGAAAACTTGAATTACTTCACATTGGCAAATTGGCCTGAATGGAGAAGCATTATTGAGACTAAAATCTTAAGTTAGGCAGGAAAGAGAATATTTGGCATTCAAGGCTTACCTGGACTGGTTGTTCATATTTGTACTTCCTGTTGCCCTACTTAATGATCCTTGCTCCAGGCAAGCAGCCATTTCCTGTAATGTACTGACAGATAATTCAGTTGATCCTGCTAGCGTTATAACTCCATTTGACGATTCACGTATTTGTATTGGAGGCCTCCCAGGAACAGCAACTTTCCCATGTCCATTAGCAACCATTGATTTGCTCACAGATTCAGAATCCAGCAAGTCTCTCACTTCTTCCTTTAGAATCTTCAAAATGGAAACCCAATTATTAGTTCCTCAGCAACAAGATATATAAAAAAAGTTACCATTTTATATTCTATTTCAAGGTTCAATCCTCTTCAAAATGTCATTCCAAATTGTTGTCACTAGCATTTTAAGTTAAAAAAAGTTATTAAAAATACCATATCTTCAAATTTTCCAGTTTTAAGTGTTTGGTATGTTAAAAAAAATATTCATTTGAATTCCACAGATTCAATTCAGAAATTTAACATAACTAAACCAAATTCCATCAAAATTGATTAAATTTCAAATGAATTTTGCAATATTTACACAACTAATAATTTTTGTTCTCTCTCTCTCTCTCTCTCTCTCTTCTATCTTTTATCTCCCTTCCTTCTCTTCTTTTCCTTTTTTTCTCTCTTCTTTCTCTCTCCTCTATCTTTCTTGATTCCATTTTCTTTCTTAGTTTATTTTTTTTCTCTATTTTCCCTTAAGGGTACTTTAGACGTTTATCACATATCAAATTGAATTCTAAATTTATAGCAAACATAAATAAATGTGGAATTCAATTGAATTTCATATCTTAACCTATCATAACAAACATGAAAACTCATATGCAAATGGATTCTAGCTACATATGAAAAGATCTGTACCAAACAGGGCCTTAAGCAAAAGCTGAAGGACAAAGTTAGGAATGGACATTTTCAACCGAAAAGTTCTTAGGTTTACATTTATCTTTGGTCATTGGACAAAATTTTTCTAGGAAACTAACAGCCTAAAAACCAACTGAAGTATTTTGCTGCACATAACTAAATAAATTAACATGAGAAATTTACCTCAACGAAGGACACATGTAACTGGAATTCGGTTTGATCCTTTAATGTCTTAATCTTATTGAACAGAGCATTCATTGCTTGTGGAATCAATCCAGTTTGGCAACCATCTTTGAAGCTAGTTCCCATTGTATGTGTTTTGCCTGATCCTGTCTGCAATGCAAGCACATGTAAAATACTAATTAAAAAATACACTGCATGAGAAGCCTTGTTCAACTTTCAAAAAAAAAAAAAAAAAAAAAAAAAAAAATCTTTGATCCTTTAATGTCTTAATCTTATTGAACAGAGCATTCATTGCTTGTGGAATCAATCCAGTGTTGGCAACCCATCTTTGAAGCTAGTTCCCAATGTATGTGTTTTTGCCTGATCCTGTCCTGCAAATGCAAGCACATTAAATACTAATTAAAAAAATACACTGCATGAGAAGCCTTGAAAAAAAAAAAAAAAAAAAAAAAAAAAAATTGTAATTTTACATGACATTACCTGACCATATGCAAGTACAGTAGCATTATAACCCTGGAACAATCCGTCAACAAGTGGAGCAACACATTCTTTAAACATAGCAGATGATGGAGAACCACCATTTCCATATACATGGTCAAACGTAAAAGAATGAGTACCGATTTGCACCTGCATCATAATCAAAACCAATGTTAACATATCAATATCGTGCATGATACCAATAAATATATTACTGATATTCTTTAACTTGCAAAATTACAGAGCATAATTCCATCATCAAACTGAGCTGAATACTTAAGAAATGATGTAATCAAGAAATAAAGTGAAATCGGAGACCTTGGCCTTCAACTTTAAATGTTAAAACTAGAATGTTTATTCTTTGTCTTTTTTTTTTTTCCTGAGATTGGGCATGGTTAATCATGTTTATTTCAACCTCTTCCTTCGTATTATATAAAGGACATGATCACTAAGAATCCAAATTTATTCCACTCATTCATTTCCTATATATACTGAATCCAAACCAGCTCAAGTTAGAGATAGATTGAATATATTTACAAACTTACTATAATTAGCCAAAAGATATACCGATTACAAATATATATATATTAAAAAAAAAAAAAAAAATGAAAAAAAAAATATATATTAAAAAAAAAAAAAAAACAAGTTTCTAGTAATTCTAAAAACCACGAGCGCTTAAGTTAAGCTCATCATATCAAAATTACCAAAACTTTTAAAGGAAATAAAAATGTAGAATACCTGAGGCTTCCCAGTCGTAACGGAGACACAATCTTTGCAACCTTGAACACGTTCATCGCCGATAAGCGGACGAATATGAACTGCAACTTTAACACTGCAATTCTCCGATGTCTCCATGATTAAAAAGAAAAACAAAAGAAGAAAAGGAGAAGAATATGAGAGAGGATTAATTTCTCGACGTCCAATCAAATCAGATTGATTTGATTAGATCAAGAAAATGATGCAGCAACCAGAGAGAGAACAAGTGATTTTAAGAGAGAGAAGGTTGGTGGTAAAAGAATTTGAGGAGGAAGTGGAGGGATTTGAAAATTGAAGCACCAGAAGGTTGCTGCAAAAATAATTATAACACCAACAACAAGAACAACAAAGAGCCTTAAGCTTAGCTTCAACAAATCACAATATTCATGTTTAACATTCCTTGTTCTGCACTGCTTATTCTGCTACCAGTAACCAGCTACTATAAATGACCAAAGCCAAAAGGTTGCTGCTACTTTCTGCTGCTGTGTGCTGATTTGATTGTTTGGGCATATGGCTCCTTGGTCCCTACTCCCCAGTCCTTTCATATGACTATACAGTAGGCAAAATTTGGTGTCATTTTTACCAAACTGCCCTTTTCTTTGGGGCCCATAACTATTTTGCTTGGAAAATACCGAATCCTGTTTTGCTATGTACTCGAGGGTTTTTTTTTTTTTTTTTTTTTTTTTTTTGGTAAAAAGAACTTACAAGTTTTAATTTACTTTCATTAATGAGGAATATAATGAATTTTTTTCCTAGCGCATCCCTTTGGAAGCTATGAATAGACCAAGAGATTTTAAATGGGCCAGACAAAAAATTAACTTCTATTTTCGCCATCACACCCAGGAGTAGTCGTGTGCTGCTTTAGTATTTTTTTTTTTTTTTTTTTTACTAACATTTTACTAAACACTAGTATAATGTTAAAAAAATTAATTGCATTTTTTTTTTTTTTTTTTACTAACATTTTACTAAACACTAGTATATGTTAAAAATTAATTGCACTTTAAAAAAAAAAAGAAATGCAGTCTATTTTGTGAGAAAAAAAAAAATTTTTTGGGACAAGATACAGCTTATTTAGTAGTAATTACAATTTCATTTATTTATTTCATAAATGTATTGATTAGTCCTTATAATTTAAGGAAATTTTTTCACCTAGAATGTGGTATTTTATGGAGTTAATATATCGTAATATTTAATTTTTACATTCAAATACTTTAAAAAAACTTTTTAAATATTTGTCTCTTCAAAAAAAAAAAAAAAAAAAAAACTCCCCTTTAAAAAAAAATGCTTGAGTTAAATGTGAGAAATAAATTCATTATATACAAATTTAAATTCTTTAAAAGGAAACAAATATATAATTTTTAGCTTTGGATTGGAACGTACAAGTGAAGTACATATACAAAGAAGCTAACTCTTTTGCTGATCTATAAGTGAAGCAAGCAAGATCAGTTAATTTGTGTATTCATTATATTTACCGACCTCCAACGAATGTTCTTCATTGCCTTGTTCATGATATTTATGACATTTCTTATTCTAAAATAGTTTAATCATTCAGATCGAATATGAATTTAAATAAATGAACACAACATCAATGGTAATTTAATCATTCATAAAAACTCAACAATAACATAATTTGTCCAATAAAATAAAATTCATCGAACTATCAACGAATTTTGGGATTAGTGTTTCATCACTTTTTCCTATTAAAGAATTCGATCATCGTGAATAGAATAAATAGCTACTGGAAGTATTTTACTCTTCGGCCGGCTGATCCGGTATCAGTAAGACTTAGTTTTAGTCTACTGAGCAGATAATACCTATTAAAACCCAAAAAAAATAAGTTGGTCTAATTCAGTCCCAACCAAAATATTTGATATGCCTAAAATATATTACTAAATAAGATATTGCTCTCCCATGTACAAAATACAAATGGTACGATCACGAGTACGTTGCTAAAACCACAAACAAAAAATAGAAGCTTCTGTTCCTGTCAAAGTCAAACAAGCTGTTAAAATAACTGCATATAAGGGCAAAATTTTAAAATTTAGGCTCCTCTTTTTCTTTAAAAACATTATAAAAAATATTTTAAAAAAAGAAAATTTAAGTTTTTTAATATTAAAAGAAAATTAAGTTATTTTAAAAGAAAATGACTTCCTTTTTTAAAAGGAAAATCAGTTTTAATTTATAAATTCATCGTAATTTATAAATATATATTTATTAATTGAAATTATAATTAATTATAATTATAAAACATATTAAAATTCAGCGGTTGACTATACAAGGTTAAAAATCTATAGAAAAAACATTAATTAACCAATAATTTGGAAAATATTTTTAAAAAATAAATTATTTTTTAGAAACAAAGAAAACCTAACGAAATGAAGCATGATGAGTTGGCAAATTGAAACTATTAAAAGGGAATAAAGAAACCGAAAGCAATAGCCACTGTGACAAACACAACACAACACAAGGAACAACGTAGCTTTTAGGCCTCTCTCCCTCACATGGTCTGCCATTGGAAAACTTCTTCCCTAAACTTCGTATCCAATATTCATATCTATAAATCCTATATGTGCATAAAATTAGATTCATGACTTAAATAACTCAAACCAAGCATTAAGAGATTTCTCCTCAAGCTACCTACACGGGAAAGTTATCTAAATCGAGTCCATGAACTGCGAAAAAAAGAATAAAATAAAATAATTTAAAAAAAATTATTTTTATTGATTTAATCTATACTTAAAGTTTCATTTTGCTTACTTAACCTAATCTTTAATTTATTGTTTTCTTGATTTTTACCTAATTAGACCGTTAGAGATTGAATGCTGACCAACTATAAAAGAGCTTTGGTTGGTTTAAGTGATTTGATGTAACATAATCCATTTTATTATAATGGTTTGGTTTACACCGACAAAATCAAAATTATTCAACCTCACCCTCATCTAATTGCCTTGAAAAGAATAAAAGATTAGTTAGCAAACCAACAAATGTTGTTACAGTGTTTTCAAAGAGCTAAGAAGTCACATTTGTTGATGTTGACAGTTTTTTTATTTTTCCTTTTTTAACACTATAAAAACACTTCATTTGACTTTCTTTGCTGGGTAATAAAGACATCAACTAAAATTATTTCTTTAAGTAAAAGGCAACATTGACAGGAGGTAAACATTGACATTTTTTTTATTTCATTTCAATGATAATTTTAGAAAATCAAAATAATATTAATTATTTTATTTCGATTTTACCCTTATTTATATATATCTTTTTTAACTTTATCTCCTATTAAAATTTGTATTATTAATTTTAAAAAATGGATTGAAGTCGTTTGCCATCTAAATTAATATTTTTTATCAATTTAATAATTTGTATATAAAATTAAAAATGTCAAATTTAAGCGGCGGACAAAAGAATATTTATTGGATATAGCTTCAACAAATTGAAGGGAGCACAAATTCCAGTAAATATTGGCAATCAATTGTGCTTTTGACTCCTGGAATGTATGATTTCAAGGGATAGGAATTGCTGCCATTTAAATTTACAGCATAATGTTATTGTTGAATTGACAGAAACAGAGAAGTCAATACAGTAGTCATCATGTGCAACTCATTGAATTTAACATCACAGAGTATCCAAAGAAATTTTATGCTTGTTCTCACAACTTTTTTATAATTTCCCTTTTCAAGTAAATCAACTTATCATTTTTTTTATTTTCATGGCCAGATAAAATCATTTGCTCTAAAATTACATAATATAAATAAAGCTCATTTTGCTCTCTCTAGTCTGGGAGAAAATTTGATTTATTCAAAAAAAAAAAAAAAAAAAAAACTAAGTCTGGGAGAAAATTTTGATTTATTCAAAAAAAAAAAAAAAAAAGAGTATAAAAAAAAAAAAAAAAAAAAAGAGTATAGAGTGAGCTGATTGTATTTGATGATTTGAGAAGTATTTTTCATTAATTTTTATACATTGCAAGTAAATGTAATTTAATTTTTAGGCAAGTATGTTTCATTATAGTTAAGCTCTTTTAGAGAAACAATGGATATATTATACTTGCTTAAACCAGATCTATAGTCCCTCTCGTAAACCAAATCAATGAAAATATAAATTTTTGCTTTCTTTCTGACCATAGGATAGAAATATTATCGGTTTAACAAAATTTTATATTTGCATTGGATTAGTCCATGGATTGTCATGTACCCGATCTAGGCAAGTCAATGGATTTAATAGTTATAGGAATTTGCTCTATATATTTTCATACTCAAACAAATAAAAATTTTGAGTCAAATGGAAGAAAAAAATATGTTGATAAATTCATATGATGGGTTTCTAAAAATTATTATTAAAGATTACACCCATCATCCTAAGATGTAAGGTTTAGGAAATCCAGAGAAATTATTATTTTGTCATCTAAATTAATTAATAAACTAGTTATTGCTATAAAGAGTTATACATTTTGTCGAGATCAAATCTAAGTACAAACATCTAATATTATATATTTTTTTTAATTTTAGTTTTATTACTCAAAAGAATATGAATTGTTTTGTTTCGTTAAAAGATCAATGAACTCTATTAGCTACTAACAGTAAAGTTGTATGTCTAATCTATATTAGTATTTATAATTTTTAATATTATCATTAATAGAATATATTTTAAAAAAAGTTAGTACTGATTTTTAGTTTAAAAGTACGATAGATCTCTCGAAAACTTTAAAATCTCACAATTAATAATAATAATAATAATAATAAATAAGTCGTTTATAGCTGTTCTTATCTTATGTTTTCCACCGAGGATTGGGTTTGGATTTTGGAGGGAGAGATGGTATTTATTCCTGCGCGGTTCTTTTCTTCACGTGCTCCTCCCTTTTGGTCCGATCTGATCTCTCAAATTCCTATGAATCCTTTATTGGTTGTTTTCCGCACACTAATCATCTTATCTAATACAATACCAAAAGCTAGTCTCCGAATCCAAAGAGATAATCCTACTTCTCATGCACCATAACAACTTCAATAATCATATTTTCATTCTTCTTTTGTCCTCAAATATAAGTGATTTAAGAATTTAAATAATCATATTTTTATACTTCTTCTGTTATAAAATATAAGTGATTTAAGCTTTATGCATGAGAATTAAGAAAATATTTAATTTTTTTAATTATAAAAAAAACAATAGTATTTTAATTAAATTATTATTTATCTCAAAATCAAAAGTTATTTGTGAAAATAGTTATTGTATTTAATATAAATAAGGGTAATATTGAAACAACATTATTCATTACTCTTTAAAATACTTAAAACAACTTATATTTTGAGACAATTTACAAAACATGATTTTATATTTTGAAACAGCGAGATTAATATATTAAACATATACGATTTACTTAATATTTTTCACTTTCTATGATAAATATAAAAATGTAAGAATTGTCCGTAATGTTATTTCGATTTATTTAGCCTCTATTAAATTAAGAAAAAATTAACATAATAATAATCAGTTAATATATTAAATTAATATTGTATCCATTGAAAGTATATATCCCATAGTACATAAAATTTATAGGAAATATATTACAATTCTCAATCATTATGTACTGTGGCTTACTTTTAGTTCTCAATCAAAGTTTTTGGCTTTGGACATTAAGTGCAATGGCACTAAACTTTATATGGCTTAGAGCTTTTATAGGCTTTTTTTTTTTTTTTTTTTTTTTTTTTTTTTTTTTTTTTTTTTTTTTTTTTTTTTTTTTTAATCTTCTTTACAGCTTAGAGCTTTCAAGTTTCAAAATAGCTCCATGCATGTGCAATCCTGCAAATATATCATCATAGTATGCCTTGAAACACTGAAAATAGCTTTTCGCTCTGCACATTTTCTTTTTGCTTTAAACCCAAAATAGCTTGTAATTATTGGGTACATGTGTAATGTGTTCAACTACAACATACAACCATAGGGTTAAATTTTTAAGAAAGTAACAAATATCAATAAAGTTTTACTTGTAAATTTAATAATGGGAAAAAAAAATATTGGTTTAAGATCTCAAAAGAGGTGCGACTGTTAAGTTTTTTCTGAATTTATTAATAAATAAGTTAATTTTTTATTTTTAATTTTAAAATATTATTTTGAGGTGGAATTAGTAAAACAATAATTTTTTTATCTTTTAACTATCTATAAGTGTTCAATCCATATATTTTTATAAGTAAGAGTATATAATAGAATAATTTTACATGTTTAAGTATTTAATAAGTGCAATTTATTTTTACAAATTGAAGTGTTTAACGAGTTAAAATAGTAAAAATTTAGATTGCCATAAGATTTATTATAAAAAGTACTCATTACTGTAATGAATTTATGCATTTCGACTCTTTCGTGTTGTGAACATGATTAGCAATGTAGTAATTAGTCCAAAATCATCAAATCGGAACCCTAATTGATGAATCCTTATCCTTAGCTAGTGGGTTTTTGGCTAAACAATGATTAAATTAATACACCAATATAGATTTTGGATTTTGCTTATGATGGAAGGTTACCATGAACATGGACTCATTAGAATGGCAATCTCTGACTACAACGGAGTAATTAGTCCAAAATCATCAAATCACAACTCCTAATTAATGAATGCTTATCTTCGTTTGGTGGGTCTTTGGCTAAATAATGATTGAATTAAGACACTAACATAGATTTTGGATTTTGCATATGATGGAAGGTTCATTTTTATACCCTAATTTAAACAAAAAGAGGATATCTATTACAAAAGAATTATCATGTACAATCAATTACATATGTGAAAAAAGTAACCTTTTTTTTCGTTACTTTAAGGTTTATTGTTATTATTATAGAGAAAAGCTGGAAAGCAGTAATGATGGTTCAAGCTGAAAATTTGAAATAATAATACTAATTGAAATAAGAGGAAGCAATAAACATTTCATTTAGGAATCCTAGTAGTTAGTGACATGAATTCATTCACTTCGGCAAGTTAGGAATGTAGCCAGGCCTGATAAATCTGGGCTTGTGAATAGAACTTTACAAAACAGCATCTATAATGGGCTTGTTGATCTTCTATTTAGAGCTGCATGGATCATAGTGCCACTCTTTTTACAGTCCATTACATTTGGGCTATAAATATTGTATTGGGCTTTGTTCCCCTTTATAGTTTCTTTAGCTATTTGTAAATTTGAAAATATAATTCATTCTTTTCGTTGTTTTTAATATTTAATTTAGTGATAAAGTGAACTTTGTTCGCGTAGGTTCAGTTACGGGCTCTAATACCGTGTTAAGAATCTTATGCCAGTAGGTTCGGTTACGGGCTCTAATACCGTGTTAAGAATCTAAGGCATAAGAGCAATTAATCAAAATCAATTGAATTTGAGCTCATAATAAGTTGAGTTTATCTTTAATATTAAATCATTCAAACTATTTTGGTTGGTTCACATTCCTCATTATTAGCAGCGGATGCGGGCTGACTAAAAAGGCCGTGGCTACCCTTAAGATAAAAAAATTTTAATTTTTAATGTGAAAATTTTTTGAAAAAAATATTCTATTTTATCACTCATAAGTAGATAAAATTATTTTTTGACTCCCAAACTATTTGGTCTGATCCGCTACTGCTCATTATATACTATTTACTCAATTTATGTTTATCTAATGAATTTTATTTCTCAAACATAAATATAAGCGTTCTATAAAATTATCTAAAATAAATTTATTAATGTTTTAAAATTCACTTTACTTTGGAAAAAATGCATAATTCTATAACAAAATTACCATTAATTTTTCAAAAATATAATTGGCGTATAGCTTGAACCATGGGTTCTGATGAAACGCGTAAGAATCCGCCGAAACTGAAATTGAATCGAAATTAGTAGATTTAATATTTTAAAATTTTCGAATCGGGTTGATTGAACCGGAGCCAGCGGTGCAATAAACCGGTTATCCCTATTGAATACAGTGACTTTTGCATGCTTATCGCTTCCTCTTTGATACGCCCACAAGGAGAAATTCTTCACGGGAGGGATACGCAGTGGCGTGGATCTCACGCCAATCATAAAATTCTTTGACTTTTTGTTTATTTTAGGTATTTTTTTTTACATAATACTAACAATTTAAAAATATGCCCATTGCACCCTAGATCAAATCTGGACCGTGCGTTCTGACCTGGCAAAAGCTTTACAGAGAGAAGGGCAATTTTGGAATAAAAAGGACAAAAAAGCGCAGTAGTCGATGACTGCAATTTCATTCTCTTTTCTTCTCTGCTACTTTATAAAAAAACCCAAGCGTCGTTGAAGAGCACGAGAAATTTATAGGGAGAAGAAGCACCGTAAAAATTGCAGAGAGAACAATACAGATAGAGCAATGTCTGGAGGGGTTGCGCGTGGTCGTCTTGCCGAGGAGAGAAAGGCTTGGCGCAAAAACCATCCCCATGTTTGTACAAACCTTCAGATGTTTCGGGCTTTTCCTTTTCTTAACCCTTTTCTGTCGTTTCATCCTATTTATGTTTTTGTCTTGGGAGGTGTTTTCTCCCTTCTTTTCCTTTTTTGATAGTGGTTGCTAATTTTTATTTTGTTTTCGATTTCTAATTTTGGTTGGTTTAGGGTTTTGTGGCGAAGCCGGAGACTCTTCCAGATGGGACGGTGAATTTGATGGTGTGGCATTGCACTATCCCTGGAAAAGCTGGTGTAAGACTTGCGTCTAAATCTTTGTTCTAAATTGTACTCCAATTTTACCTGTGTGTTTTGATTGATGAGATGATCAATTTGATTGTTAATGTGAGCTCCCTTAGTTTGAGTGTTTTGTTTGACTTTGGTGGGTGAGATAACGTCATAGGATATGATTAATCTGTTTAAGGGCGTAAATAAATGGAACTGGATGATATTACTGCAATTTTGTCAGTTGCTTGATAGTGCTGATAACTGTTGAATATTATAACTATTATTATTTTTAGTCTTTCGTCACTATAATCAAATATTACAGTGGGTTTTTGTTGTTTTTTGAGTATTTAACTCAAGAAGTAGAACAATTATACCCCTCACGTTCTCATTTTAGTTAATATGGGTGGATATCAGTTTAATTTTATAAAGTTCTGCACTTCAATCACGTGTGAACTTCTTTTGAGGTTAAATGCCTACTTTAGAATGTCTCTATACTTGGAGCAAAAGTCGAAGGAATTTGTTCCTTGATAATTGATTTCTTTCCTAATATTGTTGGTTAATATTCTCCTTCGATTTTTTTATTGGTTAATTTGGGCATTCCAAGTAATAATTTGTTCTCTGTTGTCATATTAAGTGTACCATGCCCAACTCAAGTCAATTCAGCTTTAATTCCAATGTAGCCAGCATTAGTTATATGCTTCATTTCCTCCATTATTGTCAACTTAGGGTTCCCGCCTTCTCTTGCATGTCTTGAGTATACAATTTTCCTCCCTTCAATTTGAAATATTATTTTCTCAAATTTAACTTAATTTTTAAAATGTATTACTGTTGCTTCCCCTTTCTCTCTCTCTCTCTCTCTCTCTTTCTTAATTTTCCACTTTATTAACAATTAAATTGGGTTCTTTGAAATTTTTTTATCTTGGTAGTGAGATGTGTCTCTATTTGTATTTGGGGACAGTGGTGGATGTGGGAGTGGTTAAATTAGATTTTCATCATGTTGCTTCTGCCTTTCACGGTTACATGGATTTACTTTGATGGTAGTGCCATGGATAATGGCTACAACTTTCAGTTTTTCTCACATCATACATTTTGGGTGGTAATTGTTCCTCTATTTCTCTTAGAAAAATGGATGTCTCCAAAAGTTGTAAAATCAGATATTTGCTGAAAATTCAGTAGTGCTTTCTGAGTCATCAGCATTGTGTGATAGGTTTATTGAATCTCTTCTTTAATATTCCCCCTCTCTATTTCATTGCTGGCTTATTTTGGTATTATTGTGTCTCTGATACAGTACAACTCGTCAATTTTTGCAAAGACAAGAAGTTGTATTTGTCATTTTGCCTAACCTAAAATCACAACAATAATAACTAACAGAGGTTATACCTCTTGGCACTGTACTCACTGATTCGGTACTCATTTTACTCTTTGGCCATAAATTTTAGGTTTAGGAGAAGTTTGACTTAGTAAAATAGTCTTTATCATGATTTTATTTTGTACTTCTGTCTCTCTCCCTCTCTCTCTCTCTAGTTCATTGTCTCTCTCTCATCCATCTCTCTTTCTCTTTATTTTATATTTTGTTTAGTCTTCTCAACTCCTGACATTATAAAGGTAATGTACTGCGTTGGACTAGCCATTGTATTCCTTCCCTCTTTCTTTCTTCCAGGTACATTTCTAATGAGTCATTAGACTTCACGGCATGTTTAGTTTGTATCGCATGGTAGTTTGATGATTTCTTCTTAGAGGTATAATGTAATTAGTAAATGGGTATTATGAGGATAAAAAAAATTGGGTGTATCTTTATCTGCAATATATTATATATTTTTTATCAAATTGGATGGATTAACCAACTTTTATCATATTGTAGACTGATTGGGAGGGTGGTTACTTTCCACTTACACTCCACTTTAGTGAAGATTATCCTAGCAAGCCGCCAAAGTGTAAATTCCCTCAGGGGTTCTTCCATCCTAATGTCTACCCATCTGGAACTGTTTGTCTCTCAATCCTTAATGAGGATAGTGTGAGTATTCTATCACATGTTGGTTTTAAGGAAATTTTTCTGAATGCTATTGTAGGGTTTCTTTGTTGCCCGGATGATCAGTATGCTTGTGGTTTTTGTAGGGGTGGAGACCAGCCATCACAGTGAAGCAAATTCTTGTGGGTATCCAAGACCTGCTGGACCAGCCAAATCCAGCTGACCCTGCACAAACTGAAGGTTATCATCTCTTCATTCAGGTATGTGGACCTCTATGTAAATTGAGTAATTTTTGGAAGGGCCAGTGTGCAGTTTAGGCTCCATTCATCTCATTCTGTTCTTTTTGCAGTCCCCCTTTTCCCAGGGGTGGGGGTCATTATTTTCTTATAAGCTAAAGACTTGAATATCAACAATGCAGTTCTTAGTTTGAAAATGGCAGTGGTTTTGTAACTGTACTGATGTAGTATGAGCAAACAAACATACATTTGTCGAAGTTCCTTTGCAGGAATTCCTTCATTCTAAACACTGTCAAAATAACCTTCATCCTTGTCGGTTATAATCTGGATAGCAAATATCACTTCTTTTGTTTTCTGTTTGGTATTTAGATGTTGAAAAACCTACAGCTTCATAACATTATATGCATATGAATACTTGGAATACATTATGGAGAGAGGCCGATCTTTCTCCTTGAGTTTTGTTTAAGAAAGTTGGTTGTTCGAAGATGGGACTTAGGATAGATTTATTTTGCTGCTGCGTTATTATTTTCATTTTTCTAATGGACATGAACTTGGTTAAATGCAGGATGGTGCAGAGTACAAGAAAAGGGTGCGACAGCAAGCTAAGCAATACCCTCCTCTTGTGTAATGTGAAAACTACCATCTCTAGGAACTGCTGGTTCTTGGTAGCTGTTGGGTTGCCTGTGCAACTGTGTACTATTAAACTAGCTTTCTCTGAAATTATTTGCACTTGGTAATTTTGAGTGGCCTTTATGTGTGACTGACTGCATGGTTGAACTGGCATTTCAGCTCTACAGTTTAACTTTTGTTGATATTGTTATAGTATACCAGTCAGCCAGTGTTACTCATTCGTGATTATAACTTATATTGGTTAAAAATCTAACATAGAACTGTTGCAGTTCCTTTTGTGATTGGATATTATATTAAATTGATAATCTGTGAGTTTGCATTGGGCTCATCCATGGAATTAGAAGTTGGTTGGAGTTGGAGCTAGCTTGTGCAGTACAGTTTTCTTAATGCTGTGCCTCTCCTCTTGTCGTCTGTGTATATTCCAATTTCGGTGGTCCAACAAATCAATGTTGGATGAGCAGCTAGTAGTATATGAGAAAAATCCAAGATTTCTATTGCTGACAATTTAAATTACATATAACCTTGTTTGTCCTTCGATAGTGGTTTAATAATGTGGGCCTGATTTTCTTCCAATTCATGAATGTCAAGTCTGCTGTTCCTTTCCATTCACATGGGAAAAAAAAATTTTGAGAAGTGGCATGTGAATAATTTTTCTTGATCCAAGCACGAGTTCTAATAATAATTTGTTTTTTTTTTAAATATTTTTCGTGGACTAATTTTGTGAATGCTCTTAATATAATTTTATTTTTTTAGAACAAATGAAACCGTAGGCATAATAAACATTATGATGCCAAAGTTTTTTGTGATAATCCCTGAAAGGTGGTGGTGGGTTGAAGGACTCGTCAATATTATTGTACCAAAAAGAAAGAAAATGTAGTAGCAATAGCAATAAATTTGCATAATTTGAGATGCGATTGAAATGTTTCTGATTTTCCTTCAGAGTCCTGGCTTGGCTTCAAGATATTAAATTGGTTAAATAACAATAATAATAATAATAATAATAATATTTTTAAATATTTATCGACTATATTGCCATCTTGTTATTATTATTTTTTTGTTATTTTATCTAATAGCAAAGCTAATATCTTATTGGATCAGTCATCACCTATTCTAGTTATAATAGTCGCCTTCAAGAAAAGGAGTTTTGTCCTCCCTTTATTATTGATATTGAAGCTATTAATAAAATTTTAAATATATTATATTAAACAATAATAAAGCTAATACAGATAAGTTTTCCTTTTTTTTTAATAATGTTTTCATTGTCATTGTTATTACTCTTTTTATCATAAGATATATTATATTAGAATAACTCAAACTAATTGTCTATTTATCTACTTTAATAAAAAAAAGGAAAAAAATTAAAATTAATATATTTTTATAACAATTGACATTGATTTGTGTGTTGTTCTGCCATAATTTCAAGAGGGAAGGAGTAATTTTTCTTTTTCTTTTTTTTCTTTCATTGGGACAAGTAAAATTTAAAAAGTCAGGTTAAGGGGTTGGCCAATGGAAAGAGGTGTGAAGACCATGAAATGGGCCTACCACTTCCACGGCCCAATCTTACGACTAAAAATGTAGAAAAGAGAAACCCGAATATTAGGGCTCTACTACGGTCTAGTTCCAATGGACGAAAGCATGGCCGCTGCATATTACCCGCCGCCACCCCCACCGCCACCGCCACCACCTCCGGGTCACTATCCGACCTACTACCAACATCCTCCACCACCGGCTGCTCCTCCTGTGGTTCTTCCACCGCCGCCACCGCCATATATCCCTCAGGCACAGCCACCGCCGCCTTTTACCTCATACCCTCCCTCCTATGCTCCGCACGCGCCACACGACCCTGTCCGTACGCTTTTCGTGGCTGGTCTACCGGATGACGTCAAGCCTCGCGAAATCTACAATCTCTTCCGTGAGTTCCCCGGTTATGAATCCTCTCATCTCCGTAGCCCCACGCAGACGTCGCAGGTACTCTTCTTTCTTGTATATTGTTTACGTATGAAATGGTCTTTTCGAATTTAGGTTTGGAATTGACAATGGATGACTATGCTTTAATCATTGGCTACCTTTGGTTAGCATGAGTAAGATCGTTAATTAGCTTATATGCTCTAGTCTAAACAAAAATAAAGCCAGAGTTTCCAATTGCATATTTGCTTGTCGATCTTCCTAATTAGAATAATGAAATGGGTCATTGGCATCCTTTTGTAGAAGCATTTCAATATCTGGTTATATGTAAATGTGTTGGTTTAGCATTGATCAAAACTCTAGTCCTGCTAAAAAACAGATGTACCTTGTGTGCTTGTGCTGTTTTGGCATGGGGTGATATGATATAGAAGTTCATTATTTCCAGTAATCCATAGAATTTCAAGTGCCTGTTTGGTTTCCCTGGTAATAGGAATGGGAATGAAACTGAATGACTAAGTTTAAGGGTCCTATATTATTTTTTTGATAGCTAATAAAATTATTGAACCACACCTAAAAAGCTAGCCATTGAGGTTGGAGAACCCAAGTTCATATAAACCCCATATTGAAATCCCATACTTCCAATGTGATCCAAGACAAGTCCCATATCTTGTCTTGCAATTAGGCTCCTGACATGGTTGGTTAGGTTAAGGATTATACTTAAAAAATATATATTTATCATTTCAATATAAATTAAAGTTATTCAAATGAAAAATATCAAAAAAAAAAAAAAATCATATGTCTTGTGAACCAAATGAAAAAATGGAATGCTATTCAAAGAATTTCATTCCTTGCCCAATTTCATAGCAGAGCGTGGATGTCTAATGTTCAATCATTGAATTTGATACTGATCTCATATTTCTTTATGGGCTCGAAAAATTTACCTTCAAATAAGTGAATTGAACCTCTCATATTTGTTTTATCTGTTGATTTTCTGTACTGTGACATGGTTTTGGCTTTGTGGCAGCCATTCGCCTTCGCTACATTCATAGATCAGCCATCCGCTGTTGCAGCTATGCACGCTCTGAATGTAAGAACTGCTTCCCATGATTGTTCCTGAAAATATGTTTGAAGAGTTCTTTTCAGATGCAATTTATATTTGTTATATATGTAAGGCACGTATGTCATGCATTGAAAACCTGAGCAAATATTGGCTGGTACATTGAATCAGAAATTGGGAAATTTTCATATGTATGGCAAGGCACTCCAAAGGTTAATTTTTCTTGTAAAATGTTACTTAGTTAACTGTATTCTTTTTCATTCTTCATTTTGTCTGCTAGCTGTGACCTAGTTTGTAAAAACTGGTCTAACAGATAAGCACATAAACTGTATTAATGCGGAGCATCTGATGCGACAGTCTATACTGATTTCTCCTGGTTCCGAACCTTGATTGCAGGGGATGGTTTTTGACCTTGAGAAAGGGTCAACCCTATATATTGATCTTGCAAAATCTAATTCCAGATCTAAGCGCTCAAGATCAGGTTTATTGCTTTCTTATTGTCATGATTTTAATTTCTCTGGTACTTCTATTATTAATTTTAACTTGTTTGAAATTGCATCTATCTACTTGCCGGTTTTGCTTATTAGATGATGAATGGTCTGGTTTGGATAAGAGAGTTAAAGCTTCTCCAGCAACACCAGGGGGCAGTCTTGATTCCGGTAAGATAACTGCTAAAATTACGGGGATTGTATGGATGTTCCCCATGGGAACTTTCTTTCTTTCTATTTATTTTTTTGGGCCGCATCAATTATTATTTCTGCACCACTCATATTAGTTGTGTGTTAATTATATTATCTTGGAATACACATGAATTACTTAAATCACATGGAGGACACATTCTTCTGAAGGCTCACATTGCACGTTTTGCACGCTTGGGCACTAGCAGGTTTTGGCAGCGTTCACTTGCCTGGAATGAGTAATTCTGCTTACAACATGATTGGTTATACATCTCCACAAAGGTCCTGCACTACTTGAGCACACCTTCATTTTGAAGTGATTATTTCTAGCTCAATTGGCACATTTTTTCACTTGTATTGATTACTTCTGGCTGAAAGGTCAAGGGCTTTGTAAAAACAGTTAATGCTGTTTCCTTTAGTGGGAGTATGGTATTGGCCTCTTTTATAGCCTTCTTTTATCTTTTTAAGCTTTTGTAGTTACTGTTTTGTTTCTTCAATCATGCAGTCATGGGATCTTTGATAGCCGAGCTGCAAGTGAGCCAACAGGGGCAAATTCAGTAAGACTGCTTCCACTATTTTCCATTTTTACATGTGCTCTAGTTGCTAACCTTGTTTTTGCTTCTAATGAGTTACTACAAATGTTATACATAGATTCTTACTTACTATTTGAACAATTCTATTTTTTTTTTGTTTGAAAAATTCCCCTTGCCTTGTTTCTCAATGTTTTGGAATTCTGAAGGATCAAATTTTACCTTTGTAATCCTTTGGATGAGAAGCTGCTGAATTAGCCTGATATTCTTTTTCCAAAGCATTATTAAGGCATACCTTAGTAATCAATTTGTGAATAATCAAAGTCCTAAAGTTATATCATAGTTGCAAGTTCTTTATTTGACATGAAGTATATGCCTAAGCCTATTTTGTTTTGCACTTATTTTAGAGAGTTTTCATATATTTATCATGTCTTGGATAAATTTGATAGGCGCTCATCTATTCATACATGTGGGACACTCATTTTGTTTTAACTTATTGCATGATGCTTGGAATTTCTATCTGGTGGTGGACTGCGCCTTTGCAATTATTGCACAATTATTGCAAAAGTTTGACATACATTGTGGGACACTCACTTTTTGTTTTAAGCTTATTCATGATGCTTGGAATTTCTATCTGGTGGTGGGACTGCGCCTTTGCCAATTTATTGCAACAATTATTGCAAAACAGTTTGAAGCTATTTATATCTCTCCAGATCCGAATATGGACAAATTCTGATAAATCAAGTTCTTAACACTTTTGCCCAGAGTAATTCTTCAAGGCACCCCCATGTCCAAACATTTTTTGTGGCTAGATTTGGGGCCAATTGTATGAGCAAGAACTAATTCAAGGTATTTTTCCAAGGTAAAAGGAGCAGTATTTAGGTGTTTAAGATGTATTTTAGCGTTGTTGCAATATTCTGTTGATTGCATTTTTTGCTTTTTGTCATTTTACGTCAGATGCCCTGGGTTTTTGAAACGTGGGGAAGAATTGCAGAGACTTATGGGGCTCCAGTTGAGTTGTTGATTTTCCAGGTACTTGAGTTTTTTGGTTAAGTTCTACTGCCACTTTTTCACCTTTGCTTCTTTTGTGCACATCCACTCTCTCAGGCATCCCACCGCGCTTTCCCCCTAGACCTAGAGGGTGTTTGGTTTAGGCAATTTAACTTCTAATTTTTGAATTGAAAAATGTATTATTTAAATGTATAAGGCTATTGAAACATAAAACAGTTAAGTGATTGGAGTAAGACAATTGGGAAGTTTGCTTTTACATATTTAAGTGTTCGATTACTTTTCGCTCATGTGAAAGTGCTGCTTATCTTTATGCAGGATAACTTCTTGTTCAACTGGACACTTAAAATCATCTGCAAGGCCCCACAATTCTCTAGTTCTTCACCAGCTGGTTGATGTGGCATGCGCATTAGAGTATCTTTTGAAAAACTCATTAATGTTTTTTTTATCCCTGTTTTTAGCCCGAAATTCTTTCTAGTTGGTTCTACTTTAATTGAAAAATATAGAATATTGGCAAAATCACCGGATGGAATGCGGAGGAAGCCCAAAGAGAATAATCACATGGCACAAGTGTGAAGCCGGTTTCTTCCTTCAGCACAGTTGGAGCACAGTTGTAGTATTATTGTACAATGTTCAATTATGTTTGAGAGTGTAGCGTTTAGACAAACATATAAATTCTGAATTTTTCATTTATAAAAATCAAAGAGTGGGTTTCTCTGCAAAATTCTTGTTCCCTGGCTGTAAACACCTTATGCTATGGAAAGTGCTATTGTATTCTTCCTACATATTTGCTTTTCTTACAGTTCTGGTCATGATAGAAATTATACTAACAACATGAGGGAGATGATTGGAGATGTAAGGCAATGACTGGAGCTGAAATGCAGCGGTTTGTCTTTGAGTGCCAAATGATGAGCCTTCCTTGCCCCAATTTGAAGAAATTTGAATTGTCGAGGAGTTTTGACGGAAACAAAAAACAGATTAAAGAAGCATTGAATTTGAACCTTGCCCAAGGTGAACAGAGCAGCGAATAAAACCTCCACCAAGTAACGGTATGTTCTTATCCGCCGAGTTCATATAACTCATATGCTTTAGATCATGTTCTTCCCTAATGTAAGTGGGTAAAAGGCAATGAAAAGAGTAATTTAGTTACAATATGCCTATCAAATTTCTGTTCCTTTTTTTAAACAAAAAAAGTAATAACCAATTGAGGTCTGTTTAAAATCATCTAAACAAAAAACTTCAGAGATGGAAATTTCAGCTTGTTTTAGTGAATTTATTTAGGTTTGAAATGTTCTTAGACAGAGATATCGTTTATTAGAAATTAATTACGTATCGGTAGGGGCTGAAAAATCTCAAAGAACGGTATTTTGATAAAAGTAACTAAACAACCAACAAACCCGACCGTTAATCTATAACACAATAAACGATAGTGAATGAAATGATTAATTTATACAGTTGGGGAACTCTGGTATGTAAATAGCGGTGAGTATTTACCAGAACTATGCTGTACAGTAAGTAGTAAAACGTAGAATCTAATGTAGAAATTTTCATCGTGATTGAGTGAAATGACATGATTATTCATAAAATGATTTTCACTCATTCTAAATTAAATAATCAGGCATATGTTACTCAAAATAGCGGGAACTCGCGCACTTTTTCTTTATTCTATGTTATTTATTGTATGGATGTATGGAGAGTTTTGTATTGTCGTGAATTTTGTGATGAACAATGCCTCATACTTTTAAATCATTTTTAAAATAGGAATATATACAATATAAAAGAATTAGATTTCGAAGGGTTTTGAGTTTTCTGTTTCTTGAATTCCTTAGTATTACTTAAAAAAAATTTTTAATAATTCTAAATCTGGGTTTTTATCTTGAATCTTCTTGTTGTTTGCCTCAATTTTTCTTGATAAAAAAAAAAACAAAGAGAAAGTTGGAAATTTGTGACCTTAGGTTTGCCTAATCAAAAAAAAAAAAAAAAAAAAAATTTAATTATGTGAAATATCAATTGTGGGATTTGACCCATTAGTGTCATTGAACTTGCCCATGGAAATTTAGCTCAGTAGAAATTCCTAGTTCATTGTATGACTTTTGAGTTGTTCTTCCTCTTTGTATTCTAATTCTGTCCATGCAATAGTCAAATCATTTTTTTTCTATAAATGTGCTCGCAAACCTAGTAAAAGGCAATCACAAATAATAAGCCTGTGTACTGGTTTTTTTCTTTTTTTCTTTTTTTTTTTTTTTAATTCTTAGTTCTTGGTCTCCACCTAAATCTTGACTTTTGTTTTTTTTAGCTCTCATTGGACGGGCGGCGTAAGTAAACATCTTATTCAAGAAAATATATGGAAGATATGCTTGTTTAGAGGCGTTGATACCAAGGGCTTCCCCCTAACAAATCTTTTTGACTTCTTCTCCTTAGTCACAACAATTAACCAAACAAATTAAAAACAAAGAATATATATGTGATAGACTAGGTATTAATAAAACAATGGAGGTTATCCTATCATTTCAAAATATGTTACGCTAAGTTAATATTATTGATTATACATTTAAAATTTGAGATTCTCGCTCGGTAAGTTTATTTTTTTTTATTCGAAGAGACTAGATATAAATTACTGTTAGTAACTAATAAAGTTCGCTGATCTTTTACAAAATAAAAGAATTCATATTCTTCTGAATAATCAGATTAGAATTAAAAAATATGATATTAAATCTTCTTGCTTTGAGTTGTTCTTGATAAAAAATATTAAGTCTTTATAGTAGCACCTAGTCTGTTAATTGAGTTGGATGTCAAAATAATAACTCATTTGAATCTTCTATAATTGGCTTATTGTTTTAAGAATTGTAATATATGATGAACACAAATGAGTTTCTGTCACTATGCATCAATAACATTAATGGAGAAATATATCGCACTATTAGACTCTATTGATCAAAGATCTACACTTGCAAATCAAGGTTTAAGTAATGGCCAGCAAAAAAATGGACAACCCTCGCAAAGAAAAAACAGAAAACTCCAAATATAGAGACAGACCAAAAAGAACAAAAATAAAAATAAAAAAGACATATCTGTAGGAAGTATAGGCTATAAACATTGTTTTCTCCAAACTAAAAAGTAGGGTTAAAAGACTAAAGAGAAAATGAAAGCTTTATCATTTTATAGCTTATTATCTCTATAAATTGTTGTATTCAGAAGACTATCTCTTACTCTCTAATTCAAATATTATTGTTGATTTTCTATTATCGTTACTATGAATAGGCATTGTGCCATATCAATATCACCCATCATCCTCACCTACAATACCCATTTACTTCATTTTTTTATAATAAAACATTTATAATCTGTCACCACTATTGCAATTTAAACAGTCCACATCTCATTACTAATTATTTCACAGACTTATAAATAAGATAATTACAAATTATAAAAATGGAAAATAGGAAATCAACTTGAAATTGCTAGCCTTTTCTTTTCTTTTCTTTTTTTTTTTTTTTGTGAAAATACATATTCATAATCATGGTCGTGTTGGTTTTTGTTTTTTACAAAGTCAAATTCGCTTTTTCTTTTTTTCTTTTTTTACTGAGTAGTGTGTGCATGTCTTATATATATTCATTATTCAAAAGGTGGAGGTTTGGTGGAAGAATCAAATATTTCCATACTTGATGTAACACATGATTAAAAGTTTCAGTTGATTTGTTGTTTCAGTATTTCTCATTTTATTACAGTTTAATAAAGTTAATTGAAATTAGAAATGGCCAATTGAAACATTAACCAAAAAATATTTTAATTTCAGGTCACATCAAAAGAAATTTTAATTTAAATATATATACCTTATACATAAACTGATCTTTCAACTTGTTGCAAACAACTAGATAACAAATAATAAAAGGTTTTAAAGAATGTATAAATCATTTGTATATGCATGCCATTAAACTAATAATTCAGTAATGAAAAAAAATATTTATGATATAAAAAAACTATGAATTATTTTAAGTTTTGATGGCTCTTTCCCTTTTAAGAATTTTCTCTCTACCAAACTAATAAATAATTAATTAATTAAATCATTGATACACAATAATTTTAAGATTTGCTTCCAAATAAAATTAGACTCTGTTTGTATATATTGAATAGTGGTCCCTTTTTGTTTTTTGATAAGTGTTGTTAAACATTTGGAACCATTTGTATTTGCCAACTAGTTTACAGCTAAAGGTCACTTGACCTTCAATCTAATGAACCCAAAACAGAAAAATAAATAAAAAAAAAATAAAGAAACCTTTAAAACATATACCAAAAAATTATTTTGTTTTTTCAAAAAAAAGGCACACTTTAGCTTGCTTTTCTTTTCTTGTATTGTTCTTTATGATTCTCTTCTCCAATGGGAAATTACAATTACAAAATGGGTTCTATTTATAACGATGTGTAGACAAAAGCTAACTTAGAAATATCAGCCCTTTTGTATCTTGCATAGTTGTTTTACAAAATTTTTAAATTCATTTATTAACATTTCTTTACTTAAAATTAAAAATATTATCGAGTTAATTTATGGGCTGAAAATAAATTTTTCTTTACACGGGTGTTCTCTTGTTAGCTAAAATTATCTTTAATTAATAATAATTATATATATATACTTGAATAATTATATATATATATATATATATATATGTGTTCTTTAACACTGGGTGTTCTCTTTGTTGAGCCTAAAAAATTATCTTTAATTAATAACTAATTATATATATATACTGAAGATATAATATTATATATATATATTATATACCTATAAGCTGTTTACACTTACATCCACTGATATATTAATGCTGAATATAATTATATATATATATATATATATATAGCTGTTACACTTACATCCACTGATATATAATTGCTGAATCATACATGAAATAATAGCAGTCAACACAAGCATTTTTTTTTTTTTTATTTCATAAACTTCAGTTATAATTTTTCTTTCGGCTGATTCTAAGGGGATGATGGGGTCATAAATATTTAATTAATGTTTAATTAATAAATTGAAAATTGAAAATTGTTTTAATTGAAAATTGCATGCATTTTTTAAAAGAGAATTAACATAAATAATTCATCTTTTTAGTATTTTTGAATTTGAGAAACTTGAATTTATATTGAAAAAATGGTATGTGTATTTTTGAAGAGTAAATTTTAATCCTTTTCAATGAAATATGTGTCACAATTGTTAAAAAATAGAAATTTTAATTTAATTATTAAAAAATAAAATTAAAATGGACTTTTTTTCTTTTAAAACAAAATTTGAACATCCATTTTACCTTTTTTCAATCTCATTTTCAAATCTCACGAATTAAATTAAAACTTTTAAATGTTATATTTTTCATGTTTACTGTTACCATCCCCTTCATAAGTCAAATCCAGTAGACTTAATATAATATTGTATGATGATTCAAGTTAATGTATTTTCCTTTGCTTAAAAAAAAAAACACCCTTAAAAATAAATACTATAAATTTTTATTATTTCAAGTTAAATTAAATTTATATTTTTATTATTTCAATTCGATTAAAATTGATATTTAAATTAAAAATTCAATTTATTAATATTATAATTTTTTTTAAAGGCGATATTATAATAATTTATTAGGTTATACATGACATATTTAATTAAAATAGATTATAAATAAATTAGTGAGTGAACCTATTACATAATTCATTTTAACTCATTTTATAATTTGTTATTTTATTTATGACGAAAATCATTTAAATTCTTGTTAAATCGGTCATGATTAATTTTTAAATGGCCGTTGACTTAATTGAGTCTATAAGGGTGAAAATTTTTATTTCTTCAAATATAGCACCTCGTATATATATGTATATATATTTTTGGTACATATATAGCACCTCATATTAATAATAAATAAACATTAATAAATAAATAAAATAAATATCTGCCTAAAAAGGATAATGTACGTCCAATAAAATTAAGCCGGCCCCTACTGCAAATAAATTGTACACACTGCGCGTTGGCTTGATGGGGCCATTTATAAATGCAAAGTTCCAAAACTATCCGAAATTTCTAGTAGATTGATGAAATTTTGGAAGGACCAGAATGTCTATCCACATAAATCGTTATTGCGTGGAGGGAAAGTCAATTCCTAACGGTATCTATCCACCGACCACCGACCTACTCATTTTTTTTGCTTCTTTAGAAATTTCATAAATTATTCATATAAATATGAAAAGATCCAAATCCCCTGCTATGCTATCCTTACCCATTATATATTAAATATAATTTTTCTAAAAATAAAAAAGATCAATTAGTATAAAATATTTATATTCGGCTTATTCAAATTGATAAAAGCTAATTAAGTGTGATCCGATCAATTCTCTCTTTTTACTAATAATGAAAAGTATGAGATCTCGAACTTAAATTCTTTCAATCGTAAGAGTTTTTAACTAAAATTTTCAAAATTAGTGAAACAACTACATGCATCATATTATAAAATGGTACTGTGTAATTTATCCAAATTATTTATTCATCATGATGGATGAAGTTATGATTAATATATTCTTTTCAATTTATGCATTAACTATAAAACCGCCATATTTTTTAATATTCCTAAATATTTTAAATCACCAAATTTGAATTTTATTATTTTATTTAAACTATTAATTTTCTAATTGAAACACAATATGAAAAAGAAAAACTCAATATAATTAAATAGAATCCTCCATTGTTTATCCATCCATCTATCTTCCTTCTGACAAATGAGGATTATTTATTCAAAACATTTGAATTCCACCACCTCGCTTGCCCACATAGGACACCACCACCCATCACCACCACTCCCACCACCACAACCTCCACCTAGCAAAATAATACATATTTCCTTTTGTAATAGTAAAATAGTAATACTAATTTAATATTTTCCACCATTATTAAATAACCCACTTTCTTAAATTTTCGTCCTCTTTTCTTTTTAATTTCTGCTCCCAAACAAGGTCTCCATATGCCAAGAGGAAAAGCATCTCTGCCTTTCTCGCCCATAACATATAAGGTAACAACATAAACACACCCTTCACACTCACACTCCCATTCTTTTAAACAATTTCCACAAAGATTTGTGTCGGTGAATTTGGATTTTCTGTTTTTTAATCGTCTCTATTTTTTTTTTTTTTTTTTTTTTTTGGGTTGATAATGAAAAGCCGAACTCTGTCGCTATTTCTCTCGTGCCATTAACCATATTGCCAGGTACATATCATCAAACACACACCCTGTCACACTGCGACGTGACATTACCACACATGGATCATTTTAAACAGATTGGCCTGATCCGCTACATAAGATTCTGTGTCGGTTGAATTTGATATTTCCTCTGTTTTTGAGATACGTCTCTACTTAGTTTTTTTTTTTTTTATGTTTATGTTTTCATAAAAGAATAACATAACAAATATTTTTTTTTTTTTTTTGTTTTTTTCATAAAAGAATACAAAAACAAAAATCACCATCAAACGTGTAAGCTTAACCAGATGACACCCCCTGCCCCTCTTCATACCCAGCTGCTATAGCTATAGCCATGAAACCCATTTCTCGAATCTTTCCTTCCACCATGAGAGCTCGCTGATTTCCAAGTTGGGTTTCGATAATCATCGCTACTTTTCTTTCTTTTTTTTTTTTTTATCCTCCTTTTGGAAAGGGGAAAAGGGCGCGTGGAATCTCAGGAGATTAGTGTTTTTCTTCTTTTTTTTTTTTTTCGAAGAGTAGCGATGGAAAATGGAGTGGAAAAGGCGATGGCCGCGAGGAAGCGAGGCGGAGGAGGAGGAGGCGGCGGAGGAGTGGAAGGAGAGAGGACGTACAAAGGGATAAGGATGAGGAAGTGGGGGAAATGGGTGGCTGAGATAAGAGAACCTAATAAGCGGTCAAGGATTTGGCTCGGCTCCTATTCGACTCCTGTGGCGGCGGCTAGGGCCTATGACACTGCGGTTTTCTATTTGAGAGGACCGTCGGCGAGGCTTAATTTTCCTGAATATTTGGCGGGAGAAAATATCGGCGGAAGTTGCGGAGACATGTCGGCCGCCTCAATAAGGAAAAAAGCGACCGAGGTTGGAGCTAGAGTCGACGCTGCTTTAAATCACCACCACAATCACCACCATAGCCATCACCACCATAGCCACCACCACGAGCACCATCGAAGTAGCAGTAGCAGTAGTAATAGTACTAATAACAATAGCAGCAGCAACCACAAATCTGTGGTGGATAGTTCAGAATTCAAGTCGTTTGTGGAACGGGTCGACTTGAATAAGATGCCCGACCCGGAAGACTCGGATGCTGACTGGGAAAGGAATTAGGAGGAAAGGAAACAAACAAGTCTCTCCCCTTCATGTTATTTTCTTTTTCTTCTTCTCCTCCTCCTTGTGGACTAGTAGTGGCTATAATCATGATAGCCGCTAACATGCGACTGGGAGGTATGATAAGATTATGGCTGATGAAATGATGAGGCCTAATTAATTAAAATATGTGGATTAATCATATCTTAGTAGTATAAGTTTATGTTTATCCTATTTACATTTTATTTTCTTTTTTTTTTTTTTTCTTTTGGTAAGAAAAATTTTGCCCTTGTAAAATTGATAAATGTATATTAGTTGGTGATGATTTATTTAGCTTTGTTTCAAATATTTAATTTAGATTCTTGAATTTTGAAATTGGAATTCAAAATTCTGGGTAATGGGAAATGAAATGGATACAGGAGAAAGAGGCAGTTGTTTTGTGTGGCAGTTTTGTTGAGGGTGCCTCTATTTTGTACAAGTAAAAAAGGCAGTGAGGGGAACAGAGGATGGCCTACAAGTGCAGCAGTTGGTGCAAATTGCCATGCTAACCACTAAAGTTATAACTACTAAAGTGATAAGAATTGGAAGTTAGGTATTTTCTGGTTGTTTACTGTTGTTGCTTATATGGGTCTGGCTGTGGGCACCATAAGAGAGTGATTGCCATACTGGGCAACTAGTGCAGGATGATTATGATGATGGGGCCAACTTAAAATGGCTCTTCTATTGCCTATTTTTTGCCTCTCTCATTTTCCTTATCAATATTTGTTTTGTATATTTATTTGTCTAATCGCCGCTCCTCTTTTAAAAAATTAGCCATAACCTTTGGGTCCTAAACATACATGCTCAGATTTACCTACACTTTTGACTTGGTGCCCTTCTCTAGGCAGGCTACTTTTTTGGATTTAGATCGCGGAGGACAAACATCACCCCACGATTAGCGGATAATTTTTATTTCTAAATATTTGTTTTGTTTTGTTTACAATCTGTAATTATCTCTAAATGGCTGAAATGTCAAGACTTTAGCGAGCATAAATGAAGTTGCAGGGTTTCCTATTTCATCATTCAAAGAGATGATCACAACCTCTACTGTTTAGTTTAGGACAACTGGATTCCAAAATGGCCACACTGCATAAGGAATGATAATTTTTAAATGCTCTTTTTACTGTTCACTTAAACAATCTGCATAGCCATAGAACAATCAAAACAATCACAGACTCCAATTTAACAACCAACAATATTAGACAAAATGTAGCACGTATGGCATGAATGCTTCTTCATGCCCTACAAATACCACTAGTCCATACATAACGAAAGCCTTCATTCTACTAGAATCACGTGCTCATAAGATTGATTACATGTTATGTCGTTCTACTAATGCAACCTCTACATTCAGTTTTTTTTTTTTTTTTTTTTTCTTTTCTTAAGCGAAGCATAAATGAAGTTCAGGTTTCCTATTTCATCATTCAAAAGAGATGATCACAACCGCTACGCTTATCTGTATATTCAGATCTTAGGAACAAATCTGGATTCCAAAAATTGGCACACTGCCATAATGGAGATCGGATAAATACAGAGTGACTCTGTATTTACTGTCACAAGTTAAACAAGTCCTTGACATTAGGTAGCCACACATAGAATACAATCAACAAACAAATTCGACAATGAACTACCAATTAAACAACCAACAATATTAGACGAGAACTGTATCATCGAATGGCGATCCAGATGAATGCTTCTATTCATGCCTACAAACGATATAAAAACTCTAACTAGTCCATAACAGGTGAACACAGAATAGCCATTCCATTCACTAACCCGAAGAACGATAGTGCTCCATGAAATGAATTGAATTACAATGGTATAATGTTCGTTCTATCTAATGCATAACATCAAACATTCTTAAAGTTTTGTTTCTCTTATTTATTTCTCTCACTTATTCTCAGTTTTTTTTTTTTTTTTTTCTTCTTTTCCCACTATTTGTCTCTTCCTTTTTGAGGGTTGAATAAAGTGGAAGGACTGGTAGTGGTAGAAATGGAGGGAACAACAAGAATTATTGGTCCCTAATCCTTTGATCCTGGTAATTACTTGTAGCTATACCATACTACGAACAGCAAAATTGAGGTCTAATGAACTGTATGAAGCCAAGTTTCTCCAACCTCCACTTTGCTTAACTCCTACGAGCTCATGGAAACAATTTGATTCAGCCTGCCACAATGACTATTGAAGAATATTCGGGTGTTACACATCCCCTTCAATGGAACGCTTTATCTCAAGAGCAGCTCTTACAACATTTCCTCTTGTTATAATTCCAACCTTCAAGAATAGGGAGGACAGTTCCTTAAAAGTCCTTTCCTTGTGTATGGTAAAAGCAATCAAAAGAAAAGTACATTACATCCTTACCAGTTTGCCTTCAGAATCTACAACTGGAAGTCTGCGGTACTTTGTTTCGAGCAATAACCTGATTTGGCAGATAAACTTCAGAAGTTATCGCAGACTACAGCTTTTTTGAACGAGGGTAATAGGTAGAGAAAACAAATTAAAAGACAAGTAACAAGGAAGTGGAAAGGCAAAAGCATGAAACAACCTTGCAGCATCCTCTAGATTGGTGGTTTCACGAACTACTACAGGAGCTGGTGTCATTAAATCGCCAACAAGTTTCCCATTGGTTTTACTGAGCAACTTCTGTACCTCGTTAAAAGTCTGCAATCACCATTGATGGATTACATCAAAATAGCTTAAGCCACTTGAAAACTAGTATTGCCACAGATCCAGAATCACGATTACTCTAAATTAGTGAGATTTAGATTTCATCTGTGTACTGACAAAATATACATACTCAGGGCCTTTTTAACACTACAATACATATACTATGAATAACTTTTCGCCAAAAAATGCAGCAATTTAAGTAGATTTTACAAAGGTGCAGCAAAGGCTTGCAAGAGAGTAACTGTATGGAGTTTGATGTCATATAGGATAATAGTTCATTTGGCCAGTATAGTGGCCTTGAATGAGTTGCCCTCAAAAGTAAGAGACGGTTGAAGGAGGGAAGGAAATGTATATATTGGGAATTGAGTCAACACTGCCCACAGATGGGCATGCCTACGAACCAATCCAATAAACTTAGCTAAGTGGTATTAGAAAACAATGACAAGACAAAGAAAGCCTCTATAAGATGATTCTATGTGCCAAAAAAAAAAAAGAAATAGAAAAAGAAAAAGAAATCCTTTCATGAAAGATAAGGAGGAATGGTTTGATTCATCTTTAAAACCATTTGGAAAAGTCAAAGGAATGACCAGAAAAAAAAAAAAAAAGGGATCAAGGTGTTGAGAATAGACATCTACACAAATAATGTTAAATGGCAGCAAAGAAGGATGTAGCTAACCAACTGATAAAAAATTGAAGCACTCTTGACAAATTGATTTGTTAAGCTCAGGTCAGTTTTTATCTAAGAAAACAATGAGAAAGAAGGAAAACAAAAAAAAAAAAAAAAAAAAAAAAAAAAAAAAAGCGGAGTTAATGATTCTATGTGCCAAAAAAAAAAAGAAATAGAAAAAGAGAAAAAAGAAATCCATCGTCCATAGAAAGAGTAAGGAAGGAGATGTTCTGGGATGTTCGATCTTTAAAACGCAGTTTGAGAAAAAGATCAAAGGAGAATGACAGAAAAAAAAAAAAAAAAGGGCATGAATTCGTGTTGAGCACGGTTAATAGACATCTACACAAAATAATGTTACACAACTAAGCACAGCAAAGAACGAGAGGTAGCTAACGCAACTGATAAAAAATTGAAGCACGTGTCTATTATTGACAAATGATTTGTTAAGCTCAGGTCACGATTTTTATCACTAAGAAACAATGAGAAAAGAAGGAAAAACAAAAGAAAACTAGAAAAAAAAAAAAAAATAAAGGGAGTAGAGAGAGAGAAGAAGAGAGAGAAGAGAGAATACTTAAACACTTTCTTTGACCGCATGAGAAAGGTCTGTGGTAGACAGTTATCTTATCAAAAACTGTCAAAAGACATTATCCTACTGGCGAGGTCCCAGAAATAGCAGATCATAGGGTGCTTGGCTGCTGCCCAGTGGCTTACAGTTTTATGCCGAAGAACCGAAAAAAAAAAAAAAAAAAAAAAAAAAAAAAAAGAGAGAGAGAGAGAGAGAGAGAGAGAGAGAATATGACACTTCTTGCTGCAGAGAATCTGTGGTAGAGTTATCCTTATCAAAAACATGTCAAAAGACATTATCTACTGCAAAATAAATTCATGTGCTGTGTCCATGTGTAAATTTTATGCAGAACTGTCTAAAAAAGAGAGTGTTACTTACTTTCCAAGTGCTGTCAACCTCTGGAAACATGCTGTTATCAGTTCTTCCGCCACCTAGTTGAAAGGGATAAAACATCAATGGGCAAGAAACCTTGCAGAACGATTATCTATTTAGTTACCATGTTGTTCTAAAAATGACCAATTTCTGTTTCATTGTAGTGTTAAAACCCCCTAAATAGGAAATCCGCCCCTAAATTTATGTTCTAAACTAGGGTACTAGCCATATCATTGCCAAAAAATTTTTAATTTATGCAAAATAGGACCGTTTTAATTTTTTCACCCAAAACAATGTTAATTTCCATTTTAATTGGGTTTGACAGGTTAATAGTTTGAACAGTTTGAATAGGCCAAGATCTGGTCAATATCGCGATAAAAACAAAAGGACTATATACAAGTGCCTGGTTGAACTGCTCAGGCAAGGGGGGTCCAGTCCTGCTAAAGAACAGTAATGACTAGTGTAAACTATTTTCAAGGAGAAAAACTATCCATCACTCATGCTCATGGAGTACTGAATGGTTTAACATTTGGAGTATTTAACAAAGTTCAACATAAAATCTGGACATATCAGGAAAGTACCAGCATTGTCCATTACATCTTTGATGCAGAGCCCCCAACATATATAACGAATAGTTTACATCCACAGCAGAGAAATTGAATCATACAGGCTAAATGAAAAATCAGCAAATGAATGCATGCTTATGTTATCAACATAGTTTTCATTGTCTTGAAGCATCTAGGTTTAGTAACTTATTGTTTAGGTAGTCTCAATCCAAAACATTGCAACAATCAAGAAAAAGAAAGTGAATTGGCTCCTCTGAAACAACATGAATAGCTAGATTGAAAAAGCATAATGATTTTAAATTACCTGATATAGAGTCCAATGCCAACAAGTCATAATCTGACACAAGACCAACCTACAGTAGCAAAGAACCTTCAAATCATTCCCACAGTTATAGGCATTAACCAGCTCACTGCTCACGGAGTGATGAAAATATGTTGATGGTGACATTGAAAATAACATCTCAAAAGGAATATTAGAACTACTCCAAATGAAAGTGTGTGATAATTCATGTAACAAAAAAAGGACCAACAAAATTAGGAACATTGTAAAATTGTACATGCATATTAATTTCAATGAATCCAACAAAATCGGGCATCATGCCAAGCTGATTAGAGGCTGTTTGGGTCCATTTATTCAAAGGTTAGCATCAACATCGGCAACTAATCAGAGAAGCCATGTACAATCCAGAAATCAGACATTTCTCTTTTATTAGGGGGGGAAAAAACTCAGAGAGAAGGAAGATTTAACAGAACAGGCTATGCTCATACTGAAAAGGGGAAAGGGAATGGTGGAGAGGGGAAAGAAAACTTACCAGTTTCCAGTCATCATCAATCACTGGGAAACCAGTAATTCTGTGTTCCACGAGAGTTTGCAAGGCTGTTGGCATAAATGATGGCACATCAGAAGAAAACATTATGCTACACTCTAGTATAAAATATAAATCTGAGAACTACCTTCATCCACAGTAGTTGTTGGTTTTACCACTTGCAAATCTTCTTTCCTAGTCATAAAATCCCCAACTGTATACACTCCACTTTTGGGCTGCATATCGACAGGGACAATCATAAGCAGAAAATGAAATAGGGAAATACATAAAACTAAGAAGGGAGTATAAGAATAATAACAATAACAAGAAGCCTTGATCCTGTGCATCAATGAGCAATACCTTTTTATTCTTATGAATAGCAAGTTTTGTACCCAAGACTCAACCACAATGCCGAACTTAGCCCAAAAATCTAGCACTCAGGCCAGCACCCAAGGGGAACCAATAACATTTCATCTATTATAGGAACTAAGAACTAAAGAAAAGTACAATGCTTGACCATGAAACCAATATGAATCACCATAACATATAAAACATTTCACGTGCATTTCCACTGCAGATAATTCAAAATCAAAAAGCAACCAATGTGCACTAGAATTAAGCTGCATAATCAGGGATGAATACATTCAAGAACATTCCAAATGCATATGTGCTACTTCAGTCCTCTTCCCATTTGATAAACATTTTGAGAACCAAACTTTAAGCAGATAGCGTTCAATACTGAGTCATCCGGTCTTTACTGATAGCTTGAAATATTATTCCAATAAACCAAAGATCAACTAAGAAAAAAGAAATATCTCGTTACTGATTAACAAAATTAACTCGAGTCGACGATATTTATACCACAACAACTAGAAAATCCTAACCTCCCAATCTCTACTAACTTAATCAATTAATTAGTAAACTAATTAAATGGTAAAACTCCAGACTGAAATGCTAAACTATACAGAATAACAACTCTGAACTTCGAGTATATTTAATTAGATAGATAGTTAATTGATTAATTAGATAACATTGAGAATATAATGGATAAGGTGACAGACCGGTACAGAACTAGCCACGAAGGCGCCACTTGCGGCGATAGCTGAGGACCGACGAGGATGAGAAATGGCGGATAGAGGAAGGAGTCTCCGGCCAGGGCGGGATGAGAGAAGGCAAGGGAGCTGTTGAGCGAAGGAAACGATGGGGGATGTAGCAGTGGCACGTAAACGTGTGATAGGGAGATGGAGAAGTTCCTGATGAAGAATCGAGTCCATGTCGCCGATCGCTGTAATTTTAGTCCGGAGTTGCTGACTCTCTCGAGAAGGTCGGAGAAAGACCCAAGAGGGGAAATGGAGGAAGGCGAAGATAAAAGCGCAAGTGGTCAGCCGACCTATGTGATGGAGACTGTGGCTTGCCTGAGAAATAACTGTCTATCATATAATTTAACTGTTTACAATATAATATCTGATCTGTTAAAACTTAAAAATAATTTCGCTTCAGCTCAAAAAAAGAAGATATCTTTTATATATTTATATATATTATTTATATAATATAATATATATATATATATATACTATATAGATTAAGAGGTATATCTTTTATACTTTTATTGCTCCTTTTATCTAATAATGGAATTATTTAATTAAGAATGAATTTAAATTAAATATATTAGGCATAACTACTTTTTTCATTTCAATTGAGAATTTAATGGGCTATATATTAAGAGATATATCTTTTATACTTTTATTGCTCCTTTTTTCTAATATTGAATTATTAATTATTAGAATGAATTAAATTAAATATATTAGCATAACTATTTTTATTCAATGAGAATTTAATTGGCTTGGTCGACATAACACAATCCGGTAAAATTTCTTTTTAAATGGTACAAAATAAATATAAATTTAAAATTAATAATACAAATTTAACATCAATTAAACATTTATTAAGTAGTTGAAAATATAAAAATTATTTTTTTTAAATTGTGCTCATCACATTACAAATCATTATTTGTGTATAAAAAAAAAGTATAACTCTAAAAATTATTATTGTTAGTGTAAAGAGGTGGATGTTACTAAAATTTATAATTTTAGAAGGAAATAAATCTCTCTCAAAATTGAGTAGGATATAATATTAAAATAATAAAATATAAAGATTATATATTTGACCTTAAAACGTTAGATTTAATTACTACGCTTTTTCTAGAATACTACTATTTTAATACTATTTTTATTGTGAAAAAATAAAAAATAAAAAAACTTTATTCGTCATTTAATCACGCAATAAGCTATCTTGTAAACAAGAGGAACCGCAACTCAATAATGAAAGCAAGGGTAAGAATAAGCTGCTCTAGCCAGATTATGAACAAACATATTAATTTGCCTTTGTATCTAAGTCAATGAGACATCAACTAACTCATTCATAATCAGTTTCGAGAATCTAACCGGTCAGTTAATCGAAAGGGCGAGCGAGCTCAATATAGTTCAACCGTAATTTTATATGTAACATTTGAAAACATATTTATTAAATAAAATTGAAAATATAGGTTAAAAAAACTCTGGTACCAAATAAAAAATAATTTCAAATTTGGTTTTACAAAAAGAATAAACCATTAATAAATAATTTTAAACAAAAAGAATAGGATATGACTAAATTTAATACCAAAAAAAGTTAATTAATTATGATAAAATATATTATTCTTTTTCACATGTGGTTACGTAATTTAATTATTTTAATTAATATATCAAGACTTTGGATTTAAAAACATATAGGTCCAAAAACTAAAAAATCAGTGGGCATAACTTTTAAGAGGCTCAAATTTTAGCGAATATTTTATAGGAAAATCCATAATTTGAATGGAACTGATTTTAACAGATCCGATTCATCGATTTTTAGTTGGTTTTCCTTGGGTTGCTATCGGTTCAAGTTGGTTTTTTTGACTTTTAGTTTTCTTATGCAACTACTCTGAGTTCCTGACCATACTACAGTCCGATTTTCGGCTAAATTGGTTGGTTCGAATTTCAGAACAATATTCATAATTGACTTATAATTAAAAATAAGATGATTAAACACAAAAAGAGAAGCATTTGGAGTGTCATTGCTTGGTAGATTTATAACGAATAAGTTCCTATCAAGATAAAAACATGATAGTTCGGCTCACAAGTAGTTCGGCTTGAGTTCCTATCAAGACAAAAACAATATTTGATTTGAGACTCACGAGCTATTTAAGCTCGACTCACAAATAGTTCGGTTTGAGTTCAAGCTGGCTCGTTTAATAAATAAGTTGAGCTCAAGTCTAATTGATATTCAACTTAAAAGTTCACTGAGTATGATCATAACTTTTATATATACATGTACATGATATTTATTTTAGGCTTATTCGAATCTCGAATTTAGAATTTTTCGAATTGAACTTGAGTCTCAAATCGAATTCCAGCTTTCATCAAACGAACTTGAGACTGGTAGGTTCAAACTTAGCTTAGCTAGTTTACATGTCTAATACTAAGTATTAGCTTGGCTAGTTTACATCTCTTAAATTATATTGATATTGAATGTTATTTCTAATAAATAATTGAATGAAATTAAATAAGGATATATTAAAAAATAAGAAATTAATTTTATTTAAAAGGAAAAATTATCTATAATTTGAAATAAATGAATGGAAGAGGAAAATAAGTCTATTTTTATATTATAGAGAAAATATAAATTTAAAATTTAAATAACCTTTACAAGGGAATTTGACAAAATCTTTAAATGAAAGTATGCATTTTGTTTCCTAAAAGGTGTGAATCAATAAAAAGGAAAAAACAGCAGTTTGGGCTGACAGCCTAAAACCCAGAACGACAACTATATATTGGCCCGCATATAAATCATCGTACGGCTGTAATTGCCCGATCGAAATTGACTTTAGGGTTTGGTAGTTATCACCACTCAACTGACTATATAAGCCAAGTTTCTCTAACACACCATTTGCGGTGCCGCCCGTGCTGCCCACCCTTTTGGAATCTATCATCACCGCTCGTATCAGTACGGCCTCTTTTTTCCGGCCAAGTTATCATTTATCAAAAAAGAGCAAAAAAAAGTAAAAACACAAAAAAACCCCAAAACGAAACTTTTCTTATCAAACGGTTCTTCTGTCTTTGGTTTCCGATATTCCAACAATATTAGTTAAGGGTTTTTTGGTGTTTTATTTTCTGGGGGTTTTGTTTGTTTTCTTGTTGTGAAATTTGGAAAATGGCTCAGGTTCAGGTGCAGCCACAAGCTCCCGTTTCTGCTCCAAATGGGGTGGTAAGCAATGGAGTGAACCAGTTTGTGCCAACATCGTTGTATGTTGGGGATCTTGAACAAAATGTGACCGAAACTCAGCTCTATGATTTGTTTAATCAGCATGGTCAGGTCGTTTCTATTCGGGTCTGCAGGGACTTGACCTCCAGAAGGTCACTTGGTTATGGCTATGTCAACTATAACAACGTCCATGATGGTTAGTCCTCTTACCCCTTTTTTCTTTTTTTAAATTATATACTTGTGTGAAAACCATTTTATGCCCGAATTTTTGATCTTTAGGTATAGCATCTAGATGGTGAAGCCTAGTTTGCACCTTTAGATTTTTAAATTGATCTGTGTTGGGTTGTACGGGCAATTTCCTTTTAGCTGTTCTGGGTTTCATTCCATGAACAATACTGAAAAAAAAAAAAAAAACAAATAATGCACTTTTTTGTGTACACTTAATTTGGATTCTGATCAAGTTAAAATAAGAGAGTATACAATTCAATATTGTGGTACTGGTGACGCTTGAAACCTTACATTAGAAAATCATGTAGTTTGTGACACCAAGTACTTAACGGGATAACCTCTGGTCGTGGATCGACTTTGTGATTAAACTTGAATTTGAAGGGCATTTATAAGGCTAAAAACTTGTGGTTAATGTGTCTCGAAAGGTAGATTTTGGACTAGAGGATTGTACAATTAGTATATTTGTTTATTTTTCTGCATGTTTTCTAATGATTTAATTATAAATATATTGTGCTGCTTTTTTTATTTTATTTTTGTATCTGTATGCTATCCATATAATTGATTCAAGTAATTGGTTCTTATGGCAGCTGCACAGGCAATAGAAGTACTGAATTTCACTCCTGTCAATGGCAAGCCAATTAGGATAATGTATTCTTATCGTGACCCTACTATAAGGAAAAGTGGCACAGGAAATATATATATCAAGGTATTTACACCCTAAAGATGCTGAACTGTGTAAGATTTTTTCTTCCCCGTTGCCTCAGCTGATGCTGATATTCATTTTTTTTGTCTGTCATTGTAGAATTTGGACAAGGCGATTGACAACAAAGCTCTGCATGATACATTTTCTGCATTTGGAAGTATTTTATCTTGCAAAGTAGCAACTGACTCTTTGGGTCAGTCTTTAGGATATGGGTTTGTACAATTTGATAATGAGGAGTCTGCTAAAAACGCAATTGATAAGTTGAATGGTATGTTACTGAATGACAAACAAGTTTATGTCGGACCTTTCCTCCGCAAACAGGAAAGAGAGTCTGCCATAGATAAGGCAACATTCAATAATGTTTATGTGAAGAATCTTTCAGAGACTACTACTGAAGAAGATTTGAAGAAAATTTTTGGTGAATATGGAACTATTACTAGTGCTGTTGTGATGAGAGATGGGAATGGCAAGTCCAGATGCTTTGGGTTTGTCAATTTTGAGAATCCAGATGATGCAGCTCAATCTGTCGAGGCTCTCAATGGGAAAACATTTGATGAAAAGGAGTGGTATGTTGGGAAAGCACAGAAAAAATCTGAGAGAGAGGTTGAATTAAAAGGGCGGTTTGAGCAGACTTTGAAAGAGACCGTGGACAAATTTCAAGGATTGAATCTATATGTTAAGAACCTAGACGATAGCATAACTGATGACAAGCTGAAGGAATTATTCTCAGAATTTGGTACCATTACTTCATGCAAGGTTTGTAGTTCTTACCCTTCGTATAATTTTCAGAAGTGAAATGAATCTCCTCTTCACTGTAACATATCTCTGACTCTCCCTGAGTTCTAATAGGTTATGCGTGATCCTAATGGTGTTAGCAGAGGATCAGGTTTTGTTGCCTTCTCAACTGCTGAAGAAGCATCTAGAGCTGTAAGATGATACTCCTCGTATGATTTGTGTCTATATACAAACACAGATACATACTGTGGCTGGTTTTTTCTTGTTTTGCTTTTGGTCTTGATTTTAATTTCTTTTTTTTCCCCCTGTAGCTTACTGAGATGAATGGTAAAATGGTAGTTAGCAAGCCATTGTATGTTGCACTTGCACAGAGGAAGGAAGAACGAAGAGCAAGATTGCAGGTAATTGTCTTGAGCGTAGATATTGTACTGGTGTAAAAGGATCTATGGAGCTGGAAAAATGGAAGTAATGATGTTAATACTGTTGTTGCTTGCCCAGTATTGTTTTGGTTCATGTAATTTTTCTCCTCCCACAACTTCTCCTGCATATTTCTTTCTTGCTTAGCTGCTGTTTATCTCTTTCTGTAGGCACAGTATTCACAAATACGTCCTGCCATGGCACCTCCTATAGGCCCTCGTATGCCTATATATCCCCCTGGTACTCCAGGTATTGGACATCAACTTTTCTATGGCCAAGGCCCTCCTGCTATTGTCCCTCCCCAGGTGAGTGTTTGTTAACTTTGGGACATTTCTTCTGACCGATCCCTGAAAAGGCCACATGTTTATTAGTTAATTGTTTTGTCTCCAAGTATTTTTGTTTTAGCTACATACTTACCAATTAGATGGGTTATTTTGCTTTTCATGAGTGAAATTGTTTTGAGCTTATGTTTTTATGCACTTTAGCTATCAATCGCTTGCAGTAAGCAGGAAGATAATTTTGCTGAATTAAGTTCAATTATCATGTGGTTCTTTTATCATTCATATTTGATCTGGAGGCTATACTTTTTCACCTTCCAGGAACTTTTAGATTATAATTCCTTTTATTTCATTAATGATAATATTATTCATTTAAGCTATATGATATGCATGTTAGGTTTACCTTTTTGTTTTCTAACTATTTTAGTTCCCTTATTTATGGGCAATTGGTATGGCAATTGTTTTTTTACTGTCTTAGATTATCCCTGAAGGATTGAATTCAAAATTGCAATGATCATTGACCGCGTATTATAAATATGACAGCCTGGATTTGGGTATCAGCAACAACTGGTTCCTGGAATGAGGCCAAATTTTTTTGTCCCAATGGTCCAACCAGGTCAGCAGGCTCAGCGCCCCAGTGGCAGGAGATCTGGAGCAGGGGCTGTGCAGCCTCAGCAACCACTTCCCATGATGCAGCCACAGGTAGTTGTTTGTTATATATTTACTCCCAAAATATTTGTTTGTTTGATATATTTGTTATAACAATTTCATTAGTTTACATCTTGGAGGCACAGGGCTGTGCAGGCCTCAAGCAACCACTTCCCATGATGCAGCCACAGGTAGTTGTTTGTTTATATATTTACTCCCAAAATATTTTGGGGTTTGTTTGATATATTTGTTATAAACAATTTCATTAGTTTACATAAATGTACATGAATTCCCATGATGCAGCCACAGGTAGTTGTTTGTTATATATTTACTCCCAAAATATTTGTTTGTTTGATATATTTGTTATAACAATTTCATTAGTTTACATAAATGTACATGAAAATGTCAAATTTGAATCTACTTTTGCCTTGTGATTACAGATGCTTCCAAGGGGGCGTGTCTATCGTTACCCTCCTGGTCGCAGCATGCCTGATGTTCCCATGGCTGGTCTTCCTGGTGGCATGCTTCCTGTTCCTTATGATATGGGGGGAATGCCATTTAGAGATGGTGCATTTTCACAGCCTGTGCAGACTGGTGCTTTGGCCACTGCTCTTGCTAATGCAATGCCTGAGCAACAGAGGACTGTAAGCCAATAGAATACCAATGTTGCATTTAAATACAGTTCATTTTTATGTCTGGTATTATATCAAAAGACTATAGATAGCTATTATGTTGCTGTTAATTTAGTTTGATAAAATTCTTAATGTGTTCAACTGAAATCTGTGTACCCAAGGCTATATATCAATGTTTGAATAATGTTAGAATTAATGTTTGAATCCTTTGTGCCCTTGTAGTTGCTCGGTGAAAATTTATATCCACTTGTAGACCAGTTGGAGCATGAAAATGCTGCTAAAGTTACTGGCATGCTTCTAGAGATGGACCAGACTGAGGTTTTGCATTTGCTGGAGTCTCCAGAATCCCTGAAAGCCAAAGTTGCTGAAGCAATGGAAGTGCTTAGAACTGTTCAGCAGCAGGTTAACAGTCCAACTGATCGGATGGCAACACTTTCCCTGAATGACAGCCTCGTTTCTTAAGCTTGGCTATGGCCTTGGCTATTGTTTTTAGAAAACTTTCTGAAACTTAATTTTGAGAGTATTTTTGGCGTGGCTCTGAATTTTTGCCTGTTCAATGTTACATTCTAGTTAATTTTTGGTGTTATTATTTATTATCACCTTTATATTAAGGCTTCACTCATCTGAGTTGTTTTTTAAATGTTCATGCAAAGCGATGATTGGCATTGGTCTTTCTGTAGCTCATAGGTTCTATTCTTATTACTACCCTGTCCATGATGCTTGAGCCGTCATGGATGTAGATGAAGGATAGTGATGACAATGGTGGCATTTGGCGATGGAGCTTTGGTGAATGATGAGTTAGGCAGGATATTAGTGTGATAGGAAAAAGTTCACTTTATTAGGTGATAAGATAAGATTCATTTGATTTTTAATCTAGTGGGTTAAGCTTTAAAATCAAAGCTGGTCACCTTTAATATTTTGCTACTGGTAAAGCTATCTGTAGTATTATTTTGTCTTTCTTTTTTTTAAATGGTTATAATTATTCTTGTTCAAATTGAGAATTTATTTTTAATTTTGATGTATGAATCTATCTACATAGAGCAGAGTAGGCCACTACTTCCTATTCTTACTCAATTTAAATTCACTCTTAAATTTTATAATTTTAATATTATGAGATAGGGATTTATTGATTTTTATTTCACATAATTTTTGAAATAGCAATTTGAATATTTTTTACTTATTTAATAGTTATTTAATTGATTATATTTTATAAATTAAAATATTTAATAAAATAATTTCATAAATTTAACTATTTAATACTTATTATAAGTTGAGATATTTGATGGATGAAAAAATTAAAAGTGTTAGTTCAAGATAAAATTATATATTCAGCAAATGAACAGTTAAAATTATATAACTAAAGATTAAATAATTTATTTTTTTATTAATGGAATTCTTCATTCAGAAGTTAATATTATTCCTTTTTTTCGAGAAAATATACATTTATTTATTTTTTATTTTTTTTATGCTGGCGTATTAAATAATGATTTTTAAAACATTAGGAGCCGATTGCTAAATTGAAAGGGAAAATAATTAGTTTACCGTCACCAAAGTTAACTTAGGGTTTGGTGGTTGTCACTGCTCAACCGCCTTCTATTATATAAGCTAAGTTTCTGTGACAGACCCTTTGCGGTGCCGCCCGTGCTGCCCACCCTCTTGGATTCTACAGACACGCTAAAAACCACCACTGTTCGTGTCAGTACGGCCTCTTTTTCCGGCCAAGTTATCACTTATCAAAAACACAGAAAAAAGTAAAAAAAATTAAAACACAAAAAACCCCAAACCGTAACTTTTCTTACATTTTATTCGCCTCTGTTTCCGATTCCAGCAATATTCGTTAAGGGTTTTTAGTGTTTTGTTCTGGGTTTTGTTTCTATTTTTGTGAAATTGGGAGAATGTCTCAGGTTCAGTCACAGCCACAAGGACCTGTTTCTGCTCCAGTTGGAATGGCAAGCAATGGAGGAAACCAATTCGTCTCAACATCGTTATATGTTGGTGATCTTGAACAAAATGTAACCGAAACTCAGCTCTATGATTTGTTTAATCAGCTGGGTCAGATCGTTTCAATTCGGGTCTGCAGGGACTTGACCTCTAGAAGGTCACTTGGATATGGCTATGTCAATTATAACAACGTACATGATGGTTAGTCCTCTTAACATTTCTTGTAATTCTCTGTTCAAGTTTTGATCTTTTGGTGTATCATTTATGAGATTTCTAAATTGGTATGTGTTGGTTTAGGTGTGCAATTGGCCAATTCCTAATTTTAGCTTTTCTGAGTGTAATTTACATGGGCAATAATAAAAACTAAATGAAACAAATAATGCGCTTTTTATGCACGTTTAATATCTTACAAAGAAGAGAATTTACAGTTCAATGTGGTTGCACGACTGAAGCCGTATCCTGTTATTGTGGATCAACTCTGGAATTGAACTTGAATTTGTTTTAAATTTATAAGGCTAATATTGTGGTTAATGTAACTCTAGAGGTAGATTTTGGACTAGTGGGTTATGCAATTGGTGTAACCTAATTTCCGATCAATTCATTTGTTACCAGCTGGATGATTTGTAATCTCTTATAAATACCATTTGGACTCTCGGCAGACCATGCACGCAGAAGTCAATACTAAACATAAAGCTAATTACATATAAAATGACTATTAGACATAGACATATGTAATTTACATACACAATGAGTTGAGCTAAACTCCTTACTAAATTTGTTTTTATATTTAAGAGCTGAGGTTGTAACATGTAAAATACAGGGGAGTTTTGGATCGAAGTATAATTAGTCATACCCACTGTGACATTCTATTTGGCTGTTACCCAAAATTTCTAGATAAACATCCAAAAGTGCATAAAATGAGCAAGAGTAGTCATAGGGTTCTAGTAGGTAGTTAAGCATAGATTTGTTGTGGACGACAATCTGTGGACAATCTAAATGAAGATGAAAACGAAGAGCAAAGCAACCTCATAACTATCTTTAACTTGTTTGGATCATTTTGAATAAAATCTGGCAAGGTTGAGAATTTTAAAAGAAAATTGCATGTCATGCATGCCAGTACTCTAATAGCTTTCTTATCTGAGAAGTTAAAGTTATATGTGATTGAAAAGAGATAAATATTGATTGGTCTTAAATGATTAAATATAAACAAAGAAAAGAATTGAAAATATTCTATTTTGATTGATTAATCTCAAAAGAATATGGTTGCAATTTTTCAATGGGATTCCAATTAAAATTGTTCACATAGGTAAGCTATTTCTACTTTTGGTGCTAGTTTCATAAAATTATACTTGGAGAGGAAAAATGACAAAGAAAGAGAAGGAAGCTAGCAAGATAATTAATGGATAGAGAAATTCTAAAGGATAATCAAAGTGATTTCCGTTAAAATTTTCATTTAAAAAAAATAACTGAAATGCTTTGGTGGAATTTGCATCAGCTTTCCAATTAAACCTTACGGATGATAATTTGCATTAATGCTAAATTCGAGGATGAAGGATGAAACTAACAATCAACATTATTAGAGAAGGATTTCACACTGAAATAAAATAATTTTGCGTTTAGATTGATATTTAGAATTTCAAATATTAAAGTTTAAAGGGATGAAGGTTCAAACTCAAGACCCTTCAACCATATATATGATTTCAATACCCACAAAGTTAAAGTTCTTTAGTTGTATATTTAAATTATATTTTAAATGATAAATTGAAATTATTTGAAATTCATTAGTAATTTTCTTTTCTGTAGATATAAATTATACCAATATCCTATTTGGTTAGTTCACATCCATATGTTTATATATTTTTAATGTGCTGCTTTTTTTCCCCTTTTTTTGAACTCTCATGCTATCCATATAATTGACTGAAGCAATTGGTTCTGATGGCAGCGGCACAGGCATTAGAAGTACTGAATTTCACTCCTGTCAATGGCAAGCCAATTAGGATAATGTATTCATATCGTGATCCTACTATTCGCAAAAGTGGTGCAGGAAATATATATATCAAGGTATTTACCTAAAGATACTCGGCGTGTAAGATTCTTTTGTTCTTTCTGCCTCAGCTGATGCTGATATCCATTGTTTTTGGGTGTCATTGTAGAATTTGGACAAGGCAATTGACAACAAAGCTCTACATGACACATTTTCTGCATTTGGAAATATTTTATCTTGCAAAGTGGCAACTGACTCTGCGGGTCAGTCTTTAGGATATGGGTTTGTACAATTTGATAATGAGGAGTCTGCTAAAAACGCAATTGATAAGTTGAATGGTATGTTACTGAATGACAAACAAGTTTATGTTGGACCTTTCCTCCGCAGACAAGAAAGAGAGTCAGGCACAGATAAGACAAAATTCAATAATGTTTATGTAAAGAATCTTTCAGAGACTACAACTGAGGAGGATTTGAAGAAAATTTTTGGTGAATATGGGGCTATTACTAGTGCTGTAGTGATGAGAGATGGGGATGGCAAGTCCAGATGCTTTGGATTTGTCAACTTTGAGAATCCAGATGATGCAGCTCGATCAGTCGAGGCTCTCAATGGGAAGACATTTGATGAAAAGGAGTGGTATGTTGGAAAAGCACAGAAAAAATCTGAGAGAGAAGTTGAATTAAAAGGGCAGTTTGAGCAGACTTTGAAAGAGACGGTGGACAAATTTGAAGGATTGAATCTATATGTTAAGAACCTAGACGATAGCATCACGGATGACAAGCTGAAGGAATTATTCTCAGAATTTGGTACAATTACTTCATGCAAGGTATGTAGCATTTATCCTTCATATGGTTTAGGGAAAGTGGCGTGAATCTCCTCTTAACTGTAGATTATCTTTTTCTCTCTCTGAGTTCTAATAGGTTATGCGTGATCCTAATGGTGTCAGTAAAGGATCAGGCTTTGTTGCCTACTCAACTGCTGAAGAAGCATCTAAAGCTGTAAGATGATACTCGATTGATTTGTGTCTATATACAAACACAGACACATATGCGTGGATGGTTTCTTCTTGTTTCTCCCTTGGTCTGTATTTTATTTTTTATTTTTTTTCCCCTGTAGCTTACTGAGATGAATGGTAAAATGATAGTTAGCAAGCCATTGTATGTTGCACTTGCGCAGAGGAAAGAAGAACGGAGAGCTCGATTGCAGGTAATTGTTTTGAGCATAAGTACTGGACTGTGGTACACGGATCTGTGGAGCTGCAAAATTAAAGTAATAGAGTTCATGATTCTTTGGAGAGTGTTGCTTGCAGCTTGCTCTGCAGTATTTTGGTTCACGTAGTTTTTTTCCTCCAACAACTTCCCTTGCATATTCTTTCTTGCTTAGATGTTGTTTCATCTCTTTGTGCAGGCACAATTTTCACAAATGCGTCCTGCTATGGCACCTGCAGTTGGCCCCCGTATGCCAATGTATCCCCATGGCACTCCAGGTATTGGACAGCAACTATTCTATGGTCAAGGCCCTCCTGCTATTGTCCCTCCCCAGGTGAGAGTTATTTGACTTTTGGAACTGCCCTCCATCCCAGAAATAGCAGTGTGCTTATAATATAAGTTAATTGTTTGTCACCAAGTCTTTTTGTTTCAGATTTATAATTAACAATTTGTTGACTCATTTTTTCTTGTTATGATTGAAATTTTTTTGAGCCCTTTTAGCTATCAAATATAATTCGAGAAAACATCAATGAAATTTAAGATGTATATTTTGAGTAATCAATAGCTTTTGCTCCTTCCAGTGGTAGGTGGTTTTTTTAACGATTCAAGTTTGAACTGGATGCCATTTTTTTCCCCTTCCAGAATCTTTTAGATGATAGTTCCTTTTTTTCAATTAATTATAATATTATTCATTTCAGTTATTTGATAAGCATGTTAGATTTATCTTTTTGTTCTCTAAATACTTTAGTGCCCTTCTTTCTAGGCAAGTGAGTGGTATGGCAATTTTTTTTTTTTTGGTCTTCTCATTTTATCCTTGATGGGTTAAGTTCACAAGATTGCAATGATCATTGACTGCTTATTATAAATGTGACAGCCTGGATTTGGGTATCAGCAACAACTGGTTCCTGGAATGCGGCCAAATTTTTTTGTCCCAATGGTCCAACCAGGTCAGCAGGCTCAGCGCCCCAGTGGCCGGAGATCTGGAGCAGGGCCTGTGCAGCCTCAGCAACCACTTCCCATGATGCAGCCACAGGTAGTTGTTAGTTATATATTTACTCCCAAAATATTTGTTTGTTTGATATATTTGTTATAACAATTTCATTAGTTTACGTAAATATACATGAAAATGTCAAATTTGAATCTACCTTTGCCTTGTGATTACAGATGCTTCCAAGGATGGACAGCCTGGATTTGGGGTAATCAGCAACACTGGTTCCTGGAATGCGGGCCAAATTTTTTTTTTGTTCCTCTCATAGGGCGCAAACCAGGTGCAGCAGGAATTTCCCCTTCAGCGCCCCAGGTGCCGGAGATCTGGAGCAGGCGCCTGTGCCAGCCTCAGCAACCACTTCCCATGATGCAGCCACAGGTAATTGTTAGTTATACTTCCCATGATGCAGCCACAGGTAGTTGTTAGTTATATATTTACTCCCAAAATATTTGTTTGTTTGATATATTTGTTATAACAATTTCATTAGTTTACGTAAATATACATGAAAATGTCAAATTTGAATCTACCTTTGCCTTGTGATTACAGATGCTTCCAAGGGGGCGTGTCTATCGTTACCCTCCTGGTCGCAGCATGCCTGATGTTCCCATGGCTGGTCTTCCTGGTGGCATGCTTCCTGTTCCTTATGATATGGGGGGAATGCCATTTAGAGATGGTGCGTTTTCACAGCCTATGCAGACTGGTGCTTTGGCAACTGCCCTTGCTAATGCAACGCCTGAGCAACAGAGGACGGTAAGCCAATAGAATATTAGTTTTGCATTTAATTACAGTTCATTTTTATGTCTGGTATTATATCAAAATACTGTAGATAGCTTTTATGCTATTGTTTATTTACTTTGATAAAATTCTCAATGTGTTCAACTCAAATCTATGTAGCCAAGGCTGTATATCAATGTTTGGATAATGTTAGAATTAATGTTACAATCCTTTGTGCCCCTGTAGTTGCTCGGTGAAAATTTATATCCACTTGTAGACCAGTTGGAGCATGAAAATGCTGCTAAGGTTACTGGCATGCTTCTAGAGATGGACCAGACTGAGGTTTTGCATTTGCTGGAGTCTCCAGAATCCCTGGAAGCCAAAGTTGCTGAAGCAATGGAAGTTCTTAGAACCGTTCAGCAGCAGGCTAATAGTCCAACCAATCGAATGGCAACACTTTCCCTGAATGAGAACCTAGTTTCTTAAGCTTGGCTATGGCTATTATTTTTAGAGAACTTTCTGAAACTTGTTTTTGAGAGTATTTTCGGTGTGGCAACAAAGTTTTGCCTGTTATATTTTAGTTAATATTTAATGTTACTATATTAAGGCTTCAGTTATCTGAGTTGTGTTTTTACATGTTCATGCAAAGCAATTATCTGCATTTGTTTTTCTGTAGCTTATAGCTTATTGCTTATTGGTATTTTATCAGTTGATTATCAAACATGAGTGGTGAAAATAATGACTCAGTGCATGATGTGGTCTATTACTGAGCTGGTTATCCATTGAAGGACTCAGTAGAGGACTAACACAAACAACGCTGTTCTGTTTGTGGGCTTTCATCGTAAATTCTGTTCTATTGGGTGAGCTAAGCCCGTAGATATCCACAGGTTTTATTGATATTTAAAACCATGATATATTATATAAATAACGTAATGTGGAGACCTTGTCGTAGTGTTGCCAGACAAGTAGAGTAGTAGGTGCTTGAAAGATGAAAGGAGTTGCACTTCGTCAACAGAACAGTGTTGCCAGACAAGTAGAGTAGTAGGTGCTTGAAAGATGAAAGGAGTTGCACTTCGTCAACAGAACATAATTTCAATAACTAAAATTTGGGATTGGTATCAATTAGGTAAATGGGTGTGTGGTCTTATGACTAAAACAACAATTGGATGCTGTCTCCAAGGGAACATGTAATGTACTAACACGAACATAACAGTTGATTGTGTCGTTTCATCTTAGTTCAACCAACCGTTCCTTGCTTTAATGGTATCTTTTCATTATCTTGGAAAACAGTATGCAAAGTTTTATTCTTTTTTCCCTCCAATTAAATCATCCCATACAAAGTGGAAGATTTTTCTGGTAAATGATTCATCATATAAGGCACAGGCACAGGCACAGGCAGGACCCCTTCAAATCCATGGTTCACATTGGCAACTAGAAAGCAAATTGATGATGTCTATCAAAAAGCTTTTTCCTTACTCAAAATTGGATATGCTTTGCTTTTCCTTTTCTTTCTGGGTATTTTATTGTACTATGAATAATTAAACCTTTGTCACTCTTAGCATGACCTTATTATAAACCAATATGTCATTATTGGTTTTGCAATTATATGTAGAACTTAGTATGGCTTATGAGTCATCTTCCTTATTTTTCCTTGTCCTAAGCCTCATAATTGAGCTCAACAGTACTACACTACACATGTAACTTCAATTTGTCTTTTTTTTTTTTTTTTTTTTTTTTTTTTTTTTTTTTTTTTTTTCAAATTGTAAGTTGATTTTTTTTTTTTTTTTTTTTTTTTTTTTTTTTCAAATTGTAAGTTGTGTGATGGGGTGATTCTCGTTTTATAAATTTGACCATGTTAGTGTAACGGTAGATGTAAGAATCAAATTCAGAATTCATTTGATGGTTTGTCGTTATTAAAGTATGAGAGAGAATAAATTATTTAAAATTCAAAACAACTTATATTAAATTATTCTAAAACGATTTATATTTATAGATAGAAGAAGTAATCATTTTGCTTGATGATAAGAGAGAAAAAAAAAATTTAAATTCTAAAATAAAGGTGCAGAATAACAAATAACAAAGTGCGGATGCAGTCCTTCACAACGAAAAAATAAGATTAAAATTTGAATATTAGTAAAAACTTTACTGAAATTTTTTGATAAAATATCAAATTAACCATTTAATATGGATAATAGAGAAACTTAGATTATATAGAATCAAACAAACATTCTAAGCAAAGAGTTGTAATAATATACTATATAGTAATCAAATATATACTCATGTTTCAAACATATTCTAGAGTGATTCAATGTTCCTAGCAAATAAATAATTCCTTTCTTGGTACTAATTGATGACAAGATTTAACTCATCCTCCTCTCCAAGAAACTCATTCCCCATTTCAATTTTCGAAAGGAAATAGAGGGTAAAGTGGGTTAATGTCTTCATATGATAGGGTTATAATTAGGCATTTGCATGTCCCCAGATAACAAAAATGGTTTAGCTGCTTTGACAAATGAAATTATTTTTAATGTAAGATAAGGAAGAACAAGAAATGGACCCATTTCCCATCATGTGATTCTTGTTGAGGCATGCACCTTATTTCCTAGTATAGATCAAGCATGAGCAAGAGCAAGGTTCAATCATCAACTATAAGTTTTTACCCACATAAAAATGTTTAGTTGGTGCCAATCAAATGTGATCTAGTTGGTCTCTTCACATAAAATGTTTTGAGTTCAAGTCCTTTTGATCATGAGTATTTTTATCAATTTGGTGAGTTTAGAGATGACTACCCCTCTTGTTATTTTGGCCTATCGAACCTTTCAAATTAAAAAAAATAATAATAATCTTTAGTTGCCCATGTGGGCAAGGTTCTATTAGCTCCACAAGCTATTTTGTATTTGCTTTTCCACCACAAAGACAAAGCTTTTAATTGGTTTGATGCCAGCAATCCCTTTTCTTTCCTTGTTTCTCCTACCTCACTTTTTATAAGTTGACAAAACAAGAATTGCTTTTGCATACACTAAACTTCTAGCTTACATTTCTGGCTTTTCCTAATTCAGAAGGCTTTTCTTTGTTGCCTTCATGTCTTGTATCGTGATCATTACTTAACTTGTTGTCTTGGAAACCCTACCTTCTTTTTTTTTTTCAAATATTGAAGAAAAGGTTTAAATTTAAATTTATTATTTAATAAAATTATTTATCACTAAATTAAGTATCAAGTGCAACCGATTTGATTAGTTGAAATACTATCCTATATCACTACTAGAACTTAGTTGTGCATTTAATGTTTTTTGGAATAAGTCGAAGGGCTCGAAAATTTGAGAGGTGGGTAATTATTGTTGTTATTATTATTATTATTTTGAATATTATAGAAGAGATCTAAATTTGAATCTATTGTTTTATAGTTATCATTAGGATTTTACCTAGCATAGTATGTAGAGGTGGGATGTTGATTTCAAAGCTTGGGTCATAATTTGATTTTTTTGGGTCTTTGGGACCACCATTTACTTCATCTATCCACTAAATTCATTTCTCTAGATTTTTTTTGTTTTTTTTTTTCAATTTTTTCTACTTTTCTAATTTTTTTAAATGGAAATAGAAACATATTGACATTGTTGATTTAAATCAAAAAAAAAAAAAAAAAACTAACAAACAAAACATCAGTTAGTGACTGAATAGGCTGCAATCATTCGCCATTTCAAAAAAAAAAAAAAAAAAAAACATCATTTAGGAAGAATGGATGCAATCATCCCATTCAACCATATTAGACACATAAATGAGCAATCTCTTACTTTATTTTTGGAATATGATAAAAAATGAGAAGCGATTATTTATATTTTTTAAATCAAATCATTGGTTGTAAGGGTAATTTTGTCAAACCGAACCTCAATACGACGTTTAGCTGATGAGTATCTGGACCGGGCCAACAAAGGAAAGCCCAACTGTTTTGCTCGTTAGGCCTAACTGCGCATAAGCCTTTACTTTCTGCATAGTTTGAATCCCATCCCATGCTTGCAGGAATGAATCCACCTCATTAATCTTAGTCTCACATTACCAAAATTTTTAGCAGATTCCTTTTACTAACTAATCTAATACTTCCACTTTATTTTTAATTTATTGGAAAATCCAATGGCCCAAAATAAGACTGCAGACTATATAATTGAAGCAGTTCTTTTAGCTTGTTAAATTGATGAAAACTCTAGTGCTCGAAATGAATCGAAATCGAAACATTTCACTCTTCGCACGAGTAAATAGACCAATTATATCATATTTAATTGGCAATTCTTCCACCTTATTTAAAAACTGAGAAAGTATAAATTCTTATCCATGGGCTAAATGCTAATCATAAGAATCAAATCTCAATCAATTAGCTGAAGAGATGCCCACTTAACAATTGAGCTAATCTAATTGTTGGATTTGAAGTTTTATATTTTTAAATTTGTGAAATTTGTTACACTTCCAACCAGCTTCTATTTGAAAATGAGTTCTAAATTTTAAGGAACTACTAAAGTTATATATTTAAAATGAATTTTATAATTGATCTTAGCAAGGATATTTATTTACAAATATATTTTTTTGAATAAAATGTTAAGCCATGGTTACTTCCTCTTTAATTTCAGCATTATTTAAAAAAAACAACAATAAACATAATTGCGTTGTTAAATTTTATTTAAATTAATACTGAAATTTCTTTTTATTCGAGAAATAATTATGAGATCTTTAATTGATACTTTATCTGACTAATATTTTTTTTCATTTAAAAGTTAAGTTCTTTCTGTCTAAAAAGTGAATACATCTTCTTTAAAAAATGTGTCTTACTAATACTAAATAGCTCATTCTCGAGTAAAATATTTCTCTAAAATAATTTACAGTAAAATAATTTATTAAAAAATATTCGAATATATTTTGGGTCGATTTATATTTTATCTAATCAATAATTAATGAAAAGTAGTATTCACGCGCGCAGGAGTGCGGGGAGAAGGTTTTGATGAATCAATCGAATCGTATGAAATATATTATTTATTATTATTTTCTGTTATTATTTTAATATAAATATGTGAAAACTGAAACGCAGCTTCTCCTCCACATGAAAATACTAAATAAGTAAAAAAGCAATGGTTGTTTATCAACCGGACCAACCGGCCGAAGCAATCATGAATCGGACCACCCATTCCCCCTCCTCTTTCTGTAGAATTGATTGATGGGATCTTGAGAAGATCTTGAAACAACTTGTCATTTCCTTCCCACAAATACACTGTTATTCTCTTAGTCTCATGGGATCCCTTATTTCATATATATTTATTTGAAAAATTATTATTTTACTAATGTTAATACTGAGGCTGTATTATATTTCCCATTTATGGCAAGTACACGTGATATGGTCTACATTTACTATTTTGTTTCAAATACAGATAGTCTATCAGTATAAATTTTTGAATACTCGCTGTATTAAAGGGATTTAAACGAGTACTTAATGAATTTTTAAATAAATTTAGAATGAAATATGTAATAAAATTATAAACAGATATGAATAGTTTAAAATTTATCAATACTTGCCCTATTCTCATTTTTAGTTAAAGCTATTATTAAAATTTTAAAAAATTAACTAGTAGGATTTTAATTTTAAAATCAATATT